CGCACGCACGCACGCACGCACGGCACGCACGCACGCACGCACGCACACGCACACACACACAAACAAACACACACACACACACACACGCACGCACGCACACACACACACACACACACACACACACACACACACACACACACACACACACACACACACACACACACACACACACACACACACACACACACACACACACACCCACACACACACACACACACACACACACACACACACACACACACACACACACACACACACACACACACACACACACACACACACACACACACACACACACACACACACACACACACACACACACACACACACACACACACACACACACACACGCTCTGACTCTAGCTTCGCTTCTTCCAAGTGGTTAGTCCGTTGATGGTGCCAAAATGCTCATGTCCAGTTCAGTGGATTGAGCCCAAGTTGTTCAGCTTTGTCCTCCTTGCCCCTTTCTCTTGGGCCGGGCTCGAGCTCGGGAACTCAAGCTTGCCGCTCCGCGTGCAGAGATCGGCGCGTTCCGACTCGGAATCGGAAGGTGAAACGAATCCAGGCGCCTGCCAGGGACCCTCTCCCACCTCGCCCACGGCATTTCTCCTCGAAGCAACTCCACTCTCAACTTCGGATGAGAACCGTACTAATCAGGGCAGTCCCTCCAAAGTGATGCAACTCCAGCCAAAGGGGGTAGCGTGAAAGTGGCTTTTCCTTTTCCTGATTGAAGACAGGGGTCGGGCTTCCCCCTCAAAGCACCAGAATTGCGTCGGGGAGCTTTTTCCGCGCTTGGGAATGGGAGCTGCAGGAGTCATAAACCCTAGTTGACTAGGTCCCCCAGTAATGCCCCTACTAAAATAGACTACAGAAGAGAAGGGTACCCTTATTCCAACCTCTCTACTGGAGGACCTAGTTGATGAAGTGCAGGGCTGTCCCCAAACAGCAGGAACGCTTCGCTGGGCGTATTTGGCCAGGGTCATCCGGCGCTCAAAAACACATGTCGAGGACGGGTCGCGATTTTCTGAGTGGATCCAACGCACTCACCGCACCGCGGTGGGAAAAAAAGGGGGCGAGTCTTTGAGAGGGTTTCTCCTCTACAACCCCCCCCCAGTTTTTTTTGGTTTCTCAAGAAGGTCGATTTGGGAGGGACATTCGGGGACAAGCTGCCCATGTCAACCACAAGCCAAGAGGACTGAACAGCAATTGTCCAATCGCGGCTCACATGGCTTTGCCTCAAATGGGGTTGTGGGGGTGCGGGTGGGCGGGGGGGAAGCAAATGAGGTCGGCTTCTTCTTTCAGTCAACCCCACAACGGGAGGCCAGGCCGCAGCCCAGTTTTCGTGGCGCTGCCGTGAGCTTGAGCACTTGCTGGCGGCAGTTGAGCTCCACATTCTTGCGAAATGATGTTGTGCCCCTTATTCTGAGTCATGCTGCTTTCCTTGGGCGTGTCGTTTTTGAGGAAGTCTGTTTTCAGTTGTTTCAAAAGTACGTTTCGGGGGTTCCGCAGCCCGTCCGAGGTTCAGTCAAAATCCCGCTCCCCAAACGTAAGAGATGAGGGAGTGCTCAGGCGTATTTCCCTTTTTGCCCGTTGAAGCATCACTGCTTGGTTGCCCCTTTTAAATGAGTCTCCCCGTTTTTGGGGTGATTTGTCACCAGTTGGATGGTCCAGTTGCTCATTTCAACTCATTTCAAGCCCCCCCCACCCCCTTCTTTGGGCTTAGCTTTCGGCGCTGGCTCCAGCCGCTCGGACAGCCGACCGCGTTGGGATCCCCGGCGCAAAGAAGAGGGAACCGAAAGCCATGGCGCCCGGGCGCCAAGCTGTCCAGAAAATCGCCGGGCTCCGCTCCCCGCGTCTTTTTTTTTCCCTCCCCCGGTGGTTTTTGTTCGACCTCTTTTTCTTGGGCCCAATGTAAAAAGGGGCCTTCCTTGGGCCCCTTGGGTTTTGGTGGGGTGATGCTTGAAGGGGAAATCTAGGGAGCCCTGAATCATGGAGATAGTGTTTTGTTTTTTGGTTCCGGAGACTTTTGGGGTTGAAGGCGCTTCGCTTGTGGGCTTTTTTCGGGCGGGCAATTGTTTCATGCCCTAAAAAATTACCAGCAACAGGTCACCTATGTGCAACACAGCCTCCAAGCTGAAGTTCCATGCTTCAGGCCGCGCCGCTCTCCTTTGGCTTTGGCACTCCTGGCGTTTGCGCGGCCGCTCAGTGCTTCGAAAAATGGGCGGGGGGCGGTCTATGGGCTGGGCGTGGTCCCTCTTCGTTTTTGCGTCGGCACCCAAAATTTTTGGAGTCGATGAAAGGGTGGTGGCAAGACCCACCAAAAAATTCTGGGACAGCCCAGACATGAGACGTGGCTAAAAGCCAGCCGTCCTCCGACGGCTTTGCACCCTCCAAAGATCGGTGCCCCTCCTTTAGGCGTTTCGCTTTGAGAAGAGGACTCAGTGGTTCCCAGAGTGGTGTCCCTGAACATCTGACGTCGATCCGCTGGCAGCTCGAAACGCCACTCGTTGCGTTTTGGAGATGCCAGCAACAGCTCGCAACGCACTTCGGCCGACCTTGACTAGGTCCCCCGGCTAGGTGCCCTTTTGCCCTTTTTAGAGGGAGGGTTCCCCTACTAAAATAGACTACCGAAAAAAAATCGGGTACCCTTATTCTAACCTCACCTAGTTGAATGTGGGAGGTGTTGCTGGGATGCGCGTTGCCGGGCCCCACACAGGCAAGCAACACCAACCGAAGCCAACCTACACTGAGCCAGTCGACGCCACCTAAACGAGCCCAAGCCAGCCTGAGCTAACCCAATCCAACCTCGACCCAAAAAGGCGCTCTACCATGAAGGAGGCCGATTTAGCGCCCAGACAAGGTCGCAAAAACACCCCTCCCTCGTGACCATGGACAACCCCCCTTTCAACCCTGGAAGGTCCAAATTCCATGGTGGGTGTCCCGATGTTTTGAGCCCTGAAGGAGGAGTCGGGAAACGTTCACGGAGTACGGCATCCCCAGTTCACCCCAAGGATTTTGAGTTTAGATGTCCCTCCCCCAGTACACGCCTCCCGGCCCCTTGTCTGCCATATCCGTTTCACATTTCTCCGTTGAGTCAGTCGAACCATCATGCCACACCTGGGGGCAAATTCGATCTTCAGGAGGGTTTTTCCTGTGGGCCCAGAGGAACCAGCGCCACGGCCACCTGCCAAAATGGGGGGGGGGGGGGGGGGGGCGCAGTCCCAAAACGAGGCACTCGGGGCCAAGCTTTGGTCCGCAGGCCTTGCTTGCCTCCCGCGCCTTCGTGGGCCTTCCGCAGGCCTGTGGGCCATGGACGTCCACCGGAGTGGAAAGGGACCGGTTCGTATTCATGTTTGCTTCAGCACCGCATGACTTTGTTCGAGAAAACTCACTCTTTTTTTGGGGCTCTTGGATGGGAGAGATGCCATCTGCCAAAATCCGCTGTGAACATGGGGCCCTTTTTGGTCAAATGGCAAAGCTCCGTTGCTTTCCTGTGTTTTGCTTGTCGGAGCACTCCAAAATCAGTTCCAAAGCATCCACGCCCAAAACTCTAGGGTACCTTCCCCATTCTTTCCAGGATCCCAGGGAAAACGGCCGGTTGTTGGAAAAGAATGGACTTGGAATCAACCCCTGGAAAAACGAACATCTGGAGTATCCTCCAAACAAGAAGCACCCAACTGCGTCACCATTATCGCCAGGTCGCCGAGCTGCCCCAGACGGAGGCGCTACAGGGAGTGATGACCCAGGCGCGGGGCCAAATGACTTGGGTTGGGCTGTTGGGATTCAAAGGGCGCGTTGTCCTTTGTGGGGGGAAGGGTGGGGAGCGGGGGTCAGGAGGGGGGCAGCCTTTTTTTTCCTTCTTTTGCGGGGTTCGGCTGTTGGTTTTGTTGGTGGGCGTTCTTGGGGGGTGGCTTCCATGATGGAGGATGGTCCCAGCGCCTCGGGCCACACTTCCCCGGAAACACGGGTTCATCAGCAACGGAATGGTGCATCCTTTTGAGTGTATCAATCGCCAAGCGCCTCTGAGACCTTTTCGAGACTATGCCATTTGCTGTTCACTTGCAACAATTTGGGCATTTTTCTTTCAATTCGACCTACTCAGATAAGGAGAAAAGGACAGGTTCGCCATTCGGAGGAGATCGCTGGTTTAGACCTAGACCACCTGCGACTTTTGGCTTGGGAACGATGGGAAGTGTCATCAGCCCTCCTTCATAGGTCTATAGCACGAGGATTGTGAATGCTCACTTTGGGGCCATGCACATTCCCCGAGGTTGTACTCTCAGGATGCGCTACGACACAAAGAGAAAACTCTTAGACTGGCTTAGCGTTTGGTGACATCTAACAGATTCCCTTTTCCAGAATGCTGACAAGAGGATATATTTAGATCTCATGTTGAAGGACAAAGGGAGCCTATAGCAGGGAACTTAGAGGCAACCATTGAAATACCAAGTGCAACATGGTTTTATTGATGTCTTGCCCTATTTTTTTCTTGTTGGGTGGATTTCAAGTGGTCCCCTTTCCGCCTTCGACTGGAACCGACGTTTTTCCGTTTCGAAGGCGCCGGAGCTCGGCAGCAGCGTGGCGCTGGCGGACCTGTCGCCCCTGGAGAACCCCAACATCACCTTCGCCTCTTGGCAAAGAGACGGGGAGGGGAGGTCTTGTGGGGCAGGGGAGGTCTTGTGGGGCCCCAGATTCCCCCTGGCCATCTTGATTGTCACCTGTTGGCCAGTCCTGAGGGTCTCTGGCGACAAAGTCCATAGGGGAGAGGAACAGGCAGAAGTCGGGGGACCCCATGAGGCTTCGAGAGAAACGTTGAGCTGTAGACTCCTATGACGGTCATGAGTCATGACGGTCATGGTCATAGTTCCCATCCCCATAACTTGGGAGTGAGTTCCTTCGGGGTCGATGTTTGAAGATGATCAATACATCTGGCAGCACAACTCAGACATGCAGATTCGGGAAGGTTTCGGCTTGCAATTCAGTCAGGTGGTGTTGCTCTCCATGTTCTCCATGTCCATCGCGATGGTCGTCTGGGGCCGCAACGGTTTCTGAGGCCCGCGAGCTTCGAAGGGAGGTTCTTAAAGCCGCCCCGAGGAGTGCTTGAGGCTCATCAAGCTGCATGGGCTCATCAAGCTTAACACACATTTCATGGGGCAAAAAGCAAAGCATTTCGTCCCTACGAGACATTCGACCATGGCAGCCTTTGCTTGTGTTGGCACGGCTGGGCAAAAAAACTGCGTTCGCGGGACAAGGGCAGGAATTTCCCTCCGAAATGGGCGCCAGACTTTCTCAGTTGGTACCGTTCAGGCGTCCAAAGAAAGTAAGCAAAGTAAAACCACCAACTTGGGGTTGGGTGGTTTATGGATCTGATGGAACGCCGAGTTGGTTTTTTGGACACCGGTTTTGAGATCCCACCTCGCATGGCAGGTGGCAGTCTGTTGAACGCTGACCTCGCCGCTGAGTGGCAAATGCAATGGGCTGACACCAGGAACCTGGCAGCTTTACGAGGCTTCGATTCGTAAAGGCGATCTTGGCAGATTCCTTCCTTCCAGCGCAAGCCCCCGCTTTGAGATGGCTTCTCTATAGGCAGTTTCTGAAGGCAGTTCTCCGGCGAAAAGCGAGCGAGAGAATCGAGTTTGCGGCGCGGGCTTCGTGTGTGTGTGTGTGTGTGTGTGTGTTATTGTTATTATTATTATTATTATTATTATTATTATTATTATTATTATTTAGTATTATTATTATTATTCGCGGAAAACGCGGCGATGGCTTCATGGATTTTTCGATCCCGGATTTGTAGAAGCTCCTTTTACTTTGTGGGCAACCGTTTCTAGGTCTTCCAATAGTGCCCTTTTGCCAACTTTTGCCCTTTTTTGGGGGAGGGCTCCCCTACTAAAATAGACTACAGAAAAAAGTTGGTACCCTTATTCTAACCTCTCTCTACTGGAGGACCTAGGTTTAAGTCGTGGGTACGTGGAGCCCGGCGGAGACCCGTGGACGGCTTGCCCGCCTGCTGAACTCAGCTCTCGGCTCGAGCGGCGAGAAGTTGCTGACAACATGACGCCGCCGACTTGGGCGAAGCGCCGCAAAGCGACGTGTTGAGCTTTCCCATTGGGTGAGAAATCCGTGAAGAGATGATCATACGACATTTGTGTGATTTAAATGTATATTTGACTGGCACGAACTTCAACCAATGGGTTTTCCTTTGGAGCATCAATTGGGGGAGACTAGGTCCCCCAGTAGTCTATTTTGGGGGAGGGCTCCCCTACTACAATAGACTACAGAGAAAGAAGGGGTACCCTTATTCTAACCTCGCTACTGCACTAGGAGATGTCCGAAAAAAGATAATCATGCAAGAATACTATGTGCATACTTGCCACGGACTTCAACCAAAGGTGTTCTCTCTTTTAGAGGATCAAGAGGGGCCCCATTTGAATCTGTGCCATGTTTCTATAGGAAGCTTCACTCTCCCGGGTCCCGAAGGTTCTGGTGAAGACTTACATGCATCCCCCCAAAGTATTGCGGTTTTCCCATGGGCTGCTCCTTTAATCTGCCCTAAGCTACCCAAAAAAGAAGAGCCCAACACACGAGCCACACATAATCCGGCCCTGGGTCAAAATCCAAATCGTACCCCCAGTGCAAGGTGGTGAATTCACCTACCAACCAAAATGGGATCAACCACAACCACAGCCAAATCAGAACCACCAGGACCCACATGGGGACCCCCCCGTTTGCTTCCGAGGAGGCGTTCCCCTCTGGCGGTGATCGCGCTGGCAGCCTGCGTGCGGATCGCAGAGGGCGGTCCCGAAAGTGGGCAGGACCCGCCAAACCAGGGTCCTTCTCGAGTTTGATCTTGGCTCCAAATGGAACTTCGGCCCCAGGACCCTGCTTTTCCAGGGTCCTGGATTGGGCCGGAGCTTTAGACTTCAACTTTTTCGTTGAAATCAAGTGGGGTTTTCAAAGCTAATCCCCCAAAAGGTCATTCACTTTTGCAGGGGGGTCGTTGCAGCAACCAAGCACATGTGAGGAGTCTTTGGATATCCAGCGATGTTCTTCCCTTTGGTTTCCCTGCCAATGAGAAGTTCATGCGGAATTAGTGAGATCTCTCTCTATGGTTTCAGCTTGATTCTCGTCATTCACCGGAGATACTTCTTCAACCCGACACTCACTTTTGAGGGATCAGCCACTTGTAGGGACAGAGCTTCCTCCTTCGCTGAAGGGGACTTTCATATGACCTGATGCTCCAAAAACTCGACATGCTTTGCTTCCTTGTGGGGATTGGGATGTTCACTGGGGGTATGACCTGCTCAAAGTCACCGCCCCCTTCGCTCGCGCCTCGCGGAAATTCAAATTCTTCTGAGGCCTGGCTGCTCTGCGCCCCCGCGTTCCTGGAGCCGCTGGTGCGGCAGGCGGGGCGGGCGGCCTTTTGCGGCTTTTGGGGTGGGGGGGATCTCCGAAAAAACGGAAGCTGGCGACATGCGACGGGGTGAACAGGTTTGTGGGGTGATCCGTTCTTGGGGGGTGGTTGAACACGTCTTGTCATGTTTGGCCGAGTTTCTTTGCTTTTGGTTTGGCGGTTTTGTTTGGTTTGGGCTTCAAAGAGGGAGTCTCGAGGGGGTACCCATATGCAGTGGTGGGCTAAGCATCGGGGCAATTTTGACTGGGTTCAGTTACAGCCCTGCCCACGCGCTTTGTGGTTAACATCACCTTTGGGCTTGGGGATTTCTCAGCTTTTTTGTGACCCCATGAGGCCGTTGGATTCCTTTCGTAGGAGTCCCCTATTTGTAGATGCCCTTCGCCGCATGTCGTCGATTCCATCCCAATTGGGTCGCATTTGTCTTGCGCCTGAGCCAGGAGGAGTTGCTCGAATGGGATCGCTTCACAGGGATCGGTTCAGTTCAATTGCCTTTGATAGCCCGGAGAGGTGTTCGGGGTACTCGAATCCAAGCCCGTGGTTCGTGTTCGGTAGCTGGAGGGACAGGGATTTGAACTTTGGGCCTTGGGAAGTGCCGTTTCAACTTTTCGGTGTCACCGGTCGCCCAGCTTGCCACAGCTTGAGGCTTCACATGCCGTGGGTGTAAAACGGGGGGCCTTTGCCGGACTCGGCGCTGGGCGCTTGAAAAACCAAAGCGATTCAGGGCGAGAGGACCTGCGAGTCCAGTTTGGTTTGGACAGGACTCGCTGGGATTTGCCGGGGCCCAGTTTGGAATAGGGGCGAACATGCGGTCACGGGGTTTGGTCCGTTGCATTTGGACTTTTCTCCATTTGATCAAGCTAGGATTCAGGTTGTACGGCTCAGTCACATCCAGACCGCTGGGATTTCATCGTCTCTGCTTTTCATTTTTCCTGGACCACTTCAAGTAGTGTATTTCTGGACCAATTCGCGCAGCTGATGGCGGTTCTTGTTCCCCGTGCCGAAACCCGGCGCGTTGTACTCGTCACCCGACGTCGTTTGCTCCGATTGCTCCAAACGACTTCGAACGAGAAGAGAAGCCATGAGGCGGAGATCTCGGGCGCCACCCCGGAACGCCTGCCGCAGGCAACGAGTTCCGGCGAATCGCGGCGTTGGGGGGTTTTGCGCCCTCTGGCGCCCATTTTTTTTGTTTTTCTCTGTTTTTGTTGAGGCGTTTCTCGGTGCCGGGCGATCGGGGTGCGTAGGCGATCGGGGTAAGCTGCCATGGCGTAGTCCTGGCGGCCCATCTGGCCCACTTCGAGCTTGGGAACTTGGCATCGACGGTGCTCTCTGGCGATTCGCATGGGGACAGTTGCAACATATTTGTGAAAGCAACAAGCCTCCCTAAGGGAAGCGAGTGGAACCACTTGCCATTGACACGAATCCTTAGGATGTTGACTGATCAAATCTGAACAAGTTGCAACAAAAGAAAACGGTTCTTGTGTGTTTCTTTAAAGACAAATTTGAGTTGATGCTGAAGCAATAGGGTTGAAGGACGCCAGCATGCGTTGCTGCTTCAACTGCGGTTCGCACAGGGGGGGGTCACCCCCCTTTTGGCTTCGCCGGAACTTGGGCCGGGCATGGTGTTGGAAGGGTTCGCATCTTTGAAAAGCGCTGCCCTCGGAAGTCGTCAGTGGTCAGTTGAATCCCCACCTGAATGATGTGCACCAAAGGGTTCCCCGATGTGGGGGGTCCATGCCATGGGGGGGGTCCATGGAACCTCATTTTGAGTCCATTTTGTCGGCCAAGAATTCCGAACACAACCCTATTGCCCCAAACGCCCAACCACGGTGGTGTTCCTCCTGGTTCTGTTTCTAAAAACCAACCCCCTAGAGCGTTCCCCCAAACCACGACCGCGCTTGGAGCTTCCAGGTGCCGGAGCTTGCCAGCAGCATGGCGCTGGCGGACCTGTCGCCCCTGGAGAACCCCAACATCACCTTCGCTGCTTGGCAAGGGGGGGGAGGAGGAGGGGAGGTCTTGTTGGGGGGGGGGGTTCCGGGGTTGGGGAGGTTTGGGGAGTTTTTTTTTGGGGAGGAGGGGAGGGTTGGACTTGAGCCAGACACTTTTTGGGAGGACTTGAGTCACTTCTTGGGAGATTCTTTGGACTTTGAGCCGCAAACAAAGCTCTGTGAGAGACGGAGAGGAGGGTTGTAAGAAGATCGTTGGTACATGTCATTTGCCAGATATTCTCAAATATATTGCATCGCAGATGCTTCTGACGGGGAGGAATTTTCCGGATACTTGGGTGTGGGAATGAGAGATCATAAACGGGGAAGCATCTAGCACCACAACTCTCACCGCTGTAGGGTGGGACAAGGATTATGCTGGATAGAAAGCTGGACAGTCACACAGATTAATATTCATTTCACGAAACTAAAGTTACTGTGACTGATGTGAGAAGGAGGTGGGGGTGGTGTTCCAGTTTCAGGTTCTCACATCTTTGGAGGGCCCAACTGGGTGACCAGTTGCGTGCTGGATATTTCTCCCAAGCGACTCGTGTGTGTTGCTTGATAGCAACCAAAACCCCCTCATTCCCTTCGATTTCGCCGGAACTTGCGGAACTCGGAACTCCCTGGAGTTGGGTTCGGAAGTGGGAAGCGCAGGTGGTTTTGCTCTCCATGTTCTCCATGTCCATCGCGATGGTCGTTTGGGGCCGCAATGGCTTCTGAGGAGACATGGTGTCTGAACATTGGGGACCCCTTGTTGGATGGGTTTAAGAGGAAACCCAAAGGACGCCACCTGGAGGGTTGATAGAAACACCCACATGTGGATGGGCATTCCTTCTTTCTGAATGGACCAGCGGTCCAAAACCGACAACACCCAATGGGTCAAATGCTGTCAGCCAGCTGAACAGCTGGACGCTTGAGCACTTTGCGTTTGGGAACCCCCGCTGGGATTGACTTCAGGAGGTCCCGTTGAAAAAAGGCCCGCTCGGGTCATGAAGTGGCAAGTGGGCTCTTTTGGAGGTGTTTCATGGCCGAGTTCGTCCATTGGCAGTTGGAGCAGTTGGAGCCAGAACTTGTGACGGACCGTTCGCGAGGAGACAGGCGCGAGGAGAGTACGAAGGGCAGCAGGAATCGCTGCGCTCAGAATGCTGGCACTACTTCAACTCCTCAGCTTGTTTTCCATTCACCAAATCGGTTGGCAAGCAGAGCAAGCATAGAGACGAATTGCCCCAAGGTCCCCGCAACGTGTGTTCTCTCTCGGCAGCTTGTTTTTCAAGTGCCAGCTATCACGTCACAGGCAGATTTTCTGAGCCTTTCGACGATGCTGGGCTGTGGATAAAACAGTTGGGAGTGCCGCTAGGGAGCTGGTTGCATTGAAGGCCAGGTTACATAAGCAGATCTGGGGTGAGTCTTAGAACCGCAGCCCGCAGAGAAGTGTTGGCTTCAACGCGCATCTGCAAGTCGAGGTTGGGGCCACACCCCTGCCATCATTCCAGCATTGATGTCTTCCTCACGTGGGAGTTGTTTCCATATAGGGCATGGGGTCTCCTGAGAATCCTTACTTTCCTCTGAGCTTCTGTTGAACCGGAACCGCCAACATGAAGTGTCGCTTGCGAGACAGCGTTACCTTCTGTCTTTGCGCTTCAGCCAGAGTCGAACTCTCAGTTGTGATTTGAGAGAGGGAAGGCGGGGGAGGAAACACGAAAAATCTCAAGCCACAGCCAGCAGCATCAAGCAAGGCGCACAAAGCAGGCAGAAAGAGGCCTTTGAACAGCTTTGTAGGGGAATCCCGAAGTGTGCCTGGTGCGGAAAAAAACAAACACGTCCATGCCACGGATCTTGTGGCGCCGCCTTCGTGCTGTTTCAGACAGTTTCCACGTCACTCCCCCCGAAAAGGGATTCCTCCACAATTGAGGCTAGGTACCCCTTTTTGGGGGAGGGTTCCCCTACTAAAATAGACTACAGAAAAAAGGGTACCCGTATTCTAACCTCTCTACTAGAGGACCTGGGAGGGATTCCCATCTTAGTTTGCAACCGAGAAACTCGCCTTTCGCGCAAGGAATGATTTGTCAATGGAAGCTCGTAGCTTGTCCCCTTGCAAGCCATGGCCACATTGCCAAAAGCAACCGGCCCACTTTTTGCGGGTTCCGCTGAGTGAGTCCTCTGACTCATGAGGCTTGGACAGCAACCTTAAGGCCAAATGATTCCAATGCTTGCAAAATCCGGGACCCCCAAATAATGCAACTATTGTAATTGTTGTAATTAAAATTGTAGAATTGCAAAGAATTGCAATAATTACAATGATTGCAGTACTTGCAATAGTTGTTTCTTCCCAGCTTGCGCACCGACGCCGAGCCAGGCCAAATAAATTCCAGTAATTGCAGTGCATATTCCCAGACTAGGCTAAGCCAAGCGACATAATTCCTCTAGTTGCAAAAGTTAGGGCCACCAACTATGGAAGGATGTTGATTTGCTTCATCAATATCACATATTCAACCTCCAAAATATATGAACCTCACTTGCCTCCAGCCACACGCAAGTGACTCAGTTTCTTCGAGACACCGGCAATTGAACCTGAAAGAAACATCGAGCACCACGTTGAACCGGAAATGAACAATGACATGAGCGAGACATTGAATCCAGGCTTGACCCGAAGTCCTGCTCAATCCAAAAAGTGGCTTAAACGACTTAAACCTCCCCATAAAGCTTGAATGACAAAATGAACAAGCTTCTTGGAGCTTCAAAGACGTAAAGACGGGGGGAAGAAAAACATCAAAAACGTGTTGAGCACGGCGGCTTGCGAAGTGCAGGGCTCACAGTTTCCTAGTTCCTCCAGCCCTTCGCTGCCTGGTTTTCGCTATGTTGCTGATCTTCCTCAGCCTGGTCTTGCAGACGGCGGGTCAGCCCCTGGGCGCGGGAACCAAAGACCCCATTTTGCAAAGTCCCAAAATGAAATCAGCTCAAGCAGGGTGCAACCTGTGAAGCGCCAAAGTTGCAATTGGTTAGATCAAACCGCGAGAGAGCGGTTCTCTTTGTACTGGTTGTTCTGGTGGCCCTCCCCTCTGCTCTTGGAACAATCCGATGACGCAAACATTGGCCACACTTCCGTCCCCGTTCGTTTGTTGATTTATGAAAATTCATTCATCCATGAATCTCGAAACTCCTTTGGTTGCTGAAAGCTTTCTGATCTGTGAGGCTTGCAGCCAAAGGCCTTTCCCGCTTTGGGTGGGCTTCATGAACCAACACGGCTTCTCTTGGAACACCTACCCCCCCCCCTCACAAAAACAAATAGAAAGGGCAACTGCCTGTTCCTTTCCTTTGGAAAGGCCAGGGCCAAGTCCTTATCTTTATACGTGACTTGAATGCTGTTGCTGGAACCACCAAAAATCACCTTGTCGCATTCTAGACCAAATGCGTTCAACGAGCACTGCTCCGCGGCAAGGCTGAGTTTGATCGAGACTTGTGAAGATGTCCGAAGGGCTGAGATTGCAGCTCCTCCAGTTGACGGTTTCTGCGCTGCCCGTTTTCTGATCCCCCGCGGATCAAGCGACTAACTTTTGGTGGGTTAAATGGACACTACCAAACACTAAAAGGCTAAAAAGCTGAGGGGATGGCTGGGAGCCACCAAGGTTCAAGACTGGCAGTTTGGAGATTAAGGATTTCTTTGGCCTCTACAAGGATCGGGTACACCGACTCACAACGCCCGTCCACCCCGACCCCGTCCCGGGGTTGCTCATCAAAGGTGAGGCTCCTGAGGTCAAAGTTTGTTGCGAGGGACCCCATCTCACACTTCTCTTGGTCGGGCAACTGCCAAACATGTGGCTTTCCGTGGCAAAGGGCCACTTGATCAGATGTGGGGGTATTTGTTGCCCGTACATGGCTCGATTGGTTTTGGCTGTGATTGCTTGGCGACGAGCCGACTCATTGGCGGCCCTGAGCTTGACTGGTTGGAACATCGGCGAACACAGGATGTCTGGTGGGTGCAGACGGCCTTAGTTGGTGCCCCCACAAAGGGTGAAACCTACTCAACATCGAAGTGGCTCCTTTTCTGGCAATCAGGATCGAAGGCATGCTGTGGTGCAATGCTTCAAACATGACACGTTTGGTTCGGCGGACCTATCCCTTTTGCTTCGGTTTCGAATACTGATTCAACGCCTCGGAAAAGATGCAGTGTGAGGGTGGCCCCCCATGGCCCTCCGCAAAAACGCACAGCCGCATCCAAAGACCCAAGTCAACTCCGACCGCCCCCGGGCTCCCGAGGCCGCCGGCCGCTGAACTGAGCGTCTGTGTCGAACACCCAAAAAAAGCAAAACAATCACAAAAAACGGATCCAAACGCGCAAAGGAACCCCCTCCACCATATTCCCCCATCCCCAACCCTTCTCACTGCACGCTCGACGCGCGACCGGACGCGACGCGACAGCGTCTGAGGCAGTTCCAAAAGACCAACCCGGCGGTGGAGGCCTCCTTCCCCCTGGCCGCCAACGGCTCCTGGCACGTGGGGGGCTTCTGCTTCGGCATGGGCGAGTCGGTGGTGGGCCAGCTCCAGGCGCGCTGGAAACCCCCCCATCCCCCCGCAGGTCAGGTCGTTTGGCGCAAAGAAAATAGCGCGCTGGACACCCGCCGAACCCCCCCCCCCCCCCCATTTTTCGTCTAGAAACGCGCTGGGACAGCCGGCGGAAGTCAGCCGGATGTTTGGTTCTTTGGTCTAAAAACGCGCGGGGAAGGCGCCGAATGAGAGGGGTGTGCCGAAATTCGGGCTGTTTGTTCTTTCTATCTTTTTCTTGGGTGAGATGGCCAAATTTATGTCCTGCACGAGGGTCAAATGACATGGCCTGTTCTTCCCCTCAAAAATCCAGGTGTTTCAGATGTTTCAAGTTGAATCGCGCGGCAGGTGGCGGTGGAGTGGGATGGGACCACCGACTTGAGCCTTGCGAGCAAAATCGGCACCACTCAGACCGTTCAAAAATCCGAAAGGAGGCGGTTTCGTATTATTGGCTCAGTGGTTCAGTGGCACCCTTTTTCTCGATTTTTTTGGTGGCTGCCCCACTAAAAAACACCCAAACCCCCAAAAAGGGTTCCCTTTTTTTCCAGGGTCACTGAACAACTGAGTTGGTGTTCAGAATTCCCGGTGTTTTCATGTTGCAGTCGGCAATCCGGAGTCTTACGCGATTTGGTTTTTGGAAAGTGAGGGACTTCCCCGTAAAGCTTGGGGACCTCCTGTGCTGGTGGTCCACCAGGGGTTCAACTCCGTTGCTCCGAGCTGGGCCGTTACAAGATGATCACAACAGGTCAGGGTCCGGGTATGAACCACGGCACGCCTTTTGGGGGGTTATTTGCCCATGGGGGACGTAAAATTGGGGTATGTGCAATCACCCCTAGAGAAGAAACGAAGGGGAATCACACGCGTCGGTGTGGCGTGATGTTCAAAGGCCGTATACTTCGGGAGATTTCGAGTTCAGGATCTCAAAAGGGGGGGTCCAACCTCCGAATTTCAAAAGCTGAGTAAGTTCCTCACGGGTGGTTCGCTCGCCAATTTATCTTGGTGGACTTGCAAGATGCGCTCGCTTCCGTCGTTGTGATCGATTCGCCGTGTTGCCACCTTTTGCAAGGCCAGAGGAATTTGATGGGACCGAGCCGGACGGTTTTTCCATCGCTTGACGAAGGTTTGTCCGACCGCGTTCTGAGGGCACAACCACGCCCAACCTCGACGCAACGGGGCTGTTTTCTCTTTGTTCTGGTGGTGGAAAGCCTCTTATGCAAAGTCTTCTTCCATTTGCTTAAGAATATTCTCTTTTTTTGGTCCCTGTCGGTTTTAAAGGACATCTATCACGACTGTATTTTTTTGGAAGGGACTCAAGCAAATGGAGGCTTGGCTCGTGGTCACAGCTGCTTCCAAGGAACAACAACGGCCCCGTGTACTTTGCAGGCTTCGACGGACGGGCGGACCGATGGGGTGAGGCACGTCCGAGCCGTTGAGAAATGTCCAACCTGCGAAGGGAAGGACATCGGCGTCTCTTTTGTTGTACCAACTCCCGAACGGAAGAGCATGGGCGTGTCTTTTCTTGAGGGTGCAGATGGTGCAGGGAACCCCTTTTTGGTGGTTTTAAAGCGACACCAAAAGGAAGACGCCCAAACAAGACACACCCAAATTGGTTGGGTGTCCCTTGTTCCAGTTCAAGGGGTCCGGAGGAGGACCTCCGTTGCCCTTCTTTTGGCTTCGGGGTGAATGGTGGTTTTCCTTTTCCAGAAACCACATTTTCGGAAAAGGGTGGTGCCCTGGAAGACGCCTCTTGCCCATGGGCACCGTTCTGGGGTAGAATGGCTGTGGGTAAAAAACCAATGGTACCATGTTGGGGTGGGTGCACCACCCATTTTGGTCTATTTTAGTGGGGATTGGGATGTTCACTGGGGGTGGATTTTGACCCATGGCCAAATGGTCGTTCCCACGCTCGTGACTCGTGAGGCGTCGAAGATGTGGGACACCGCCACGTGTGCTCAGAAGAAGAACCTGGCAACCACGGTGACCCGATTGGACGGCTCGGGGAATTCGCACGCCTTCATGATCGACCTCTTTCAGGTCGGGAAAACTGTGGGGTTCGTGGTTGCTCAAATTTGCTTCCATTTGGATAAGAATATGTTTTTTCCCCCTGTTGATTTTTAAAGATAATCTATCACTACTGTTTTTTCCCCAGGGGACTTAAGCAAATGGAGGTTTGGGTGTTTTTTGGGGGTACCATTTTTTTTTTGAAGGGCAACCACAAGGAACACCACCTCCCCCTTGGCGAAGCAATCGTGGTTGTCCCATGGAATGGAATGTCAGAACAGCCTGTTCTTTCCGTAACGGGATGCGGATGCTCGGGGGGAGGAAAGGGGGGAATGAAGGGTTTTCTTCACCCAAAAAGGGGGCTCCCACAGACGCACGCGAACTAGTCCCTATTTCCAGCCATTGTTCCAAGATTTGGGAGCCCAAAGCGATCATTTTCAGAGGCAAGTCAGCACTGCGAGACAAAAACATGGCCTGTCTAGCAGTACTGGTGCTCAGAACCCCTTCATTAGTTTGTCAGAATGCTCCAATTCAGACCATGTCCAGAAGTGCGCCAGACCCGGAGATACTTTTTATCAATGCGGCCCAGCTTTTTCGCCACAGGCTTCATCAAGGACACGTGAGGTTTGGGACCCGGTTTGGCCAATCCCTGGTGCGTCAAGTCCTCAAAAGCATCCTGGGGCTTCAGGTCTGGTGCGCCATCCCATCCCAAAAAATTGAAGGCAAACCGCTTTCCAGGGCCCAGGAAGCATGGGCTGGGGCCCATGACACGTTGGAGAAGCCCGCAATTGTTTTTTTGTTCTTCTTCAAGGCACTCCGAGGGGGCCACCTCAGGTTAAACCACTTCAGGTTTTCTAGCGGTTGATTCCCCAGTCTTTTCAACAATCGTTCTTTTCAAGAACCGGCCGTTTCCCTGGGTTTCCGGAGGTTTTCTAGAAAGAAGGATTTTTGGAAAGAATGGAATTGGAAGGTAGCACTAGAAACATGCACCTGGGGACTCGGTTTGGGTTTGCGGTGAAACGTTTTTTCTTTTACAGGTGCACGACATCCGGGACTGGCACTTTGCGGTGCTGTCCTGTGGTGACCCGGAGGCAGGCACCCTCACGGTGAAGGCGGGGCGGGTAGGCGTGCTGGCGGGTAGGCGTGCTCGGGTTTGCTTCCCTCGAATTGTGGTTTTCGTTGAGTTTGCTTCTGGCTTGTGAATGTTTCTTTGTTTTCTTTTTTGGGCCTTCCCTGGGTTTTGTCTGGTTTTGTTTGGGTGTCCTTGCCCCTTGTGGTTTTTGTTGAGTTTCTCCAAGATTCCCTGGCTTTCCCTGAATTTCCCCTTGAATCTTTTTGGGGATCCCGATTTTCTCTCAGGTGGGTTCTGTTTGGGCTTTGTGGGATTTTCCCTTGGGGTTCCCCTCAATCGTCCCTGGGTTTCCTTGCCCCATGTGAGAAACACCTGGCCATGGGTCAAAAGCGTACCCCCAGTGAACATCCCAATCCCCACTAAAAGGTCCACCCGCGTGTCCGAGTGGCTTCCACCCCTGAACACCTGCTCGCTCACGCGCATCACGTCAAAGCTAAACGCACACTAGCACACCCGCTCATGCGTATCACGTCCGATTTGCACGCACGCTGGCGCATGATAAGCGCACCCTGTCACGTGCATCACGTCAGAGCTGCACGCTTGTTGACAACTGATAAGCACACCCGCTCACGCGCATCACATCAGAGCTGCACGGTCGTTGATACCTGATAAGCACACCCGCTCACGCGCATCACATCAGAGCTGCACGCTCGTTGACACCTGATATGCACACCCACTCACGTGCATCACGTCAGAGCTGCACGCATGTTGGGACACGATGAGTACTCCCTGTCACGTACATCACGTCAGAGCTGCACGCACGCTAGCACATGATAAGCGCACCTGCTGACGCGCGGAGCTGCGCGCTTGCTGCCACATGATAAGCGCAGCCGCTCTCGCGCATCACGTCAGAGCTGCGCGGAGTTGGCGCATGATAAGCACACCCGCTCACTCGCACAACATCAGAGCTGCACGCACGCTGGCACGTGATAAGCGCACCCTGTCGCGCGCATGACGCTAGAGCTGCACGCACGCTGGCACATGACAAGCACCCCCGCCTCACGCGCATCATGCACGCTGGCGCATGATAAGCACCCCCGTTTACGCGCATCACGTCAGAGCTGCACGCACGTTTGCACATGATAAGCACATCCGCTGAGTGCCATGTGTGATGACTTGGTCCACAACTGCACATGTCGACCTGAGATTCAGCTAGCGTGAGTTAATTACCGGGATGTCCCACAACCCCAGAAACGTGCATTCTTGTCAAACTGCCTGAGAATAGACGCATGGGCTCCGTGCGTGTGACTATGTACCCGGCGTGCGCAAAAAATCGCTTCTAAAATGGGTGGTGCACCTTGCCGAAAATGGGATCCCAAAACGGTTTTCACCCACAGCCGCCAGATCAATTTTTTCAGGTGGAGGCCACTAAGGGGGCGCTCTCCACCTTCGCGGGGGGGGCCTACTTCGACACCAGCAGCTGCCCCGTGGAGCGCTGGGCCCCTGCGGGGGCGGCCCCGTTCTGGGTGCTGCTCTTCGCCATGGCGGCGGCCACGGGGGCCTGCTGCACCCTCTGCGCGCTGGTGGCCCGTTGGGATGGGGGGGGGTGGAATGGAGGGGGAAGGGATGGGCTTGGGGTCCTCGAAGGGGAAGGGGAAGAGGGGGGAGGGGGTGGTGGAGGATTGTTGTTGTTGTTTTGAACTTTGCGAGTTGGAGCAAGATGGTGTTTTTTTCATTTGGAGGTGTATGATAAATATAAGGATGATACAATTGTACATATATATATATATATATACATGCACATCTTTTTGCTTATGTATATACATATATATGCGCGTGCGACTCTGGATTTTGAGGGATGGTGCGTGTCATGGCGTTGTTCTCCACCTCGGCGTGCTATCTCTTCCTAATAGAGTTGGCGCCTGGTCGTCCTCAGGTTGGACCCATCGACCTGGGTACGTGGGGAGGGAGGGTGTCATCGGTTGTTGCGCATGTTTCCCCCGCCGGTTTTTGAAGGGGGGAACATCAATGCGCTGGAGGTTGCCACTGTATCTGAGGGCATCAAGTGAGAGGGCATCAAGTGAGCTTTCGGGAATTTTTAAGGGCACATGAGACACAATCAAGACCCGGGTAGACGAAGGTTAGGAAGAATGTCCTACCCACAAAATGGGTTTCGCGCCGCCTTGTTTTGCTTCCTGAGATTAGGTCAATTGGGTCCCGAGCATTTTTCATACCGGATGGGTTTTGGTCAAAACCGGGCTCGTGGGGTTTCCCCCCAGTTGGTTGGTCTTCCGGTGGCTGTGGGTCACAAATAGGTACCCAAGATGGAACCCTGGTAAGTGGAAACATGGCCCAAATTCTGCGGTCTGTTGGTTTAATTTTGACCCACCCCCAAATCCGGTGCCCGACTCGTGGGGGCTTCCCGCTTTGGGGCGCCCGACTCGTGGGGGGAAACCCCGTCCAGTTGGTTGGCCTTCAGGTGACCTACCAGCTGAAGGCCAAGCTGACGCCCAAGGAGGCTGAGCTGCAGGGCGTCGCCGGCACCGTGCTGGGCCACTCGGACGCCACCACCGGTTCGACCGCCGCGACCGCCGCGGGCGGCGTGGACCCGGGGGCCAAGATCCCGGATGAGACGATGCAGGTGTGATGCCTCTCGCGCTGCAGGCGGCTGGGTGGAAAGTGTTTTTTGAGCAAAAACCCGGACCAGAAGAAGGGGTTCTCGAAAAAGGAGGTGAAAAATGGGGGGGAGGGGGGCAGTGGTTTAAACCATTCTCGCGCCTGGCGGGTGGCCAAGCCTGCACCGAGGTTCCGGGATGCTGAGCATTCGGGGTTCAATTTTGGAGACATAATCCAATCCTTTTTGACCGCAAGTGATCTCGCTCGTTCGGGTTCAGCTGAGCTGATCTCCGGTGCGCTGCATGTTTAGTTCGCTCGGTGCGACCGCGGTCAGTTTCCCTGAACAGGGGTTTCGGGCCGTGGTTTGCAGACCACCATGTTCCGGTAGGTTGGCTGGGTTGTTCAAATCTAAACCAGCCAGATAGTAGTGGTTGTCCTTCCAGTTTGACCAACCCAGGTGGTCAGGACTTCGTTTATAATTGCAGTTTGTCCTTTCAAGACGTTCCGCGCAGTGAAGCGTAAATGAGCAGCGCCCAAAGTCGAGGGTTCTATTGCCTGGGGGGAATATAGGGAGGGTCCATTTTCAGCCTATATCATTTTGATACAGCCTTCAGTTTAGGGCGCTGCTCGAATAAAATTGTGGCTCAGTTACTCTGACCACAGACATGGAAGTGCGTAGAGCCTCGGAAAAGGATGCATCTGCGCACTTCCATGGTGGGAGGATACGCATTTTTGCCAGAGCGTTGCTGGCGGTGCGGACAAAAAAATGAGGCACACCATGGCCAATGGCACAACTGAAGCGATCGTGGCTGCTTCTTTTGTGAGCTGCTTTTGGGGATGGGCAAGTACCTGGGCATGAGGGAGACACAGCTCAGCTTTGCATGACGCCTCCATTGTACCTGACCCGCTGCCTCGCTTCAGGCTCACAATGATCTGTGCAAATTTCAGGGCAGCTCACGGATTTTTTGCATCGAGTTCAGAAAAGATAAGAGCACCTGACTGCTTCTTGGGTCCTTTGCTTTTTTGGTACTCTCTGCCTTGTTCACTTGGGGGGGAGGGGGAGATACGGTCGCGATGGCTTGTAAGCTGTACCAGGACGTCCAAAGAAGTGTCGAGTCGAGTGTCTGAGAAGCGCTGTTGGCGTCCCGGGGCGGTTCTGGCAGGTTGATCAGGTGTCTTGTTATCTTGCTGGTGCGATAGGGAATGAGTTGGAATGACCCCTATAAACCATCCGTTGTGGTTGCTTTAAGGGGACCCCCGGTTTATTCCCTACTGAGCACCAGCAAGTTATGCTTCCTCTTTTGGAAGAATCAAGCAGAGCTTCATCGCCATTCTTGAGGACGGTTCCCATGGTACACAATATTTGGGCGGGAAGCACAATGCCCCTATTGATACTTCTCGAACGGGCGAAGGAATAGCCAGCCAAAAAACAAATCAGGGGCAGTCCCCAAATATTGCGGGCAGTTGAGAACAAGACCTCGCGGCCTTTTTGAAGCCAGGCTCCCTTTTCGAGTGAGGCCCAGGGACGCGCTGTCCGGCCCGAAGCTGCGGATTTTTCTTGGCTTCCCGCTTCCCCGACCAGCTGCTTGTGCCGCACTCCCCGGATCCGAATCGCGGCACGTGTTGGGATCAGGAGATTTTGGAGGATGAGCCCGACTGGGATGAGGCGGCAAGGCGCCGGACGCGTGGAGTGAGTAACAAAAAAAAAAGGCCGAGAGGTTTTGTTTGGTCCCTTTGGTCAGTGTTTCTCAAAGGCCCCATACTTCTCTGGAGTTAGCTCCCCATGTTTTATTTTGGGCATTCTTGGGGCCCCCTTTGTTTTCCATGAATCAGGCAGTAGTTTTTTTTGCCGGGGTCCTAATTCCAGCCAAGCATAGAGATGGCAAGGGTTGTTCCTTTTGGTTTCCCTTCAGATACTGCAAAGAGGACGACGCAACTATTTTTTCATAGCAACCCCTGTGCCCAAGGAGCGGAAAGCAGAGCCCATCGGAATCGGAACTGACCAGCTTACTCCCGAACAGAAAAATGCCTTGTGGTCGTTTTCGGGGTTTTCAACCAGGTGCCCCAGTGCCCTTCTCTACCCTTTTTTGGTTGGGAGGATTCCGCTACAGAAAAAGGGGGTACCCTTATTCTAACCTCTCTACTGGAGGACCTAGCCAACAGGTGCATTCCCACCCCCCAAGGAATCGGAAGTTCCTGAGACACGGCACGCTTCAAAAAGCCATTGACCACCCGAGCCAGGCGTGTGTGCGACGGCATGGAGGGCGGCTTCGAATCAAGGGCGCTCTGCGAATGCGGCGGGGCGCCGCAGAATCGGCTTGTTGCAAATTGGTGTACACCAACCCTGGTCCAAGTGCAAGCCTCAATCCTTCAAGCTTCCAACCCTTCGTTTGCAGCCACAATATTCCTTATATCATTCTTCGCCTTTCCGGGAAGACCCAAACGATGTTGACTCAACCTGGTCCTTTGACCATTTGCGCAAGGCACTGGCCCAACGCCAGATATGCCCTCCCCTGATTGGGCAGGGCCTTCCTCTATTTTTGGGTTGCCCACTTTGTAGGGAAAACACTTCCGGATACTGGGCTGAACTCATTGGAACAAATCTGGAAGAATGTTCCGTCCGCCTATGGCGGAGAAGATGACCTGGCGTCCGCACCTCACTAAAACCAATCACCCCGCAAAGGGTGATCGGGAGCCTGCGACAAGAATCTCTGTTTTTTTTTAAAAAAATCTTTGGAGCCCCTGAACCACTAGGACACCAACTATTTTTGGGTCCCGAATACTCCCCATGTTTGGGTGAATCTTTATTAAGTCACCGCCCCAAAGTAACGGTTTGCCCAAAAGAGGGTCCTTCCTTCATCATGAATAACATCGCAGCCGGCAATCATTTGCCCGGCAAACCTTCACTTTTAGTCACTTAGATGGGTATGAATTTCAACAAGGGACCCTTTGGTGGACATCATTTGAGTGGAACCACTTGTGAGGCAGTGCTTTGCTCAAGTTCATGGCAGTCCAACCTTGGTTTGCATAAGGTTTGTACCAACCTTCAGGACCCTTGACAAAACCAAGCCAAGAAAAGATCAACTCGGATGGACCAGCTGTCTCTGCCAGACGAAAGGGAGCAGCCTGTACATCCAGTCTTGCACCAGGTGGTAGGTGAATCCCCGGATTCATTGAGTTTCATTCATCCCGACTGGTGCAGGCTTTGTGCAGGAGCCTTACCCAGGTTCCGGAAAGAGTTTCGCAGCAAACCCTGAGGCGTTGAGGAAGTGGCTCTCAGCAGTTGTTTAGCAGGTTTCTCTTTTTTCGTAGACAGCTTGGGTTTAACGAAGTTATTTGTCCAATGATAGTTTGCTTAAGTTACCTACCAGAAAGGTCATGGAACTCTTGTATTACGTGCTAACTTGCAGGTTGCTTCTGAGCCCCTGGTATGAACTCCCCTAGTTTATGGGTGAATTCACCGTTCCTTCTGGCTTCATGATGAAAAAAGAATAAAAAACCAGCCCCAAAAAGGGTCCAAGAACAAAAAAGAGCATGGGGTCAGAGGATGGAGCTACACCCTCAGTTTTTGAAGGCCTGGGCCCCGAGGTCGTCCTCTGCACCGCTACGCGCGGCTGCCGCGATACCAGAGCTTCCTCATGTGCAGCGCCACTAAGGCAGCTCCGGATTTTCGGATTTTTGTGCGATGCCTGGTCTAGGTCATTTTGGTTCCAAGGAACCGAAAAAAATATAGGGTACCCTGATTCTAATTTTTCTACTGGAGGACCTAGTGGTGCTGTCAACGAATCCAAACAATGGAAAGGTGAAAGGGTGCTTTGGCCTTGAAAAAGATGGCCAGCAATTTGGGGCCGGGTGTCCCTGTAAGTAAAATCCCTCATGTGGTTTCGTTGCGGCTTTGGCGAGGTTCCAGTGGTTTTCCTTTTGGTGTGGTTTCCTTCCGGCTTCCTCTGGATTCCCTCCGACCGGCCAAATTTCCAGATCGGATCTGGGGAGAGCCTGGTCATTTCGAACCTGCTCTTCGAATTGCCAAATGGGTATGGGTCAAAATTTTTCACCACCAGGAATTGGACCACAGGTTTTAGTCATTGTTTCCATTTACCAGGGTGCCATTTTGGGTAGTACCTATTTTTGACCCACAGCCAAATGGGTCGTCAATCCAAGTGACCCCTTGGGTGGCTTTCCTTTTGGTTTACCTTCTTTTCCACGGAAAAGGGCGCCAAACTCCAAACAAAAAAGACGGCGCAATCCACCGGGGGGGTCCCCCGCATTGTTTTGTGGAACGCAAACCAAGTGTGTGTGTGTGTGTGTGTGTGTGTTCTTTTTCGGGGAACTCCCAAAGTCTCTTGGTTGTAAGGCGAAGCCAAAAGGACACCGGGGCATTTTGGGTCCCGATTTTTTTGAGGCAGCTTCCGCTCTCTGCCCTTTGCTTCTTCCCAGAATCTTCCATGTGGGGATTCCGGGGGTTCAACGAGGGTTTCCTTCTCTTTGTTCTAGGGGTTGCTTCCCCATTCTTTCCAACCATACGTTCGTTTAAAAAAACAGGCTGTTTTCCCCTGGGTTTTGGATGGGCTTCCTGGAAAGAATGGGGACCTCTAGATTTGTGGCTGGATGGCTCAGGTTGCGGGGTTCGTTCGTTGAAGAGGAACCCTGCAATGCAAATTGGCAGGAGTGCCATCGCTGCGACAAGGAGATCTTGCGACTTGGGCCGAAAGGACTGGCGAAGCCTGAATGGCCTTTGGTGCATTTTACCAAGGGATGTTAGGACTTTAACTTTTTGCCAACTAATGAGGTTTCCACTAAACCACTAAAAGTTAAACTTTTAGCAGGGGAGCAGAAAGCAACCAAGTGGCACCATCAGAGGAACAAAAACCTGGTGGAAGAAAGGTCTAAATGGGAACGTGAAACCAGAGGCTGGGACCTTCGAATCAATCATGAAGCCCTGGTGGATTACGCAGGACGTCCCACTTCAGCGGGATAGAGGGCATCCTTCCCGTGTGAATCCGAAAGGCAAACTCTCCTCCATAATACCTGGGGGTTTTGGCAAATACTGGCCATCCCATGTTTTTCGTCCGGCAGGTGAATTTTTACCAGGGACCCCCAAAAATCTGCCGGAACCCCTTGACGACTTTCCGCCGAAAGGCTTCTAAGGGGCCGAACGCTGATCCGTCCGGAGCTGCGGCTTGGGGTGCAAGGCAAGTAGCGAAAGAAGCGGTTCACTGGGTTTGGCCCCGATCCGAGTTGTGTAGCAGCAGCATACCAATGCAAACAGAGAAGGCGGGTTCAACTCTGACTAGGCCCCCCAGTAGTGCCCTTTGACCAACTTGTTTTGGGGAGGGTTCCCCTACTAAAATAGACTAGAGAAAAAAGGGTACCCTTATTCTGTATTCTATCCTCTTTACTGGAGGACCTAGCTGAGGTGGTTGAAAGGAAATCTTGCAAACTGACAGCTCCCCCGCAGAAGGCTCTTCCCCGAAACGTCCAAACGATTACGATTTTCGCGGGACTCATAGGGCCTCAAAGTTTCGGGTGTTCACTTCCGCACCTGCTCAATGGCTGTCGCTTGCACCAAGATGGGATTTTAGCCCCTAAAGGGCAGGGCTTGTCTGAAGTAAGCAAGGGAGTTTCAGGGGGTAGGTTCAACCTGAATTGACCAGGAAAACGGTTGCTCCCAGTAACTTGGTAGCCTAAAGTGAACTGGCAGCCGTGTCTTGTTCGCATGAACTTGAGGTATAAAGCTCACTTCCCCCCATTTTTTGGACTCTTCACACTCCCGGAAAGTCAAGTAAAGTGGATCCAGCCGGGACAGGAGTTACCGAGCTCACTGTGGGGTAAAACGCTCTTGGACGAGAATCCTTATATGGGTTTGTCTTAAAATTGGGTACCCCCCAAAAAAGGATTCGGTTTCCTCTTGGCTTCCCTTGAAAGTACCCCTACAAACGGGTATCCTCAAACCATGGTTGTTGTTGGGAAACATTTGACATCTTTGCTTATTGTGGTCTAGTGGTTGAAATCCAAATCCACTGAACTGCTAAAATCTGAGAATTTCCCTTGAAAGCAACCCAAAAACCGGGTATCCTCAAAAAGACAAAGGAGCATCGGCGTGTGAAGCGGCGTCAACCGCGATTCACCGACCCGTGGCCAAGGCCCGGAGACATGCACTTCGTGTGTGCCAGTTGCTCCGAGAAGCACATCTGCAAGGAGCCTTTTTCCGCGTCTCGGGGGCGCCGAGTTTGTTTAAAGAAGCCAGAAGCACCTAGATTGCCAAGCTGCTGCTTTTGTTCAGTCACTGTTGATGGTTTTTGGGGGAAATGGAAGAAAGCAGCAACTGGCGATCCAGGAATCTTCAAACAGGCTTGGCATCTGATGCGACACCTGTTTGAAGAGTCTTCTTCTTTTGGTTTCCAAAGACGAAGGGTTGGGTGGTTCACACACACACACACATTTTTGTCGCAACCTGCCCCAGGTTGCAAGGAGGCACTTTCCCAAAGACCGCTTGTCTTGCCCACGGAATCCACTTCCATTTGGTCGGAAGGAGGGGGCCGGCTATGGGGGGGCTATGGGGCGCCAAGGGAATCTGGTGACTCGGTCAGAGAAGTATTAAGATGCCGATCAAGTTCATGCTTGACACGGAATAGATTCCTTTTTCAGGCCCTCCTCAAACTCTTTCTCAGGCGTTCCCGGATTAAAGACCACCCCACGTCTGTGCACGGAACTACGGCCCTTGCAGGACTGCGGGCCGTCGGCGACGCTGGCGGGTTTTGAGGGCCGATTCGGCCGTCGGCTTTTCGCCGTCAGCAAGCGGCTCCCGGAGTTGTGGAAATTTGGTGGACCCTTTTTGGGATGTTGAGAAGCCGGAAGGAAACCATACATATTTGGGGGTCCACCCCAATTGAGGAAATATCCAGTTGCATTGCAGGAGTCGCAGGAAATATTTTAACTGGCGCTCCCCCCAATGCGCAACGGTTTCCTATCGGCTTCGACAAACAAGCCGCAGGTTTCAACACCCTCGGCGCCCAAATCGCAAAGGGATGGTTGGGTGGGGGATGGGTGCGTGGTGGTTTCGAGTCCCCATGATTCCCTCGTGCGGGTTCCCTCGGGTTGAAGAAGGGGAACCCACCAGCCCAGAAAAACGACTTCCGCAAAAAGCTATAAACACATGGAAAGGTCCAACAACGGAAACTCAGAGGTGCGAACACGAGTCCCAAAAGCCATCGGCCGGGGTTTGCCCTCGGACCCATCGGCCGGGGTTTCCAGGTCTACATCCACCGGGAGTATGACTTTCTAGACTACGAGACCGGGGAAGTGCCTGTGGCCCCAGGATAGCGAAAAAAAGTTGGGCGGGGCATTCCGCCCCGCCAACCTCGCGAATTTCCTTTTGGTTTGCCAAAAAAAGAACACCAAAACAGGGGTACCGTCAAAAGGGATATGTAAGTGTTATACCATCCATTTACCTGTGGCGTGATTAAACAAAAAACTGTTTTCTAGAGGGGTAGCCTAGTTCTGCCATGGGCATAGAGCTCCATCCCAGCGCTTGGCTCAGACCACCTTCTTCGGCAACCTTTTAACACCAGGAAGCACCAGGTAGAGCCTTACATCGGCGTCTGGGTTTAGAGCTGCCTTTTTCAGTGCAAAGGGAAACCACCAGGAATTCTTCGGCTCGGCTGTGGGGGTTCACCAATGTGTTTGAGCACATCGTGGGGGAAACTCGCTTGGGTTGTCAAGAATAAATGAATGCCACCGATTGCAAAGGCGGGTGTTCGGGATGCAATACCAAACCATTCTAGAATGTAAGGGGAGTCCCTTGTTAATAGGAATTTACACTAATTTATCGCAAGCTCACCTGGGAGTAAAACGAGCAAGCCCCATGATGAATGAACTTACCCATTGCAAAATTCAGGTTGGTGAATCATGGCAGTTTGGCCACAGTCCCTCAGACAAACAGCCGGAAGCTCCCCCAATTGGCCTCTGTAAATGGAACCAAGTCTTGCCAGAAAGTCCTGGCAGCTTCCATGTTGACCTGGAAAAGGGTAGTAGACAGGAATGGAAACCAACCCTAGTCAACCACCAGCTCGATGAGCATCGGTCAAGGGTGGTCATCGGTCAAGTCATATTGCCAGTCCACGTCGGGAACTCAGCAAGAACAAACATACCCAACTTGACTGCTATTGGGTTGGATCTTTAGGCTTCAACTTTTTGGTTCAAATCAAGTTGGGTTTTCCACTAAATCCCCCAACAAGTTTTAAACTTTTTGCAGGGGGGTCGTTGCAGCAACCAAGCCAAGAAGCCTTTACGTGAGGGTTGGAGGATGCTGGGGGTTGCCCTCCCACCAATCAACATGGAACCTGATAAGGGGGTCTGGAAGACCTTGTTCCTTTCAAAGGGATGTTAATGGGTGGGTGGGTTGATGGGTGGTTGGTTGGTTGGTCGGTTGGTTGGTTGTTTGGTTGGTTGGTGGGTTAATTTGTTGGTGGGTTGTGTGTTTTCTTGGGCACGCCTTGTTCTAAGGGTAGCTTCCCCATTCTTTCCAGGGAGCCTTCTTTCTAGAAGACCACCAAAAGCCCTGCAAAAAAACAGCCGGTTCTTGAAAAGAGCGATGGTTGAAAAGAATGGAATTGGCATCAACCCCTAGACTTGTGCAACAAGCCGACCAAAGTTTCAATGGGAAAGTTCCTGTTGAGGCAGGTGCTCGAGATCCCGCAGCGTGTGATGCACGAGCGGAGGACCAGGCCACCTACCGGACCGGACCGATGGGTCGGTTAGAAGGTCTAGGTCCCCCAGCTAGGTGCCAACTTTCACCCGTTTCTTTTTTGGGGGAGGGTTCCCCTACTAAAATAAACTACAGAAAAGAGGGTACCCTTATTCTAACCTCTCTACTGGAGGACCTAGTTTCAGAAGGGAAACCGCCGTGTTTGTTGACGTTTGGGTCAGGCATCCAATCGACAAACCGGATAATTATCCGTCCATTGAAAGAGCTCCTCCTTGCTGTTCTTGGATTACCACACTTCTGGCATTTTGTCTGGCTTAGAAACGGCAAAAACGCTGCAACGCCGAATTCTCTCATTTTGAGAAACCGGTGTGTATTTGTTTTGGGGCGGAAGCACCTTTGCACCTTTGATTGGCTTGAAAGGGGAACGAAAAGGCATCTGTTGGTGTGCCCTGCAGCAGGAACAATGGTTGAGAAGCGCTTTTTGTTCCCGAGTCATCTTACTAAGGGAGCGGGCATTGGTCTTGCAAAAGTGCGCGCGGGAGCAAGCATCGCGGAAGTTTGGCGGGAAATTCGCGGAAGCTTCGCAACATCTCAGGCCAAGAAGAAGCAAAAAGGGCGGCCGAAGCAAGAGTAGCCAACGTATGTATGCTCATGTTAGAGCAGGGCTCCTCAAAAGATACATTTTGCCCATTGAAGACATGGCTTTTTCCACCCAAATCATCGCATCTTTGCTAACTTCAATATTCAGAACCACAGCAAGGGGAGCGGGAAGGTTACAATCTTATCGGCGAGGATATTGCCAGTGTCAGACATGTCGCCTTCCGAGTCGCTATTTCAATGCTGCAATGGCTCCATAGCCTACGGCGCTAAACACTCCATAGGGATCACCGAGACTTTGCGCCAGGTCCGTCACCCTGGAGGCCGGACGGGTTCTGCATGAAAGCATCCGATTGCAGCGGTTGAGAGGGAAAGCGGAAGGAAGGCTCAGACTTTGTTGTTTTATTCGAAGCACCCAAGTGCTCCAGAGCAACTAGACCGATTGGCGCTGGGGCTGGAGATGGGCAAACTCCGGCTCACACGAATTGATCTCTTAGCCTTTGTGTTGAATCGGCTGTGGCTAATCTTGCTTTGGCAGGTGTGTGTTACCAGCAACTCGAAGCAACCCTACCTTGTTTATATATATATATATATATATATATATTTTTTCCCCGGGGGGGGGGGAGAGGGGTGCACCTTCGCTTGGTCGCATGCACGCCCCAAAGGCTTCAGCTTGTGGCACGTCAGGCGAGCCAACAAGTCGCGAGCCGGGCGGGAGCCCCCGTTGGAGTGGAGGGGCAGGCGAGGGGTCGCAGGAGGACCCCGCCGGGTCAGGGAATGCGGGAAAAAGCGCTGAGGACCGGCGGCCATCAGAATGAATGTTCTGCTGAGTTGGCCATGAATGGCGGGAAAATTGATGGTTCATGCTGGTTGATGGGAAAAAAAAGAAGCTCAGAGCAAGATGTGATTGCTGAACTTCTCCGGACACAAAACTCACCCAAAGCTGATTGACCAGCTTATGGTTTTGTCAGGTCAAATCCTGGAAGAAGGACTTGGAGGGCATCCTGTCCCCTGAGTTTTACGCTCGTTGTTGCACCAGTTTGAGGGCAAAGGTCTCTGAACGGGACGTTGGCACAATGCCTTGAAGCCTTGCAACAATTTGTTGCTTCGCAGCTGTCGAAGGGCCGGCTCCCTGGATGTCTTTTTCAGCTCATTTCGCTGGCGTCACTCAGCTGGTAACCGCCTTTCATGGCGGTGTCGTGTCCGAGGGGAAAGCTGGCGTCGTCCTAAAATTGGAAACCCCTCAGAATGATGGGCTTTCCCCTTAGTTCTCTTTAAAGCCAGCGGCACCCATCTTTTCAAAGATTCTCCCGGCACTGTTGAGACGAGCATGTTCCTTTCATATTCGGATCATTGGAGTCATTTGGCAAATTGGACCGAGCTGACCGGTCGGGTGCAAAACGAGGAAAGCCCCTCACAGGAAGCCTTTCAGATTGAATTTTGGTAATCGCAGATATGGATTGGGTGTGTCTCTTTTTGACGGTACCCCTTGTCGCTGTGTCTCAAAGGGAGACCAAGGGGAAACCACTTCTTCTTCTGTTTTGGGAGTGGAGAGGGTTCTCTAAGAACAGACCCATTGGACGACTTCGTCCACGTGAGACACCTTCGACCCCCTTTGCCACCGAGGTGATCGATCGGATGCAGCGCATCGCCGCTGAAGTGGCGCAGGAGGAGGACCGGCTGACCAGACAGCGGTGGGGTTCGCTGGGGTACTTCATTGGACATGAGAAGCATCCGAGAGGAAACGGGCCCAACTTAGCACCGTGATTTTTTCTCCCCTAGGAAAACATGTTGTTGAGCAACCCTGCTGTTGAAAGAATGTATGGTTTCCCGCCCTAGTAGTGTAGAGTTCCTTGTTCCTCTTGGTATGCCAGGCTTTCAAAGGGATTTGGCAAGAAAAACTACCAGTGGGGCTTGTTGCGAGATGCTTAAAGTGGACATTTGGAGCAAGCTCTTTTTAGTCCTTTTTGGGCACTCTTTCTTGGGTGTTCATGGCACAGAGAGATTGTCACGCACGCATCTACAGTGGGTGGGCGGCACGTGGGTCTCAGATCCAGAGCGCAACGGCAAAGCGCTGTGCCCAAGAAGCAAAGAGATGTACTTGTGTGGAGGGTGAGAAGAGGGAGAAGAGGGAGAAGAATGGAGAAGAGAAAAAAAGAGAGAAGAAGTGAGAAGACGTGAGAAGAAGAGGGAAGAAGAGAGAATACTGGCGAAGAAAGAAGAGACAACCCATTGGTTAGTAAGCCCATTTTGTAGCCCCCTGTCTTTCGTTTTTCCAGATTTGGTTGTTGCGAGGGGGCTTACAAATCGGCCAACCACTTCTTGGTGGCTCCCAGCCATCCATTTTAGCCTTTTAGCTTTTAGTGTTTAGGGGCAGTTGCCATTTAACCCGCTAAAAGTGAGTCACTTGATCCGCGGGGGATCTGAAAACGGGCACCTCGGGGGTTTCCGCCAGGACGTCCTGGACAAGGACTGGAACCCCGAGAACCTCTTGCCCGGCGGCTCAGCGGGTTACGAAGAAAATATGGCGGGCGGCCTTCTCTGTGCCTGAAGGTTTTGACGGGATACGGGTTTGAGGGACCTAGCAGGACCTAGCTCCCTAAAGCTAGGTGCCAACTTTTACCGTTTCTCTTTTCTTTGGTTGGGAGAGTTCCCCTACTAAAATAGACTACAGCAGAAAGGTTACCCTTATTCTAACCTCTCTACTGGAGGACCTAGGGGAAATAGAGTAGCAGAGCGAAAATGTTTGACCCTCATGCGTGGTTTGGCCTTGTCTTGCTGGTCCTCAGTAGGGAATGAGGGAATGAACTTGGGATTCCCCAAAAGGAAACCACAGCAGATGATTTATAGGGGGCATTCCAACTCATTCCCCGCCTATCGCACCAAGTTGTGTCTTGGAGGAAATCCTCGCCCAAATGAGGTTTGCTTTCGGTGTGCGCCAAAACCCGTTGCGGCCAGCTTTGCGCGGTGGCGAAAGGTCTCTTTCGGATGGCGATAGGTGGCAACCCGCTGGACGTTTCTTAACGTTTGAAGGTGTCCCTCCGAAGCTTTGGTGCAGTTTGCCAAGGGATGTTAGGACTTTAACTTTTTGCCAACCAATGGGTTTTCCATTAAATCTCTCCAAGAGTTAAACTTGTAGCAGGGGAGCAGAAAGCAACCGAGGAAGGAACTCAAAAGGAAACGCTTGCCAGTAGAGTAGGGGTCCCCAAAACCAAAGGAAACTATGTCCAAGTCCCCATGCTTCCGATTGTGGAAGCCAGAGCCTAGCAAGTGCCTTTACAGATGTTCTTCGAAGAAGTATTTCGAGGTGTTTTTTTTTGCGCTGACTGAGCCAAAGAGAGCCCTACCCTACTGTCCAATTGAACAATCTGGGCTTTCCCCAAATCGTAGAACACCACTGAGGTAGCCCTGAACAGGGTACTGCTATGTTGTATAAGCCACCTGTGGAGCATGTTTGTTGTTGCTATTGGTCATGTATCAGTCTTGCATCCCAAGTGTTGTGTAATTCCACCAGCGTGACAGATGGCACACATCCAGTGCATGTACATATAGTATGTGCCTATTTTATGTCGAGCTCACCTGGGGGTAAAACGAGCTCAATCCCTTAATCCATTTTTGGGAATTATAGTGACATCATGCAGATTATATGCTTATCCAAATGTACATGCATCGTCAGTGAGAAGTCATGCGCGTGTATGCGCACACTCTCACATATATATATATATATACATACATATATACAGAAATGCATGTATGGCCTATTCTGTATTTCTGTATAGCTATTCATACAAACATGCATACGTGCAATTAATAATAATAAAAAAAACATATCTCTCCAAAGAGATATACATGCAAACACACACACACACACACATATAAAGTGTACAGTATACACATGCATATAGATAGATATATACATATACCTATGTGTGTGTGTGCGCACGCACCCACATGTACCTACATGCTCATATATGTACTATTGACGGACACACGCACACACAAACGCGGAGAACTACACATATCCATACATATACATATATATATATATATATGGTACTCGCCCCCATGGACCCTGGTTTGGTGCGCTATACATATATATATATATATATACATATATATATACGTATAACACACATATATATGTATATACACACACACATCTAGGCATGGCATTAATAATTAACCCGTTGATTTGGACCCGCCCGCGGAATTCACCAGGTTCGACCTGCTGGGTGTGGACACCCCGGAAGCTGCGGCGAAGAGCGCCTGAGACGGAAGGGATCTGCCGGTGATGTGTTTGGCCACTTTTTCTAGGTCTCCCAGTGGTGCCCTTTTACCCTTTGTTGGGGGAGGGTTCTCCTAATAAAATAGACTACAGAGAAAGTGTACCCTTAATCTAACCTCTCGACTGGAGGACCTATTGTCTCTCCCCTACGGTTTGGCATGGACCCCCCAAAAACCAAACAACTGCCATGTTTGGAGGAATCTCCTCTTGCAGAACCCCATTTTTGCGCTGCAGGTTAAATTTGTAGGAGTATGGTGTTTATGCTCAAGAGATGCAAGAGACACAGAACCCATGGCGACAGTTCCAGGATTGTGGGCAGGGGTTTGTCGCAGGTTTGCCAGATTCCCATGGGTTTAGCATGTCAGGTGGTGCTCCTTTCGGTTTCCCTTAAACCAACCTCGGCAACAAGAGTACCAACCAAATGCAGGACCCTGGTCGCACTTTCAAACTCATTCTGGCTGTGAGACCCCTCGAAGAAATCGAAGACCCCAATAAGGAGTCAAACAAATAGGTCCTCCAGCAAATGGTGGAATAAGGGTACCCGATTTTTTTTCTGTGGTCTATTTAGCAGGAGAACCCTCCCCCCAAAAAATGTAAAAGGGCACCTGGCTGGCTGGGGGACCTAGGTGTGGTAAGGATCCCTAATCATGATGGCCTAGTCCCACCACTCGGGCCCCCCCAAAAAAGAGGTTGACGATTCAACCATGGCATGCTCCCATATTCAAGCGACTCATGTTCCGACTGCTGTGCCTGCTGGGAAAATGGACTTATCTCAGAACTTGCTTGGGTGGACTAAGCCTACCCAGGGCACCTTGGCGGGTTGGATGAGGAATCACCCACGATATGAATGGAATGGCCTCCAACTGACCAGTTGTCCATTTTAAAAGGGGGAACAAAACGAGGTTCCTTCCCTGTCCTCGTTTCCGTGAGCCAAGTTTTAGGGCCCCCCTATTTTTGACACCTGAGTGATAGGGACCATCCATCACGGACTGAGGGCCAGGGCCTTGGGCAATTTTTCATGCTTCTAAATGGGTGTGGTTAGTTTCCAGGAAATCCGAGGGGGAAACAGGTTCTATACTACATGTCCCATTCAAGCCGACATTTGGGTCTTTGGCCTGTACCAACCCATCGTTGGGAAACGCCGCGATTGCAAGGGAAACAACGTGAGACACCATTTTTGAAGACAACAAAAGGGACTCACACTGCGCAGGACGTTTGTTTTTGTGCGTGTTTCTGGACGCTTGGCATGGCTCCTGAAAAGTTCCTGGGCTTACAATGGAACTTGAGAGGCTGTCGGACGGTTTGAACCCCCCCCCCCCCCCAAAAAAAAAGCCATTCTGCGGCTCGGGTTTCCTCATTTTGGAGAACAACCCCAGCAACCGAGGCAAGGGGGGGCGACTGTTTTCATGGGTTCGCGGTGCGACTTGTCACAGGCTTCCCACAGCACAGTGCTTGCCAACCAGTGTATGGCGGCCTGCGAGGACACGCCTAGTTTTCCGACCGGGGCTGCTAAAAAAACAAGACTCTGGGGGTAACTTCCCCCTTCTTTCCAGGGATCCTTCTTTCTAGAAAACCACCAAAAAAGCAGGGGGAAATGGCAGGTTTTTGAAAAGAACCATGGCTGAAAAGAATGGAATTGGAATGAACCCCTAGAAAGACGGGTTTTTCGTGTGCCTGCACGGCTCTTGTACAGGGCTTGCCTCTTAGATTTCTGGTGGCTTCAAAATCAATTGCTTGGATGTGTTGGGGTGGAGGCCGGGATCTAGGCGTCAAGGGATTCGGCGAAAAGGCAGAGCCTGCCCACGGAACGCCACAACCTCTCGGGGGTCATTTTGCAGTTTGCATAGTCATTGCAGTTCGCATCCCCAGCTATTCCACCGCCCCCTCCAAAGCCCATGTGTGTTTCATTTCCGCTTTTTTGCTGGAAAAATCCCCTCCCCCCTCCCCCCCCCTGCTTGAATTCCCCTCCCCCCCCTCCGGTCGTGTGGAAATCGACGTTTCGCCCCGCTGAAGGCTTCCTGGAGCTGGTGCTCGGGTGCCAGCGGATCTTCATGACGCAGCCCATCTTGACGGAGGACCGACTCGGGCGATCGATCGGTCCGTGGGCTGAAGAAACAAGCGAGCCACGACGAAAACCCGGGTGGATGAAAGGACACAAATGTCCCTGCCGCATACAAGACAAGCAAAATTGTGAGTCACAATCAAAAGTGGGGTAAGTGAAGGTTAGAGTTAGAAAGGGAGCATCCCAACCACAAGTAGCTGCGGATATCCGGCTTCTTCATTCTTTATAAATGGTTCTGGAGCAAATTTTAGTACAAGGGTTTGATTATGACTCAAATGGGCGTGGCTCAAAATTAACATGCTTTTGAGCCACAGCCAAATGTACACATGATTTTGCATCGCAGCCTGCTTGGGGATGGAGGGCAGGGAACCTCTCATTTGCGAACCGTTGAATTCCGGGGGATGCAGCTCGCTCTGACATACCGAAAGATACCGAAAGAGAGGTCCGCCACAGACAACTAGATCAATAGAAGATGATCTGCCAATAGGACTGATTATGCATCCATTGATCCAGAGATGCTGGGGAGTATCCTGACACGATCAGTTGGGTTCTTGACCAAAAGTGAAAGTGCATGTACCAACGCCAAACGCCACCGACATATGCCCAAGGACGGGACAAGTGGTAAAGTGCCCAGTGCCAAACGGTTACTGACAGGGTGCCAAAAGCCCGAGCTTCCGATTCCGGCAGGCTGATGTGCCCTGCAAGATCTTCGGGGACATCCACGGCCAGCTCAGGGACGTTCTTCTGCTGCCGGCGCCCCACTCCGCCCCAAGAACGGCCCCAGAAAGACCCCCGGTTTTCGGCCTAAGGAGGCCCCCAGACACCCCAAAGGCGGCTCCAATGGACCGAAAAAGGGTCCGGGAGATCGAAATGCGTGGTCTTTCTCGGCAGAATCTAGGAGCTACTGCCATGTGAAGCAAGAAACATGAGAGCAACATTGACTGACTTCTTTCTGCATCCAAGTGTGTATGTCTGATTTTGAGGCTGCCTTTTTTGCCCTTATTTTTGTTCAGGGAAAACAAATGCAGCCTACGCACTTTGAAGACTGCCATCCTCAGAAGACCGCCAGCTCCAGAAATAGCTTGGCGAGCAGTCGCGCGCATGCGAGGTTTCACTCCTTCGGCGTGTCCGGGAGCCCGGGATTTGAGTAGCTTTCCGCTTTTAAACCACCCCAGCAAGGGAAGGTGAATCCCAAAAAAGAGGGTTCCTGGCGCGGGTTTTACCCCCCCCCCCCACCGAAAACAGAGGAGCAGTTCTGCGAAACGGGGGCTCCCCCAAAAGAGATGGGTTTCCCAAAGGCGATTCCTCAAACCAGGTGCAGGTTTCTGCTGTTTCCCCCAGAAAAAAATGAAAAGAACGAGGAGCTTCCAACCCACAAAGTTGGCTTTTTCTGCCTCGAGAGCACCCGAAAAGCTCCCCCCCCCAAGCGAAGCCCGGCAGCGGTGCCGTGGCCAGGCCGGGCAGCTCGGACTGCCCGCGGGCCGTCTTCAACGGGGACTTCGTGGACCGCGGGAAGCGCGGGGGGGTTGGGGGGTTGCGGAGAGCGGGGGGCAGGGAGCGGCTCGGAGGGTGGGGGAAGAGGGAAGCTCAGCAATGTGGTGCGTGTTGGGAGCTATGTCATGTCTAATTTCAGATAGCTTGGGTAAAATGGGGGTGTCCGGGTGTGGTTTGGAGTTTTGGGAGCTAATTTCATATGGCTGCGGGTCAAAACTATGTATCCAACATGGACTCCTGGTAAATGGAAACATGGGCCAAAACCTGCCGTCTGCTGGTGGTTTGATTTTGACCCATACCCATGTGAACCCCTGACTTCACAAAAAAGCGGTAGGTACTTGCCTTGGAGCATCAGCTTTTAACATGTGCCCTGCATAAAAGCGATTTATATATTTGGAGCAGGGGGAGAAGTGTCTGGCATAATATGTCTTTCTTTAGTTGCAAGCTTGGGAAAAAATGGGGGGATGGGATGTCCGAGTGTGGCTCGGACATGGACACAGGCACCAGGTGGAAACCGTGACGGTGCTCTTCGCGCTCAAGGCCGGGGGGCCTTCGGCGTCGCGGAGCCCGGGGGTGGGTTGCTGTTGTGTCTGTGAAAGGGATGTTATATATATATATGTATGTATATATGAGTATATACATATATATATATATATACACACATGCATATCCATATACAGTACATGTCAAACCTCCTAATTCCATATCCACATGCAGAATTCCATATCTAGATGCATAATAGATGCATATGCACTTACACATACAGACTCTATCATGTGCTTATCTGCGCTAGGTGCCCAGGGACGTGCTTCAGGTTCTTGGTTTGCAGTTTCCTGTGTACTCCTCCTGGCTTCGAGCGGCTTGGCCTGCGGCTTCAGTGGTTTTTTCCGCGACCACAAGTCGGTACATATTCGTTCTTGGTCCCACTTGCCCAAAGCAGATCGACCTTTTGACTGTTTAGTTTCCTCGTTTTAGTTGGCCCCAAAGGGACCTCTCATTTCTGGGCCCAAACCGGTTGCAACTGAGTCCTGGTTGCCCAAGGAGGTTATTGAATAGGAGCAGTTCAAGGACTCATTTCTGAGCGGGATGCAGATTCTACGTGGTTCCACAAACCCTTTGCCGTGGAAGATGCCCAAACACAAATGGTGAAAGGCCACGCGCGCGATTTGCTTTGACCTGCGGCACCGGCTGGTGCTCGTTGCATGGAGATTTGGAGACTGGAGGCTTTGGGGTTGTAGGTGTCGGTGTTTTTGTCGTTTGTAGATTCGGTGAAGCTTCATGAATATCCATAATTTCATAGAGGCCGTCTTGAAACCTCAAAAATGAACACTCAGAAGTAATCTGAAAATATTGATCAGGGAACCAAACAGCTGCCACTCCAACCATGGTTACCATTGGTGTGTTCTTTATGGTCAGGGCTCGTCATCGGCATCCGATGGCGAAACGGTGACAGGTCATGTACCCCACGCAGATTTTCCTGAACCGGGGGAACCACGAGGCTCGAGCGCGAGCTGGCGTTTGGAGTGGCCCCGACCTGCACCCCAAAATCAGACCTGGCGGATCGCTCAGGGAAACCAACTAGGGATACAGGGGGAACCAGTTGGATACGGGAATCCGGATTCGCCCGTTTGCACCTTGACGAAGTTTATGGGAAACCGTCCCGCTCCCGTATCCCCGCGTGGGGTGAGGCGTGGGTTTGGACTGGAGCCCAGGGACTGAGGCATTGAGAGGTGGCGTTCGAAAAGGGCTGAAGGTAAGACATGGCCATGGGTCAAAACCCCAAGCCCGGTACCCCCAGTGAACATCCGACGCTAAAATAGGTTCTACAATGGGTGAATTCACCAATCCCAACCAACATGGGATCAACCACAACGGTTTTGACAACCACAGCCACATAGGGTCCAAAACGTATGGTCAGGAAGGCCAAGGTCCAGGAGAAGAGGCAACAGCGGGTTTTACGGCAGTCAGCCGAGTGACAGGACACCACCATGAACCAGAAGTATGGCTTTATGAAGGCGCCGGCTGCCTTGGGAGCGAGGAGCGATTTCTCGGGCGCTTGAAGGCTTGTGCTCGCTCCTGTTCTCTCTGAAACATATAGCGCACACGTCCCTTTGCACATACTCAGCTCATCCGCACAGCTATTTTGCAGCGCTCTTTGTGCAAAAGCTGTCCAGCCTTTCTTGGGTTAGGCGAGGGGTGCCCTTTGGAGTGGTTTCTTTAGGGGGTTGGCCAAGCCTCACGACCTTCACATGACCGGATCAACGATTCCGGTCTCGGTTGATTTTGGAGACACCGTTTGCGGATTTCCCAGAGACTGCAGTCATGGGGGAACAGACTATGTGTCGGATGATTAATGGTTGGAACGCCCTTCAAAATGATTGGCGGACATGCATGCTCGTTTAAATCATGTCCACCAAAGGGCACCGAACTTCTGAATTCGCTGGGGTGTCCTTCTTAGTTTTGTTCTCCTATCAGTGGGAGGTCGTCTACATAGATCATGATGTAGACTAAACAGGTTTTTGATTTGTAGACGTTGCTCTCTGTTGTGCGTCTTACAAGTTCAAGTGCGCCCGTAAGGATGTAAGATATACAGTACCCACATGCATTGTTTGAGTCCTTGGTCGGTGAAACGGGAAACCGAAGGAACAATCCACCTCCCCCGCCTCTCCCCCCGGCAGGTGGTCTGTGATTCCTTTGGCGAGATGGGCCAGCAGGTCTATGAGGCTGGAAAACCAATGAGACTCCCAAATCCTCAAGCTTCAAAAGAAGCCCAAGAATTGATGGGCGCCCAAGTGTCCCAAGTGTCAGACTGGTGGAACAATACGCCAATCTCATGTGTTCACCTGTTGGGGTTGGTGGGTCAACATCACTTGTCTTCCAAGGGAGTCTGTAAGTGGCAAAGTAGCCCTGAGGACTAGACATGATATTCGTCTTGATGGTATGGCTTATGGTACTTTCCCTTCGATTGCGAAACTTGCGTGCTTCAACTTGGAAGATGTTTCAACTTGATGGTCATTTTGGTTGAAGGTTTTTTGGATGGGTCTCCGTTCCCTTGGGTCTTTACAAGGTGGTTCCAAGCAGCTTCTGGGTCTGCGTGTTGAACATCTTCCCCTTCATTTGCGTTGAAAGGTTGAACATAAGCTGGGGCCAGAGTCAGTGAGATTCTTTGGGTCCAGCTGGGCCACCGAAAGGCCGGATTCAGCCAAGTGACATGTGAACCCACCAGTTGGATGTTGAGGTGGTGTCTGGTTTGTGGCCCCCCAGTTTGACGGCCACGATTGCAATACCACCAGGACTGGGGTTGCTCACCGAACTTCAACTCATACCACGATTTCCACCAGGACTGGAGTCGCTCTCCGAACTAAAGGAGCCTCCCAAGATGGCCCCATTGTCAGGGGGGGTCGAGGGGTACCAACCTGACTTTTTATTTTTGGGCCCAGACCTCTGGATCTCGCAAGCCAAAGGCCATCTCCCGGTGCTTCCAGTGCCTCCCCTTCGCGCGGCGGCTTGGGGGTTTCGGGTTTGGAGATCTGGCATGGCTGCTAGGTCCCCCAGTAGTGCTCTTATCCCTTTTTTCGGGGACCCTACTGAAATTGACTACAGGAAAAAAGGGCACCCTTATTCCAATCTCTCTACTGGAGGACCTAGGCTGGTTTGGGGGGGGGTTGGGGGTTTGGGGGTTTGGGGGTTTGGGGATTTGGGGGTTTGGGGGTTTGGGGATTTTGGGGGTTTGGGGGGTTTGGGAGGTTTGTGGGGACACGACGAAGGGGGTGTTTCAAGAGCTGGAGGGGCGGGACAACTGCGGGTGTCTTCCAGTTTCCATTTGAGAAGATGGGGCAACCACGGTAGCACCCGCATGGAACAACTTGTGCCGAGCCGTGTTGCCCCCTTCCGTGAGTCCAAGGATCGCCTGATTTTCCCTCCATAAATCATTTCTCCCTGGATGTGAGGGCCAAACAGAAAAGTCGACAGATCACGTCCGAAGCGAATTCCCGCCACGAGTTCCAAAGCAAAAACGGGGCTCTTTAAAAGATACATTTTGCCCATTTGAAACATTGCATTTTCCACCAAAATAAGGGGAAACCACCATGTACAAGGCAATGATCAGGTGTATAATGTAAGGATCCCTGAAAGAGGGCCAGGTGATCTGAATCCGAGGCCTGCCTGATTGGTGGCAAAGTTCTGGCGCTGCTCGGGAGCCCCAGAAGGAGCTGTGGGCTGACAGGCTGATGAAAATGGTGATCCACTGGCATGTGGGTGTATCGGATTGTTTGTGTTTTTTGTTTTAACAAGCCTTGCAATTTGACATTTTGAGGATTTGTAAAATGGGTTTGTGATGGAGAACACATGGTGATCCATGTGGGTAACCATTTGATGTGACCCTTTTTGTTGGTTTTTTCAAGGAAGGAAAAACCAATATATTTGGGTGTGTTCTCTTTTTAAGGGTACTCAGTTTGCCGATGTTTTCAAGGAAAACCGAAAGGACAACACGTTTAGCACTGCCTTTGTCTTTGAAACAGCAACGAGTGGAGCAGCTTGCATTGAGGTCATGAAGAACCACGATGGGCTGGATACATGCTGATCCAAGAGGTCGAGAACTCACACATTCTGTTTGACATGGATTAGTCTGTTGGTGCACAATGTACATACATATGTATATAGTTACCACGAACATTCAATCTGGTGCTCATCCTCTTCCTTTGTTTTATTTTCACTTTCTCTGAGTATGTGCGTTCGCGGATCTCCATTGCCCATTGCCTAGACTCAGATTTCCTGATGCTGAGGGCTGCTTTGACAGTAAGCTGGTGAATCCAATGGAGACAAAGGGAGACCAAAGGAAGACAGGGAGACCACACGGAGACAGGGGAAACCAAGGGAGCAAGGCAAGTTTGCCTACGTCCCCCAGTAGTGCCCTTGAACCCTTTTTTGGGGGAGGGCTCCCCTGCTAAAATGAACTACAGAAAAAAGGGTACCCTTATTAAAACCTCTCTATTGGAGAACCTAGCCTAGATTCATAGCTTTCGGTGCCCAAGGGGACAAAGTGGTCTCGGCGTGCTTGAGCCGAGGCACGGTGGCATCGGTGACGGCCAGTGGTGCCGGGCCCAGTCTTTTAGTGAGGCAGTCGAGGCAGTGGAGACTGGGCTGTCTTTGGTTCCAGTTGCGCCCAAACATGGTTGTTGTTGGGAATCATTTTACATTCTTGCTTGTTGTGGTTTAGTGAAATCCCCATTGAACTGCTAAAATTTAATTGTTTGCTCCCCCTCAAACGTCAACCAAGAAAAGCCTGGAACTTGCCGCGGGAGCCAATTTCCCGAGCGTGCTCAAGTGCGAGCTTATGAAAGCTTGTGAGAGTCATGAGACGCTTGGCTCACTGGCACGCGCAGCCCCACCCTTATGTAGCTCAGGCACAGGTTGATACCCGAAGTTTAAGACGAGGTATATATGTGGGACTCGCTTCTCGCCTGCACGTAAACGTGGAGCCCGAGAGTTCCTCGTTCTAGTCGCTTTTGGAGTACCGGTTCAACGTTTTTCCGTAGACCTATTTTCCTATTTCATTGTGGGAGCCGCATTGGGCCATGGCTCATGTGGGCCCACTTCAAAGTTTCCAACGCGTTTTACTTGCATCTCACTCCCCTTGAACTTTAAACTGGGCGTTCCTGGCAGAAAGCCACCTTTTTCCACGATTTTCCTTTGCTTTGCCAACGCTCTTTCTCTTGCCTTGCACCTCACGCCTCTTAAAACGTGCGTTCCCGGCAGAAAAGCGGGTTGTCTCTCAAATTGCTGTTGTCCACAGAGGAATCGGCGTTTCCCAAAAGCAATCCTCTTGTTCCAAAACGGTTCCCTGGGTCTGCACCTAAGATTTATGAACCAAAACGAGGCCTAGCGTTTGGAGAAGTCGGCCGGAGCCAGGTACCGCGGACTGGGCTGAGTCGCTCGCGTCGCCCCCGCGTTGCCCCCGCGTCGATGGATCCGAGGCGCTTGGACGACCTGCGGCGGGTGCACCGCCCTTTGAGCCACGAGCAGCTCCAGGCGCCGGGGTTTCTCGGTTTTTTTTCGTCCTCGGAGGGTGGGGGGGGCGAGTGGGCGGCGGTTTTTTGGGGCTCCAACTCTGGAGTCAGTTGTTTGTACGGCTTCGCATTGAAATGGTTTCTGCCCCAAAATTGGCAACAAGACCTGTTCATTTTCCTGAACCGAAACATTTGTTCAACTGCGAGTTTGCTCCCCGACAAGCCCCAAAATTGGTGGGGCGTTGAACCCCTGGCTCAAGGTAAATGGGAAACCACCTAAATCGTTCACCTCCAAAGCACAAATCCACCAGCTTAGGAGGCGGAGGCTCTGAAACGCCTCCGAACAAATTGGTGCAGTTCTGCGACCGAACGCAAGGAAGAGGATTCTTGTTTTGAGGGGACACCTGGTTTGCTTGTCATAGGGGGACCACACGGATGTGCTTTGATGTTCCTGCTGGCTTCCCTGTAAACTCTTAACCAACCGTGGTAACCAACCTAAAAGGGGTACCTCAATGGACACACACCCAGCTCGTCCAGGGGTCTTTTTTTTCTGACCTGTGCTTGTCTTTTGTAGTACACCCTGGGATGCGGGGCCTGGGAAATTCCCCCCCCCTCCCAAGTGCTGCAAAGGTAACGTAATCTCAGGAAAGCCCTTTGAAGATACAGAGTGTGCTACATGTGGATTTTTTTTTTACACCCGGTTGCTTGGGGTGAATCGGGATGGTGATTCGGAATGCAGGGAGGAGCTGTAAGGACCGGCAAGATTCAACGGAGCCACGGCACCGTGATTTGCTGTGGGAGATGCTTTCCTTGTTTCGTCGCACGTATGTGAAGCAAGGATGTCATGTGTGATATACTTTTGCTGAACCATGCTGAACCCTTGCGTAATACTTAGAGCTCAAGTGTGCCATTAGTTTGTGGGGTCCCAGACATCTGGAGGTCATGGTATTTTTGGTTCAGCTGCCAATTCCCTTGATGGACAAGATGTACTCAGGTAATCCCTTAATTGGTGGTTTGGATTGGTTTGGGAATTGAAACCAGCTAGGTGCCCTTTGTACCCTTTCTTTTTTGGTTGGGAGGGTTCCCCTACTAAAATTAGACTACAGAAAAGAAAGTCGAATTCCAACTCATTGGAACCTCTCTACTGGAGGACCTAGGATTGATGGGCGCTGAAAATCGAATCCGAGCCGGTAGGCCCCGGAGAACCGCCTGCTGTGGAACATCCTCTGGCCGGGCGCCCCCAGAGTTCCAGATCTGCCGCGGGCCGGGGACCGACGGGTGGACGGACCGATGTCACCGCACCCGCGGGCCGTTTGATTCTTTTCGGAGCCCTGGGAGTCTGAAGCATTGGGCCTGCCAAGGGAGCTAGTAGGTGTTTTTTTGGACACAGCTGCTGGGCGAATCCGGACTTCGTGGTTGAGGACTCACAAAGAGGGATCTGACGTGCTGTTCTCTTGGTTGCTCTTTGGCTTGACCAAACCGGGGCTTCCCACGGCTCCGGAGCAAACAGACTTCACCGAGGTCGGATCCCATAGAGGACGACTGCGTGAGCAAGCAGGTCTTCGGAGTGCTTGGGGCTTAGAGTGGGGGAGAGCCTCGCGATTGGCCGAGGCGATTGGAATGGAGCCGAAGGACTTGTAACGTCTCAGGGGCGAAGTGGTATATATTTGGCTGTGGGTCAGAAGCAATGGTGCCATTTTGGGGTAGGTGCACCACCCATTTAGTCTATTTTAGTTGGGATTGGGATGTTCACTGGGGGTACGGGGTTTTGACGCATGGCCAGTTGGGTGGAGTCGGAATCTGCTCAAAGCAAGCTGCTCAGAGCACTCTGTTGCAAAAGAGGCCCACGACTCCAAAAAAAACACGTCATGGGATTGGGCGTCAGCTAAAAATACGCGCAGCATGCAAATGTGAAGTTCTCCAGTGGCGAGGACTGGGTGGGGGTTGGTTTGGTTAAGGGTGAGGTTGGGGTTGGTGTTTTTTTGTGCTTGAGGTGTTTGGGTGAGTTTGGGGTTCGTTTAGAGTGAGGGTTAGTCAAAGCTTGTCATCCAAGGGGTTGATTCCATCCATTCTTTTCAGCCATCGTTCTTTTAAGCACCAGCCATTTCCGCAGGGTTTTGGGTGGTTTTCTAGAAAGAAGGATCCCTGGACAGGGCAACCACCAGAATAAACCAGAATAAAGGGAAACCACCATTGACAAGGCAATGTTCAGGTGTATAATGTAAGGATCCCTGCTGAAAAGAATGGAATGGGAAGTTACCCCTAGAGTCATGGTCTCGGGGTGAGGTGGGCCGTGCGCCCATGCGCGCCTCAGACTCAATGCCTGGCCCGCCCGAGGCACGACTCGGCACGTAGCAAGATGGCCGTGCGTTTCGGCTGGGAGCCCGACGTTCTTCAGCGGTTTCAACAGGTACCACTAGGCCCCCCAGTAGTGCCCTTTTGCCCTTTTTTTGGGGGAGGGTTCCCCTACTAAAATAAACTACAGGAAAAAGCTTTATTCTGACCTCTCTCCTGGAGGGCCTAGGGGATGGGTTCTGGATTTATGACGCATTCCAAAAATTGGTAGTGGTGTATTGCATTTCACGCACTCATTCAGCAAGTCATGAAACAGGAGACATATGAGTTCATCAGCTCGCAGTATAGACGTAGCGACCGGGGGCAAAGGGCACACTTGAGAGTCTTTGTGCGTCCCCCTTTGCCCTGGTTGGCTTCCTTTGGACTGATGGCTTGGATGTGTTGCCAGTTGAGCAGCATCATCAGAGCGTGGCCACGACAGAGTAGCGTGCCTCATTTGTTCAACATAAGTGCTAAGAGCACATTTCACAGACTGGGTTGCCTCCTGCGCAAAGGCGATCAAAGGTGTGTCAACATGATGTGAGCGGGCGGATGGCAGAGTCATTGAAACGCAACAGCCGTGGCAATCAGTTCTTTGCACCAGCGCCTTCCAAAGAAAGTCGGGCTCCCGATACCTAAAGACCAGGGACGGTATAAAGAGGAAGTACATTTGGTTTGGGTTGCCACCCCCAAGCCGGAAATCTCGACTTGGGATTGCAGATGTGCCAGCCTCCGGTTCTGGCACTCGGCACTTTTTCGTTTTTTTGGGACTCATATCTAGAGGTTTTTGGAGACGATTGGCATCAAGCATTTTGGCCCTTGAAAGAACATGCTAGAAAAGTCATCCTTGGTTTAAGTTCGGCTATTGGCCAAGCCTTGGAAGCGGCGGCGCGTTCCGAAACGGCTTTACACCTGGCGTGCTCAGGCTGGAATGTCACACAGGCCGGGCCTTGGGAAGCGTTGCCCGCTGAGACTAAACGATTGTTTCTTCTTCTTCTTCTTCTTCTTCTTCTTCTTTTATTTTTATTTTTTTTTTGGGGGGGGAAACTTTTTTTCTGGTTAGTACATACATATATATATATATATATACATATGTACATTGCGCGGGGGACTTTTTTTGTGGGGGGGGAAGGTTTGAAGGGCGTTCAATTTTTTGGGGAAGGTTGTCTCGTCCTTTTCTTTGTTTGGTTTGATACAATCAGACAACCAACCAGGAATCCGGAAAGAAACCGAGCGAGCAAGCAAGCAACCGGTGAACAAACAAACAAAGCACAACACAACCAACGCAACCAACGCAACCAACGCAACCAACCGGACTGACAGACCAACCAACTAACCAACTAACCAACTAACCAACTAACCAACTAACCGACCGCCCGCCCGCCCGCCCGCCCGCCCGCCCGCCCACCACCCGCGACCGCCGCCGCCGCCACCAGCACCAGCACCAGCGCCGCTACCACCACTACCACCACCACAACGACGACAAAACTACAATGACAACAACCACAACACCAACGGAGCTTTTTTTTCTCCCATGGATTTGGTCCCACCCCCACGTTTGCACCATGGAAAAGACCTCAGCAGCCCAAGCACGCATGCCCCCACAACATGGGGGTGGCATTTGGCGGTTCATCTCGGCTTTCATTTCCAAGCCATTTGAAGGTCACATGCAGCCGTGCTTCCTTTCAGGGAGCGCACCTTGGGGTAAATCGACCTTCCCCATGATAATTATTCCTCGTATACCGCCCTATTGCAGGCTGATGAAGCAGTAAGCGCATCCCTCAGTTAAGGTTGGTGAAGCATTTCTTTATGTGCATGTGTTTCTTTATTTCATGGAGGGTGGGGGGAGCCCAAATAAGCCCTTGTTTAGGGCTTATTTGGGCTCCCTCCCCCTCCCCTCCCTCCCCCCAAGCCCCATGATTATGTGTACCCTTTCCACCTTGGTTTTAAAGGGACACCAGAAGGAACCCCCCACAGGTCCAATCCATATGAGTCAGGACTTCTGCGTGCGGAACGGCCTAGACCTGGTGGTTAGAAGCCACCAATCCAAGAGGTGGGGCCTAGGCGGGCACTTCGGTCGCGCGAGGGAGCTACTCCCCCATGATCCAGGTCCCCGCTAATGGTTCTCCCCCCAAAGCAGCATTACCCGGGCTGAAGGGATGGCTTCCTGCCCCCAAGCCACTACCCTTTCGGGGGTTGGTATGGGATATACAGCCGCTGCCTAGATCTATTTTGCCGCACAAAGGGTTCAATCGGTTGGTTAGAGGAGAATGAAGGGAAAACCACCAGGTAGTTGGGGCCCACGGGTCGGTTGGAGGAAATAAAAGGACAACCATCATGGGCTGAAGTGGTTTGCGGCCGGGTGGAAAGCTTCCATCTTAGAGGTTGAAAGGGGGTATTAGGTTGCCACGTTCTGTGAGCGGGCAAGGGAATCCCCAAAATTGGACCTGACAAAGTACTGGTCATCTATAAGTGTTGTTTCACGGGGAAAACCAGATTTTGTACGACGTATTTTTTTGTATGGCAAACAGACATGCATATGATCAAAAGCATTGGGCGGACGAGATGGGCCTCAAATCCGGCCTCAAATCCAGTGTATTCTCGGGCAAGGGACCGGCAAACAGGGCGGCTCGGCCTGTGGGCAAACAGGGCGGCTGGGCCTGTGTTTGTCATCAACTTAGTGGCAGTCTCCAACGTTGGTAGGGGCGGGGCGGGGGTGAAAAGGGACAACCCAGTTGGGTGGATAGCACAACCTCTCCGTTTGTAGGTTTTATCGTCCCCTCCTAGCATAAAGGGCATAGTGCCAGCGAGTTTCGCCCAATGTTTCGGGACAAGGATGGCCGGGGGGTTTCTGGGGGCTTGGGGATTCGACAGCGACGCACGAGCTCCGGACATGTTTGCCCAAAGATCTCCGGTGTTGGACTCATGGATCTTCGAGGGCTTGATCACTCGGGAGCCATGTCCGGATTGGGACTTGGAGCGCTGTGCGAAGCGGTGAGGTTTCGCCAATCCGCGGCGCGCCAGGCTTCGACGTGATGCACAACGAGTGCTTGCTGCGAGTCTTCTCCGCCCGGGACTACGAGAACAATCGAAACGACGGCCCTCCGCTTAGCTGAGACCGAAGCCCAGGAATCACCCAGAAGCTGCTTCTTGTGTGTGCGTGCTTTTGGCGGGTTGCCCTTTTTTGGGGAGTGATTCAAGGGAAGCTAAAAGGAAATCCACCGTTTTGGGGGTACCCATTTTGGACACACCAGATAGTGCAGCATGGTGATGTTCAAACCTAACTCGTGTCCGTGGACAACCATCTGAATAAGTGAAACAAATGAATGAACAAGTAGTAGATCAATACATAACGTACACCGAACAGGCCCCGCTTCCAATTACATACGGCTGTGGGTCCAAACCAATGGTACCATTTTGGGGTAATTGCACCACCCGCCCATTTTAGTCTATTTTAGCGGGGATTGGGATGTTCACCCATGGTTTGGATTTTCACCCATGGCCATACAAGTACAAGAAGGGGAAGCCATCAAACCGCCACATACCAAACCCTAGCCTTAAAATGGTTTGCCTGGAACTGGGATCGCTGCAAACAGCCGTCAGTGGGACCCGGAGGCGCAGTTCTACAAGTGCAGTGGGACGACGAAGACTGCGAGCACTTGGGGGTTCGCCCGCAGGCGGGCGTTCGGCCCATTGCAAACTCTCAATCCGGTTTGCCTCAATAGCAAGAACTATAAACGGCTGGTTGTCTTTTGGTGTCCCGTTCCCGTTGGCGCCAACCAATAATTGGGTTCCTCAAAAAAGGCACACATACACAGTCACACATGCATGTTGCGAGCTTCTCCTTTCTTGCCGCGCATTCCACCAGGGTCTATGCAACATGACAGGGCTGTTCTAAGACTGCCGAAAGCAGGAACACCGTGGAGAAGCTTTAAGCGTGTATAGTTTGTCTCTTGGAGGGCATTGCGAACAGGTAGCCACCGACAACGGATTCCTCTTGTGATTGGCATGCCAAAGTGGTCAACCAAAATTGGGGGTGCTCCAAGCCTCTGTGAAGATGACCACCCCTCTGGGTAGACCTATTCTGTTTTCCTTATGTTTTTCTTTGGCTAGGTCCCCCAGCTAGGTGCCCTTTGACCGTTTCTTTTTTGGTTGGGAGGGTTCCCCTCCTAAAATAGACTGCAGAAAAAAAGTTGGTACCCTTATTCTAGCCTCTCGAATCTGGAGGACCTGGTTGGTATGTGGTGATCGCGTCGAATGGGAGCACCCGTGGCACGCGGCAAAGGGAGCAGCCAGCAGTTGGTGACCATATCGGTCTACTGGACTTCGGTCACCAGGTGAGGAAATTGTTAACCCGTGAAGACCGGTTGGGAGTCGATGTTCCCAGGTCCTTTTGAAGCCTTAAACATTTGGCTGTGGGTCAAAACCGTTTTGGGATCCCATTTTGGTTGGTAAGTGAATTCACCACCCAAATTTTAGAACCTATTTGAGTGGATTGATTGGGATGTTCACTGGGGGTACGATTTGGATTTTGACCCATGGCCATTTATCCCACTCACATCACCGGTCTGGCAAGACTGATCTGGGCAGGTGATCCGGGCTTTGGAGCAGGATGAGTGACGGAGTTCGTAGAGCCGGAGGCTACAGGGAGGAGCCCTGGGCGACGCTGGGAAGCCGTATAGGAAAACAAGAATCCAACGGGAAGCCAAATGTGCGTAAAAAGGAGACAAACTCATACAATATGAGCAGGTCGAAGCATCATGGGGCCTGGGGAGGGAGGCGAGGGGGGTAGAGGGAGTCCCAAACAAGCCATAAACAAATTCCCTCCCGGCACGGCCCGATGAAAACAGCCCAAGGCCCTGCCATCTATGGCATGCACCCGGTCTGGAACCTCACGCGATCAGACGCGATCATCTTCCTTCTTGGATTAGCGCTACCTCGGCCACCCAATGGGTGCCTCAGGACGGTGGCTGAGATGCCCCATCTTGTCGCTTCAAACTCAAGGTGAGAATCGAAACCCAGTGAGTGCCGCCCCAAAATTTTCGCCGTTTGTCGGGAGTCAAACAGGATTTGGGGAATGAACTGTTGATCCACCAGCAACCCCCGAGTTTGGATGATTCAGTTGGCCTCTCCAACAGGTCGCCCCATATTTTTCTTCCCGTAGTAGTTTTAAACATTCACCTTAGCTGAACTTTAGGGGCGTTTCCTCTTAGTACTTAGGACGCTATGGAAATATCGGGGAGCTCCAACTCCCGACGGGAGCCTCCGGCAGCGCTCCGGCGAAGAGCTCGGACTCCGTGCCTCTGTCTCACTCGCAGCCGAATTGGACACGAACCGAGCCGGGCAGCGTGTTGTATCGTGTTTTTCAGAAGGAGACCGAAGGAGAACTTCAAGGGCAAATCAGTCCGCAAAGCACCCACGTAAGTCTGTCCCCAGGGGTTTGTTTGTGGTTTCCCTTCAGCCCTATCAGATCCGACCACAAGTAAAACACCCCCCACGGTCCAGGGTGTTGGTTGAGAGGGGAAGGCAGGGAGCCCATTTTTGGGGTTCCCCAGTTTCAACGCGTCGATCTTTTCGGGGTCAAGTTCTCGGTTCTGCACCTGGACGCATGCTCGCCGCGCGCTGCGCCCGCGCGCGCGCGCCATCCGCGCCCAATTTCGCCATCCTTGCCGGCCGCCAGGGCGTGAGCCCGCAGAAAGACTCGGAAGGGCCTAAGGTCCGAGCGGAGATTCCTCGTCAAAGGGGTAATGCCCCTGCTTGAGTTGACTTGAGCTTTTGCTGGGGCGATGAATTGTTTTTTTCTTTTCTCCGGCACATAACATGTCGCAAGGTGGGGGCTGCCACATCAGACTTGGATTGAAACACTTGGCTTCTTCGTTGTAGTTCAGTCGCACTTTTTCTGGCCGGTCAACTGGGGAGGTCCGACGCAGCCAAATCCAAACTATCTAGGTCAGTTGAGCGCAAAGTGGGTTCCACTAGCTTAGACGCAGCATCTGCTGCCTCAGGTCGAATTGGAGGCAATAGTCTTTGCCGCCATCCATGATCCACCATGCCCATCTTGATAGAAACCAGGCCATACAGGTGGAATCCGGTCGTTGTGCTTTGAACGAGATGACAGTCTGTACCTTAAGGTCACCCGAACCCTTTCGGGTGTACCTTTAGCTTGGGAAAAGAGCAGACATTTGAGTTTCGCTCGCCCCGTTTGGTTGTTCTTGACAGGGCTGAAGTGCGCAGCTAGTCCAAGGAACCAGCCAAGCCGGATGACCCAAACACCAGCTCAATACTTTTCGTGGAGTGAAGTGAGTGAGGGCTATATACAGCTTAGCCAGAAGTCCACGGGTTTTGCTGCCTGCTCAAGTAGACACAGCTAGCTTCCTCCTCCTGTACAAGGTCAAGCTCCTTCGAACGATCCGATCGAGCGATGGCACGGTCTCATGAGCGAAACGAGATCTGCGAAGACAGATGCTCATGTCCTTGGTTGCTCTTTTCCTTGACCAAACAAGTTGTTAGTTGAAACGTAGATCATTGTTACCTTCCCAGACTTTGTGTTTGTTTGAGAGCTCCAACTCGGGCAAACAATGAAAACGAGCAACCGAGCGCCCATTGGGGACTCACAGCTCCGCCAGCCGCTTCTGTTAGAAAGGTTGGGGAATGGTCAGGATGCGCCTTTTGTGGATAGAGTGCCAAAAGAGTACCAATTGCAAGTAGCAGGAACAAAAACAAGGCGTCCACAAAAGCGCATTCAACGCGCTTTCCAGATAGAATTGCATATGGATCCTCTTTTGGACCATGTGAGCGGGAAACCGAAACCGCTCGCCCTTCGAAGTGACCCCTGCCTTGAAAGCAACATGCGCTTTCTGCCTTGGCGTAAACATCACCTTCAATTTTGGATCCCTGGGGGTCACTGGGGGTTTCTGGCGGTTTCGTGGCGTCTTAAAGAAAGCCGAAAACCAGGCGCAATGATGCCTAGGTCTCGGAAAAGCGGGATCCGGTGTGGAATTGCTCGCGTTCTTTCCTGGGGATTCCGTGGAAGCTGTTCCTTTGGAATTCTCCCCAGTGGTCTGAGAACTTCCCTGGAATCGCCGGGAGGGTGAGCCTTGCCTTGGGGAAACAGGGTGTGTCTTGTTTGGAGGGCGCTTGCGTTGTTGCTTTGAAGGAGACCAAATGGAAACCAACCCTTTTGGGGGGCCCTTAAGGACCCATGCCACAGCCAGTGGTACGGTCTTCGTGCAAGGCAAGTGCAACTTTGTGTTGCAATGATGCATACTACGCAGATGGCGCGGCCGCGCGCGTTTTCTCAAGCTTCCAGACAAGGTACTCGTTACATGAGAGCCCAGACAAAAAAGAAAGCAGAGAAATGTTGAGGGAGACAGAGTGAGATGGAGTGAGATGTAGTGAGACAGAGTGAGACAGAGTGAGATAGAGAGAGAGAGAGAGAGAGTTATTTAAACAACCACCTTGCAAATCATTCGTTGGCAAATTCCCGGGTTGGATTGCATCCTGTAGACACATGGAGAATGAAGGGCGCAGACAGCTGCTTCCATTGGTCCCCTGCCGCACAAATTGAACTTTGGCGCATTTTGCCAAGGGATGTTAGGACTTTAGCTTGTTGCCAACTAATGGGTTTTCCGAATTAAGCCACGAAAAGTCAAGCTTTTAGCAGGGGAGCAGAAAGCAACCGAGCGCAAAGGTGTCGTTTCTGAGCACGTTGTGCACTCAACTGACATGACCCATTTTTTCAATCTGGCGTATCTGCTTGCAATGCGATCCTTTGGTTTGCCCGTGCTCGTGTCAATGGACTTGCATTTGCCCTTGATATTCCCTTCAAGAGCAGTCTGTTGTTTGATTCACAGTGTTCAGGGGCGTTTCCGTTCACCACCTAAAAAATGACTCACCCACCCCCCAGTCAGCTCCAGCCTCCGAAGACTCCCATCAGAGCCCGGAAGATCCGCCGCGGACGCGCTCTTGTGCGGGGAGAAGTGCCCAACAGCTTCCGCGAGCGACTTGGAACGAAGCTGACGGGTGGAAGATTCTGGAAGATCTTTTTTTTTCCAGGTCCTCCTGTTAGGTGCCCTTCTCTCCCCTGTTTTGGTTGGGATGGCCCTTTACTGTTTATTTTTTGGTTTCTACAGAAAAAAGGAGTACCCTTATTCTAACCTCTCTACTGGAGGGCCTAGAAGATCTTTGCTTTGCCCGAAACACGGTGGATCCCAGTCACAACTTGTAGGTCGCCAGTCAGTTTCCCTTTGTTTTTTGTTTTTTTTTCTGGGTGGGTCCCTGGGATACAGGGACCTGGAACCACTGGCTATTAATTGACACTTTTTTCCACAACCAAGGAAGGGGTTGCGGCAGACTTGATGCTTCCAATGTGCCCGAATCCTTGGAACCTTTTTTCGGAGGGATGGATTTGCCGATCCGCCGGCGTCGGGGGATCACTGTTCACCAACGCAAGCGTTCCAGGAGAGGTCCGCCACTCCTCTCCGGGGTGGGACGTGTCGATTGTCTTCGAAAGAAATCCATTGGGCCGTTTAGGGATGATCTCAGTATGTTACATGGCCGTCCTTTTGGTTTCTGGGATGTATGGTGAAGAAAATCCGGGATTAATCCGCAGGACCGTACAATCAGGGGTGGTTCCCCGTTGAGTAAGGAACAGAACAAGGTCAGTTTTAGGGGTTTCTCTGGCATTTTAGGGTCCTCCGGATGAATCTGATTGTAAACTCGAATAGCAAACTCGAATAGTGATCTCCACACATGTTCGCTCGAAGTATTCCATCCACCCAAATTGATGAGTGAATGAGAGGGGCGAGGGGCGCGCCCAAGTGGAGCGACCGGCTGAGGATGTCGGAGGATATGAGCCGCGGCTGAAGAGAGAAGGGGGCGAGTCGGGGGGCAGTGAGTGGCTTCACTTGGCCATGGACCAAGTCATCGGTCATTTGTTGGGCGGTTTCCCACTAAAAATGGTCACCCCCCAATAGTTTCGATTCGTTTCCTGTTTGCTGGGTGTAGAGACCCCCACAAGTGGAACCAACCAAAGGAAAACCAGTCCTTTTCTTACCTGTCGGGGTCAAAACCAAAAGGAGTCCAGCGAACTCTTTGGTCCCCGCAAAGAACAGTGAGATGATTTGGTGTATCCGTGCCCCTTGTTTTGTTTTTGTTTTTTTTAACACTTGGGCACCCAAATTGCTTGCAGGTTTAGGTGGTTTAAAAAGAAATTGAAGGCAGCCGACTTTGGAGCTGCCCTTTTCTTCCAGCCCATCGAAGCGGTTGAACCCGTCAGTGCTTTGTGGCAATGGCTCTAAAAACACCAGTGTTTTAGCTTCGGTCGACACATGGGTGTGGCTCAAAATTAAACAGGGGGGGCAAACCGCAGGTTTTGGTCCATGTTTCCACTTGCCGGGGTTCCATTTTGGTACCGGCCACATTGCACAAACTTTTAGCCGGAATGGCTTGGTGAAGCATTCCCCAAGCTTGACATTCTCACTGCAGAATGGCTGCCCCACCCCCTAAATTTCAATGAGGATGGTCAAGCTGGTTCTTTCTGGACCCTCTTTGGCGGTTCGTGAGCACATGGTAGCCTTCCGTGAGCACTTCATGCATATTTGTGCCGCGGCCGAACCACCCAGAAATTCTTCTTGCACCCGAGGCAAGGCTGTCCAAGTGGCTCCTAAAATTGGAACAGGCTGGCTTTTGGGTGGCATGAGGCAGAGCATGAGAAAACCAGTTGGAATGTGATCTTGGCGGTGTGGAACGCCTTTTGTGCTCCTGAAGGTGAGCCTCGTTTGGTAGTGTGGATTGGTGCGGACGGAGATATCCACTTGATGAATGTGGTTGTCTTCATTCCCGCGCCGATCCTTTGGGGCCCTTGACTCCTGAAAAGTGGGGCTCCCAATTGGCGCAAGCCATATCCAACTTCCAGTTATAGGCAGCCAGGGAAAGCCATCATGTCAAAGCTGGTAAACAGCACAGTGGCTCGCCTCGTACGAATGGAAGCACTGGCACCGGGCTACGTTCGCCTTGTATCCCCAATCACCAATCTTCAGTGAGACTTTGCTTCGACCGCCGTTTTGGGCGAGGAAGGAAGCGCGGGAGCGCGCCCGGAAGCGGAACGCGGAGCGGGAGCACAATGCTTGAAGCTGAGGGCTGGAGTCGGTTTTCCCGCGTTTGGAGGCATCGATGGTGAGTTGTTTTCTTTTGGAGGGTATCCCGGAAATCCCGTTTGGTTTGGTTTTTAATCACAGGATATGGCCATGGGTTAAAAGCCCGTACCCCCAGTAAACATCCCAATCCCCACTAAAATAGACTAAAATGTGTGGTCACCTACCCCAATATGGTACCATTGGTTTTGACCCACGGCCATATAGCAACACAGCATTGTGGGCGTTCCCCTAGTTTGAGAGAATTCGCCCGCGTTGGGTCAGTATCGACAATGTGAGGGTGATACCGACTGATGCCGTGAGGCCTACATGATGGATAGCCGCTCGGACTGATCAGCGAAAGTCTCCCGCTGTGGCAGACCGAGATCCGAGGGGGCAGCAGTCATTGCATTGACTTGTTGGTTCGGATGCGTGGAAGCCATTTTCGCCTTGGTGTTCCTCAACAGAATGGACCCTTTGCAAGTGAAGACGTTGCTGCGTGCTCTCGGGACCAGCCAATGTTTCCATGGTCCGTTTCCTTCGTTGGATCCATTTTGTGGTTGGAAGGTGATTCCATTTGTCCGCAGGGTGTTATGCTTTGGGCGCGCAGCCCTATTTGGGCACATTTTAAGCGAGAAACCAACAGGACACCAAATTCTCTTCTCGGGTTCATGTCCTCCTTCGGCACGCGGCCAGATGGCGCCGTCATTTTTTGTCCGACTTGTTACCTTCCAGAAAGTGAGAAAAGTCATCAACAAGTCAGCCTCCATGTCCCTTGGACACGTTTGTTTGCTTTCTTGCTTGCGAGTTTGGTTGGTCGGTCGCTCGGTTGCTTGGCTTGCCACTGCACATGGCTGCATGCCCTGAGGATATCAGGAGCTGGACAGGATAAAGAAGGAGGCGCCAGCGGATCGAGTGCGACAGCCGCGGGGCAGGGCATGAGAAATGGCGAAGGAATCGGAATTTGTGACCTTTTTTGATGTGTATTCAATGTATATGTGTATGTGTCAAAGAGGGGGACCCTAAAAGTTACATGTTCCTTTTGGTTTGGTGTCTGACACTTCATGTTTGTTCTGTTCTGTTTGCAAAACCCATCGTTCGACGAAACTTCAAGTTGAGAGAACAAGTTCCCCACACTGGAACTGTCAGCAGGTTCGTCACTGTTCATTTGCGCCATCAAAATCATCAAAATTGGAGACACACACACACACACTTCCATGTTTATGTGTATCAATGATATGAGTGTTGCTTGTTATGTTTGCGTATTTGTGTATATGTCTACCCATCTGGAGCTGCATATGTTTACCCGGGGGGCTCCTTTGGGTTTCCCAGCATTGTCCAAAGTGTGGCGCGTGCAGTGGGAAACAGCAATATGCCATATCCATGATCTATGGGAAATGAAACCCAAGTTTTGGAGGGGTCCGGGGCAAGCGTTTCTGTGGGACATTCTGGCGACCTAGCGGGGATATGCTACCTGCATCATGAAGCTGGCCCAAAAAGGGATCCCCTTCTGCCTGAGGCCTCCATACTGACTAATTTCCTTGTGGTTTCCTGTTCAATGCAACCCAAAGGTAGGGTTCAAAAGACCAAAAGAAACAACCACACACACACACACATCCGGCCGACAACAACCAAAGGGCCAGCCGGGCCGTTAAAAACTGCGATTGGTGTCTCTGCCGCAAGCAATTCGTCGATGCCAGGCAGAAGATAAGAAGAAAAAGGAAGAGGCCACGGGGTGGGTGATTGGCTTGCCTTTTTGACAGATGTACTGTTCGGCAGAAGAGATCGTTGGAAACAATGTTTTGACTTCCCTGTCCGATTGAGAAAGGCCGGACTCACCGAGCATTCCTGCATAGTTCGTTTGAGGGTGTCCCCCTTTGATTAAAACCGCAAGCGCTTTTGGCAAGAAGACAATTACCTCCAGGCGCTTGTTTTGCATTTTCAGCAAGCAAGCAAGGAAGCCCCCATTGGGGGTCAACTCCGTAGGGTTGAGGAGGGATTGTTTTGCGAAGGGAACCCAAAAGTCAAAAAGACCAAGCCCAGGAGCCATCATGGTCACAGCACCTTTGGGGGGCCCGAAGGGATTTTGGCGAAATGTATGGGCTGAGATTCCATCGAGATTCTGCGACGTTCTCCCCTGCGAAGGTGAAGGAGTCAGTGGAAAAGCGCTTTTTGCCCAACTGGCGCAGTGGTTGCTCCCACGACCTTGAGCCAACACTTTCAGCCAAGCGCTTTCCATTTTCGATTTTTTTGGTAACCGAGGCAACCACCCTTTGACCAAAAGGGATATGGCTGGGTTCCCAGGGCTCCTTAAAAGATACATTTTGCTGCCATTTGAAACATGGTTTCCTTTTCCAACACCAAAGAAAGTTGGAAACTCCTCCATTTACAAGTTGCAATGTTCAGGTGTTTTTCTGCATCCGGATCCCTACCTATAGCTGCACCTGGGATCCACTGGGTGCAGTTTCCTTTGGACGGGTCCGGCTGCAATTCCTCTCAGGCGCTGAAGGAGGCAGCGCCTTGGCGTGACGTCGTGACGTCACCGAGTCGCTTGGGAGTTTGGAACTGCGCCGCACGGTTTCCCACGAGTGGGCTGCACAACCCGTTTTTTTTTTTTTTTCTCCCGGAGAAATCTATCTGTGCCCTGGAAACACCGGTTGTTTTTTCTCAAACAGATCAATCTCCTCCCCCTTCCATGTTTCGTCCTGGAAACGGTTGCATCCCCCTTTCAATCCTCCTTCCTTGGGTTGCCCCGAATTTACCGAAAAGGGGCATGGCACCTGGCGAGCCGATTGCCGCATTGGACATGCACTCTGCGTGTCGAAAGCGAGGGACGCATTACAACGAACCCATTCCAACTCCAAAAAGCTATGCAAACTGACAGTGCTCCGGAAGACGACTGCTTTTGTGTGACCTTGGACCTCCACTTCCATTGAAAGGGTGCTCCCCATCTTCCCGGTTCCCCTTGCCGCCCGGACCCCCGAAAAGTCCGATCTCTCCCCGCCTGCCGGGTGTATCCTATCTCTCCCTTGGGTCACGAGGGCCTTCCCCTTTTTCAACCAACCGCAGTGAAATCCCATGGTCGATGGTTGGGTCCTCCGGCTTGAGGCGAATATGGCACGAGACTTGGCAGATCAACATGGAACCAAGCAACAGCTTCATGTTCAGAGGCTGGGCGACTTTTCCTTGGGGTTCCTTCCATTGATTTGGGGAGTGATTGCCAGCTCGGGGCGGTTGAGCACTAGAGCCCGCCTTTTCCCCTTGCCCTGCTGCCCCTTCCTGGGAAAACCTATGCCAAGAGCGGCACCAACTACCACCGGTTCCCAAGGCCCGAGAAATCCGGCTGACCGGGGCTTTTTTGGCTTCGCTGAGGCGCTGAAACGGAAGGTGGCGGAGAAATTGGCGCTGGAGGCGGATTCCGCTGTGGCTTTGTTTCCCATTGGTTGGGACAATCTTCAGGTTACCCTTAGTTGGCGGTTTGGATATGTTTGGATTGGTGAATTTAAACCTTTGGTTCTTGCAGAGGCTACCCCCGAACACACCCTTAATGGTGGTTTGGATTGGTGCTTGGATTCGACCCCCCAGGGTACACCAACCCTTTGGTGCATTTTGCTTGGATGTTAGGACTCTAACTTTTTGCCAACTAATGGGTTTTCCATTGAACCACAAGCTAAACTTTTAGCGCAAGCGAGGACCAACTTCCTCTCTGAAGCCAAGAAATGCGAGGCGCGCGCTCTTTGAGGGGCTGGCTTTGCTCCAACCCGTCAGGCGCGGCCACACAAGCTCTTTGTGGCCGGCGACGGGCGAGGGAGCTTCGCGCGGGCCTCGGGTTTTGGAAGCGATGGGAGCTCGGCATCTGGAGGCGGGGCGGAGACTTGCTTGGCTTGGGTTCGGGGCAGCTGTGTGTGTGTGTGTGTGTTTTTCTTTTTTTTTTTTTCTGGGGGGCGGTTGCTTTGGTTTTTCGGTGGCCTGCTTCCACCTCGTCTCTCACGAAGACCTGTTGCTTCGAGTTCTTGCCAGCGAGTCGATCCGTCGATCCGATCCACTTGCCGTGCCAAGGAGAAGTTGTTCTCTACAGTTCAGGCCTGGAAATGTCATTTTGGCTTGGCCAATTGCATGAGACTCCCGTTCGTCCACCAGGGCTTTGCATTGATCCAGTACCATTCCGCTGCAGAGTAGACATAACAATTGAGGTTTCCGACATGAGCCAGCTTAGTTTGTATAGTTAATCATCAACACTTCGAATGATCCGCCGAATTTATGGCAAGCTCACCTGCGGCTAAACCGAGCTCTGTTCTGGGCAACCTTGGGTTCATGTTTCGGTCCATTCCACTCCACGCCTTTGGCAACGGCCACGCGGGGGTCCTGGGTCCATTCGGCAGGCTCAAGCAGCCAAAGTTGGCGGCATCGAGGTGACCGCTGGGGAGTTCGGAATTCGGAGTTCGGGCCCCGTTTTGGCACGGGAATGAAGTGCACTGAGCCATCGGTGTCCTTTTTGGTGGTGTTGGTAGACAAATAGATGGCGATTGGTTTACCTGGTGGTTTAGTCATCTACCAGCGAAGCCCATCTATTTCCACGAAAAGGACACCTGTGCCCTGAGCCCTTTACAACAAGGCCTCGTGCATTTTGTCACAGCTCGGCCACTTAATATCAGGTCCCACAGTAGTGCCCTTTGACCGTTTCTTTTTTGGGGGAGGGTTCCCCTACTAAAATAGACTACAGAAAAAAATCGGGTGCCCTGTTCTAACCTCTCTACTGGAGGACCTAGTTTTGTTTTTGATACACATTTTACGGTAACAGTGGGCTGCACAGGCCCGAACTTCAGTGCAAGGCTGTCCTTTCAAGCCTGTCTGCTGCAAGTGGCGGATTCCTATCAGAGGTATGCCAAACCTTGTCTCCGAAGATTTGTCGTAAGGGTGTTGACCCCTGCAAGCGGGAACTCTGTGTCGGAGCTTGTCGCAGGCAAGAATGGTAAAGCCAACTGTTCCTCTATTCTGGGAACTACCCATGTTAATCTTCTGAAGCTCTCCGCTGGATTTCGATTTTCCTCTATTCTGGGAACCGATTTGATGCTCTCCGCTGGAATAGTCGATGTCATAGACACGGCGGGTTTCGAGTCGCGGGGTTTCGTGTCTCCCGCGCAGGCATTGCTGTGCGTCGGCCGCCTGCTGCCCATGGAGTCTGAAGGAGCACAAGACGGTCGAAGGCTGATTGGACGAAGCCGGCCATGGTTGGGCGCCGGTGTCCACCAACTAAATCATGAAAAGTTGTAAAATCCATCCCAGGGGTTACTTCCATGCAGTCCTAAATTGCAGGAATATTTCTTGGGCATCACGGATAGCTGGGCACGCGTCGAATGACTGGGGAGTCGGGGCGCAGGGGCGCGGCCAGGCTGATTTGATCACATACGTATGTTACATCAAGCAAAGCTCCGATGCCTAGGGCGTGTCATCTACCTTTTGAAAGAGCCAAGTGCCAGATGTCTTTTTGCAGCCTCAGTTGGAGATGAGTTTTTGCCATCAGAATCGTCTGCATCACATGTAAAACGGGATATGGACAGCTTCCCGGGCTTTAAATCGAGACGCTAAGAGCCTGTTTCGCCTTGAGACACAGAGACACACATTTGTGACATCTTCTTCAAGTGTTGCTAATTGATTTCAACGGCTTTACTATTTTTACCCAAAATTTCATTGTTCGACACGTGCTGAACCCGTGGCCGTGCTCTATTGTCCGGTTCTTCGAGACAACCGCTGTGTCCCAAATTGCCCCCGCTTATACCTCAGGCTAACCTGGAAGCTCCCCCAATTGGCTTCTGTAAATGGAAGTCTGCCAAAGGCAGCCAGGTTCGCCTGGAGGGTACTTGTTTGTGGGTCAAAACCAATGGTACCATGTTGGGGTAGGTGCACCACCCATTTTAGAACCCATTTTAGTGGTTGGATTGGGATCTTCACTAGGGGGTAACCGGGCTTTTGACCCATGGTTATCTGTCTGTGGTCACTGGAGGCACTGAATTTTTTTTTTTGCCTTCAGGATCCGCGCTGCCATACCTGCGCGGGGAGAAGAAGCCGCCGCTCGAGTGCCTCGCCAGAAATGTTCGGAGTCCTTGGAGCACGATTTTGTGGGACCATAGTCAGAAGCAATGAGTCGACATTGGCATCACGACGAGTGTAAGACAGGGCTCCTTAAAAGATGCATTTTGGACCATTTGAAACACGGCTTTTTAAGATAAAAGGAAGCCACCATTTACAAATATTTACAAGGCAATACTCAGGTGTGTGCTGTAAGGATCCCTGTAAGATGATTTTTCCTCTGGCTTGCTTTGCCAAGGGTTTGCCTCCAAGTTCGTGGGGCTCTTCAGGCTTATTGGAGGGGCTCCATTCTCGTTCGTTCTCCTTGGGATTAGTATGGTCCCCCACACGGACCGGAAAACACAAGCTTAAGGCTTGTCCATACTCAATGCTCCGGATGGATCTGAAGTTAAGATATTGCCTCTGAACGTGGGTACGGGAGAAATGCTTTTAGAAGCCTGGAACGTTGGCCAAAACGTATGGGTTCTCCTCCGGTGGTGTTGGAAGACTTGGAGAAGCCGCTGGCAAACACCTGGGAGTCCTATCGCCTCAAGGGTTCAGCACCTGGTCAAGGGGCCTTTTTTGTTGGATAGCACAGCGCAGCAGCTGCTTGCCCGTACTTTGCCGTGGTACCCATATTTCCCTTTTCGGGGCGTGGGACGATTGTGGCCCATGAGCTTCCCCCCGCTTTTCGGCCGGCTTCGTGTTTTGTGATGTTTTTGTTTGGACGGGTAATGTATAGGACCTATATATCTCCCTTCCAAACAAAAGCATCACTGTCACAAATTAAGTTGGTACCCCTTTTGGATTGATTCAGAGCACCGTTGCCCCGGCATTTCGGGGTGTCGGTGACCGCGCACCTGGCGCAGGACCTTCTTTGTGGACTGCGACGCCGCGTTGCTGCAGGCAGCGCCGCTGGGCTGTGTGGGCCCGAGTCAGGGATCACGGCAGCCCAGAATGGTTTCGCTTTGGGTGTCATGCCGCTTCTGAATGTAACCTTTCTTTTACATGGTTTAATCAGGCCTTCAGTTGGAGGGTGGTGTCCTTCCTTTGCTTTCCTTTGGGCAAGGGCTCTAACAAGCGGGCAACCGTTCGGATGCGCATGATGTTGTCCTTTGGTGCAAGCTGGAACCCGTTGATTGGACGCCGTTGAACAAGGTCCCTAGTAAGGGATATGTAGGTGCGCTCGCCTTTTTATGTCCTTACATGGATTCGGGTAGACTATTTTAATACCAAGTTTGATTGTGACTCAACTTGAGTTTTGCCATCCCAGGTACCCTGTCAGAGAACCTGCACTTCCTGGGAGGCTACGGCGTGAAGACGTCTTCGCCTCGGCGATTCGCAGAGAATCGAATTCGCCGAATCCATCGATTCGCAGAAGCTGATAGGGCAAGACGTCACCTGCCAAGCAAATTGCTCAAATTGAGTTTTGCTCTTACCCAACCCAGCTCTAGGCTTCAGAAGCTACAGAGACAAAGATCAGACCCGGACTACGAACCAATTGATCAGAACCCCTTCGAAGAAAGTTCTAAGGCCTTTTGTTTTTCCCCCAGAAAGAAGTACCTCTTAGCCTAGCCCTATCCTAGCAACCAAATCTCTAGACCTTTACTAAGCCTTGCCCCTCGAGTTTAAACTCACCTTACTTTGCCTACAGCCTCCTTTGCGCATGGCAAATGGGCAGGTTCCCTAAGCCAACAGCCTCAGGATCTGCGGTCTTCGCGTAGCCTTCCTCTCCGGCTACTACGACCCTGCCAAGTGACCTGAGCAAAGCTGTGCGGCCGGCATGGCAAAAGTCGGAAAGTTCGCTGCGGGACAGAACTGCAGACCCGGAAGGAGCATGATGGTCAAGGGAGCCACCATGAGACCAAACATTTTAATCTGGATGTCCCCAATTTGGTTATGACCTTTCTCCGGCTGCCAGCCGGCTGCCTTTCGGCCGGTCAAAACAGGTGACAGCCCAATTTTAGAGACCCAGCTGGACAGCCCAGTTGCGGAGTGCGTCCGTCCCTTGCTTTCGTCTAAAATCAGCGGGGGCACACCGGGCGTTGCCAAGATCACAAGCACTGGAAAAAAGCAGCTGGACATGTTTTCATTTTTTCCAGGGGACTTAAGCAAATGGAGGTGTATATAGGTATCTCAGGGCTTCCGCCGGAAAACGCGTATACCATATATGATGGTCTAACTAGGACAAAGGTTTAATGATGCATGATGAGTATCTATTTGCCTATTTTAGGGTGAGCTCGCCTGGGGGCCTAGCCTAGGGGTAGAACGAGTGGTTAGCCATGATGCGACCCTTTGCTTTAGCCTTTGAGATCCGATCCCTTCTTTCCGGTTTTGGATTTGTTGTATTTTAGCATGTGCCGATTTTTCCACCATCTCTCAGGTTTCCTCGGCTTGACGCCGTTGTCAAATGCTGCGAATGCTGCGGGCTCTCCAAGCCGCGGCCTTTCACCTCGGTTTGGACGCAACTTGTGGGCTTCTTGTGGGCTTCCTCCTGTTGCTGTTTCGATACTCCAGCAACTCCAGTGCTGGAGGATCCACAAGAGCAGCGTCCAAGTCATCACCTGGTCGTCCACTTTCGGTGGTGTTTGGTTCATCTAGTTGGGCAGCCCCACCGGCAACCACCGCTTTTCAGGAGATGGGATGCTCCAAAAAGCTGGCGTGGCTTGGGATGATTTCCTTTGAGGCTGCAAAGCTCTGCAGGTACGGCACGGCGGACGCGGACTTCGTCGGCGGAGCCTTCACAGCCAACGCGGTGCACGGCCTCAGGCGGGAACGTGGCGGTTGGGGTTCGGTGCTACGAGGGGCTGTATGGGGCGGGTCAAAAATCCAACGAGCTAGAGGGTGCGGACCCAAATATGAGGGTAGTGCGGTGCATATGGGGGCGACATGGGGTCAAAGTACTTCCCCCCTCAGGATCAAAAGAGAACCTCATTTTTGCTCTGATTCTCTATGAAGGGTCAAGTTTATGATGGAGTTTGGTTGGGTCACCCCGCGCCCGGCAGGAGGCTGGCGGCGGAGGACAAGTGGAAGCGCCCCTTGGCCGCGGTTTTTGCGTTGCTCCCCTTCTGTCAGGGCTGCGGACCGGTTCAGGAACCCCAACTTGAATCCTTTCCGTTTCGTGGGCTGAACAAAAAAACACAAAACAAACACACACAAAAGTCGAAGAAGAGTTCCCTTGTTCGGCCTCAGCGACAATGACTCCACCTCTTTTTTTTGCTTCTCAAGCCACTGGGCCTTTGTTTGTTATCAATGTCATTTTGCGTGCCGTCGGACATGTGTTCTTTGCTTTGCTAAATACCCCTCCAAATAGTTGCTGTTTGTTTAATCCCCCGAAAGGTTTTCCAAAGGCGGACCATGGGGGCCCTCACACAAAAACAAGCAGCGGTGAGCCCCTATACCCACCCAAAGTTTTGGTTTAATTCCCTAAGGAAGCCGGAGACAGGTGGATCATTTGGAGTGGCTCAAAATTAAACAGCAGGGGTTACACAGGTTTTCTTCACTGTTCTTGGCATGTTTTTTGTTTTTTGTTTTTTGGTTCTGTCCATTTTTACCGGGGGTCTGCAAAAAAAAAAAGCACCGTTTTTTGGCCACCATACCAAGAGATGTTCCATGTTTCCACTTCCCGATCGGGCAACCCATGTTGGACTGTCCGGGTCGTTGAGCCGCCGGTTGGGGACTTCGTTTTGGGCCGGGGGTTCTCCGGCGAATCGCGGGGGCAGGCGGTGTGGACCTGCTGCTCACCGCGGGGTGGCCGCAGGGCTTGGAGGCCAAGCTGGAGGCCGGTGGGTGGGGTGGGTGGGGCGGAGCCAACGAGTTGGGTCAAAAAGGGGGGGGTCATTCAAAAAACTCCCGGGAAAAAAGGGACACCACGAGTTGGGAGGGTGAAAAAGGGGGGGTCATTCTTTTTTTGCTCGGTTTTGCTGAGAACCAGCAAGTTAAGCGAGTAGTCTGGACGGGTTACGATGACTTGCATGGCGGGCATGTGTGGAACCCAGTTGTTAAGACCAGTTGGGATCAACCAGCTTTAATGTTGACCGAAAACAGAGTGCCGACAATCTCTTTTATTCCCATGGGCGCTGGGGGTTTGGACGTCAATATTAGCCCAGGCTTGGAAAACAAAGGGGCACCCAACAAAGCAAACAATCAAAAAAAAAGCTACTTCTGGGGAAGCTTGGTACTCTGAAATCATATTTTCCGACTCTGTTCTTTGCTTGGTCTAGACTAATTCTTGGAGACAGACAAGGCGTGTGTCGATGGCTACTCCCACACCACACCGTCCCAGGGTTTTGTTCAAGGGTCACCAGGGGGGCACCCGGTGTTGGTGCATCCCGTGATATTTCCGCTGTGAAGGGGCCACATTCTATCCGTGCGCAGGGAACGCGAATCAAACTGAGCACGGCTCCTTCCACCTGGGTTGGACTATTCGTGTTGGAGGCCCAGTTCCCAGTTCCCCGAGTCGCGGGGTTGGCTTCGTCCCGGCTGAGAGAGGGCCGTGGGATATAGAGTTGGTGGGGCGGCCAAGTAGAAAGCCCAAGTTGGCCGCTTGCCCAGTCGAGTGACCTCCCCCTTGTTGCCAGATTTGAAACAAAGCTTCCCCTTCTAGAGTCCGAATCCTCCAGAAAAAAACAAAAAAAAACACAAAAAAACGGGGGCGTCCTTGTCAAGCCCTCTGCATGGTACCGGCGAAACCAGCGAGAAAACTCCAGACCTTCCGGTCCCAGACCGGCGGACCAGCCCAGGGATCCCGGCTGGTTGCCAGATGCGAAAAGAACGCAGGGCCATAAGATTGTAGCAAACCCCTTGGTAGCTCATAGACCCTTCTATGAACCCCTTCGAGAAGAAAAAACAAAAGAGAGAGAGAGAGAGAGAGAAAAAAACAAACTAACCAGGCAAACAATATCGTTTTTTTTGCTGGGGTCCTTATTCCAGCCAAGCAAGACACCACCCAGAGCCAGGACTCTGTCAAGCCCAGCAAGGATGAGCCAGCGTGGCAGGCGCGCGTTGCATCGTTTGACACGGCGCCCGCGCAAGAAAAAGGGAAGTGCCTAGGTGTCGTTTTAGATGTTTGGGTCAGTTCGGTTGAAAATTGGTGGCCCTGGTTTCATTTTGACTCCACTCATTTACCACCATTCCGTCCAGCCCAGAATTTTCGATTTGTTGGTGTCATGTTTGTTTCCGGCTCTGTTGGCCCCAATAGCATGATTTCCTGTGCCCCACAAACAGGAATTGGGCCAGTCGAGAGGAATCCAGCTTCCTTCCCATTTCTGGTTGCGCTGTCCGTCCCGATTTTTCGGAGTGAGACACCGGGGTCCCAAAAAGCCCTCACACATTCCAAGATTTGGTCAGAGAGATCCTTAACCTTGAAACACCTCAACAACTTTCCTCTAAGGAGCTGTTGGCCTCTGAAAAACCTGGTCCTTGTGTTTTGCCTACTCTTCCGCAGAATTGGTGCCCCTTTCTGCTTTTTTTGCTTTTTTGGGGTCCCTTTGTTTTCCACTAACCAGGCGCAAGAGATAAACATTTTTTTGCTGGGGTCCTAATTCCAGCCTACTGAGAATCAACGTTCCAAAACCCCCAAAACGGCGGCGAATCGGTTCCTTTGGTGCGGCCAAACGCCGCAGATCCCGAAGGGGCCGTTGGTTTCTTTCGCGTTTGGGGCCGCTGGGCCGCACCGGCGGCCCACCGAAACTGAAGCCAAGAGGAACATCGCCGTTTTGTGTCGAAACAAAGGCAAAAACCCCAACAGTCACACCTCAGGCACATGACTTCTGCTTGCGTTTTGCGATAGGGAAGGAGAAATGGAATGAACCCAGGAATTGGTTTCCCCTTCCAGGGAAGCCAGTTGGATATATATATATATAATATATATATATATATATATATTTTTCTTTTCCCTGCGGTTCCATGCCATGTCTCATTCCATATGAGCACCGGCGAGTCCGAGGCCGCGTGCGCGGCCCCGCTGGCGGAGCTGTGTTGCGGCTTGGAGCCGCGTTCGGGGCCCTGAGAGGTTGGAGGTTGGGGTGGGTTGGGGTGAGGTGGATGGATGGGTTGGTGTGTGTGTGTGTGTGTGTGTTCGGGGATGGTGGGACACGGGTGTGGTTGGGTGAATTGGTGAATTCCTTATTTTGGGTGGGGGGTTTGGGGTGGGTTTGGGGTGGGGTGGGGGGGGGGGGAGAGGTGGATGGATGGATGGAATATGATGGAATGGATGGGGGTTCGGGGGAGGTTAACAAAAACGGGTGTGGTTGGGTGAATTCGAGAATTTGTCCAGATTCTGAAGCGGGGACGGTGCCATGAAAGTTGGTAATCAATTAGATCCGTTTAGTTTTTGGAATGGTTGAACCTTGTCGATCTTATAAGGGGCCACGGCCAAACCCTGTTTGTTGCCCCTTTGGTTTCACTGAATTATCCTTTCGACCAACAAGCATGCTAACTTTTAACACATCAGAACCAAATTCATGAGGCATTCCTTGCGTCATTGCGGATCTTCCCAATGCAAGACACTGTCACGGGCTCGGGTTTGTCCTTGTGATTTATGCAAGACGCTTAGCCACTCGAGAGCCCCCGGCGGGAAACAACACAAACAGGGCACCGGAGCGGAGATACACCAAACCTTCAAGTCTGCCTAAAGATGACGGTGATTGAGTGCCTCCATGCCCAGACAGAGCTATTTTGAGGGCTTTAAATCTGTTTGGATTCCGGCGCATGGATCAATTTGTTGGGTCTCAGTCTGGCCGAACAGAGGGCTCGGGGCTGGAGGCTACCACCTCTTCGGCACTGCGGACGTATTCTACCAGCGCCCTCCGTTTAAGGCGGGGCGCTACGAATGGATTCCCGGGCCCAACGGAGAACCCCAACCTACCCCTCAAGGAGGTGAGACCCCCAAAGGAGGCAGTGCGACCAGTTTTTCTTCGGCGTCGCATGCAATCTATTGCGGTTGCCGGCATTTCAGCAAGCTGGGAATCTGCCCTTTGTGAGGCGCTTGGACCGATTTGAGTCATGAGCACGGAAGAATGTTGCTTATAACTTATAACTATAGCCCAATCAATGCATCAACCCATAGATCATGACAACCTCACGGTACTTCATTCGCAGCCCGTGTGGCCATGCCCCTTCTGATGTTTAGCCCTTGTTACTTGCGCGTCTCGCAGTCCATCTTTCCATCTTGGCGCGCTGGATGCGGATGTCCAGCTCGCGGATCCTTTCTTCGCACCCTTCCCCCAACAGAGAACAGGTGTGTGTGTGTGTGTGTGGGTGTGTGTAGGAGGCAACCTTTTTTTAGGCTGAGGCCGATTTAAAGGGACACCAAAAGGACGAGCGAAGCCATTTTCGGGTGCCCAAAGTCCGATTTGACGAGCCATACCCACATGGGCCCGTCCGTCTGGCTGCCTAAAAGCTGACTGGGGATGACCCAACGTTTGTAGGGCGTGATCAAGTGAACAGGCCCACTTGGATTTGGCAAGTTGTAACCCAGTTGTTTGCTGCCAAATTCCTTGTTTGTTGGATCCTTATAAACCAACATGTCAACGAATCAAACCAAGCTGACGACCCCTCTCGAATCACCCTCCGCACTAGTGGGCCCACAACAATGACCAGCTCAGAAGCCAAAGTCGACGAGCTCTGCGCTGCGTTTGCTGTCGCTCACTACTCCTGACGGGCCTTTGGCTCAGTCACTCGCGTTGTCTTACTAATCCTTTCCATATTGATGGGTGTGTCGTGAAATCGGGGGCCCAAAACAAACAGACCGGATTCCTTCCGGCTTCCTGTGAAAGCCAACCAAAACGGGTGCCCCCCTAAAAATGACACAAAACCAGTGTGGCTCCCTTTGGTTTAGCCCAAAAAGCCTGGGGTTCCTGACACGCCTTTCACCCCAAACCTGGGGTTCCTGACGCGCCTTCCAGGGCCAAAGTGCCGAGGGCCAACCCAACATGACACGCCCATCAATCGCCATGGCGCTGGCGCTGCTTCCGCTGCTGCCGACTGCCCTGGCTATGCGTTCGCTCGAGCGCCTCAGCGAGCGACTGGGCGAGCGCCGCGTGGAGAAGTTGAGGCGCGGGAAGGAAGGTTGGCCCGGATCTGGACCTGTGTCAAGGGAATTCGTGGGCTTCATAATATGGGAGAACCCAGCCGATTTAGAATTCTCTGGAGGCATGTTAGAGATCATCCCTTACTTTTAGATAATGTTGACCCAGGATTAATAAACCCCTCCCATTATTAGGGGGGTGTTCCCTCCAAGAGTGATGAATCCCCACTAAAAGGGGACACCCCCCTATTAATCAACCTGGGGTATATTAATCCGGGGTTTTCCATTACACCCATCCGAGGTCGACATGACCCAGTCGCTTTGGGAAATGGTTATGCCTTTTATGGGGCTTGTGCTTCGAGACCAACCGATAGTTTCGGTTTTGTTTTGACCGATTCCCATGTTGTTCAGCAGATTCTAAGCTTTGGTGGCTCCCAGCCATCCCCTTAGCCTTTGTGCCTTTTAGCCTTTTAGTGTTTAGTGATAGTTTCCATTCAACCAAGAGTTAAACTTCTCGCGGAAAATCTGAGGCAGCCCAGAAACTGGGTGGTATGTTCGGGAGCAACGCCGGGCTCCCAGAAAATTCGAGGCCCCTGCGCGCCTTCAACGCCACAGGGCTGCGGATGCTGATGAAGGGGGCCCACCTGCCGCTGTCTCTTGCGGAAGTCCAGGAGGGGTCGGCCGGAAAGCCGAGCAGCCGTGCTGTGAAATGGCTCGCGCGGCGCGCCAACTTATGTTGACTTACCTCTTAAAAACACAACTTTTCGACTTTTTGGGTAACACGGGCTATATGTCTGTAAAAGATTAACTTCCCCAGGGCTTGGAGTTTTAAGGGGTAAGTTAATGTAGCCGCGCTTAAGACTAGAGTTAGGAGATCGCATGGGAGTAGAGCTGTTGTCAGCTCAATCATGCGCTGCTATTGGCGCTGCAGAAGAACTGATTGTGAGCGGACAAAAGCAAACCTGTGGTGCGCTGTTGCTGTGCACCTGGAAGATTAGTTCATGAAGTCACACTGTCCTTGGATGAATCCAAGAGGCTGCTGTCAAGGAGCCCACCCTCTCCAGATGAATTAGCAAGCCCGCGAGGTTTGGTGGTTCATGTGGAGAGGGAAGGTCTATCTCACTGCCTTCCCGACCTTCCCGAGGCCACAAGCGGAGCCCCCTGTCAAAGAGGCCCTACGCCTAATCGGCAAATTCATGTGGAGAGGCAGGGGAAATCAGCCGACATTTAAACATTCTGCAAACATAGCCCAACTCGAGTTTCCAGCAGTGACAAAACAGCACACGCTCAGTGAGCGTCCCGCTCTCTTCTTTTTCGGTTGGGGTCTCGGGTTCGCCTAAAATCGACCGAAACAAATCGGGCACCAACTCATTCCAACCTCTCTGCAGGACCTCTCTGCTTGCCAACCACAGGTTTCCAGGGCCTCTTTTTTTTTCGCGGAGGACCAGCCCTCCGCTCACCCCCCGCTGCCGGCGGAGTGGCGAAACCGGCTGAGCTGCGCGCAGATGGGCGAGGGCGGCTTCGGGGTTGTGCTCAAGTGCCGGGTGATCTGCGGAGGCAGTGCCGTGTTGCGAACTTCATTGGAGCCAGTTTTTGTTTATGATGATGATGATGATGATGATGATGATGATGATTTTTGGTGGTTTGAAAGCGAGACCAAGGGGAAACCGAAGATCATTTGCTTTTTTTTTTCTCGAGCCAAAACCTCTTTCTGGGTGTATTTGCGAGGGAAAACCTGTAGGACCTTTTCTAGGGGCCGCGTGGGATCCCTTGTTTTGGGCCTCGGAGCTTTCTGGTAGAATACGCTTTAAGGCTCCTCTCGCTTCGCGTTGATCGGATTTTACCCTTCGGATCCTGGAGGTGCGGCAGGCGGGCAAAAGGAGGCCTATGTGTCTGTGAAGTGGATCCGAGACAAGCATGAAGAGAACATCAAGGATGGGATGTAGTTCTAGAGTTGCGGGGGGACTTGACCGAACTAGATTACGTCATCATAAGACAATGTGTGTGTAATTATCTAGCTCCCTATTTTAGGTTACCTAACTGGATAAACACCCTCCTCCCGGCCGGCAAAATGGTCTGAAAAGGGTAAGATGAAAGGACAAGAGCAAGTAGCACACCGACTACCAGCAGCATCGAAAGGCATGACCAAAGTACAACTAGGTCCCCCAGTAGTGCCCTTTTGCCGTTTCTTTTTTGGTTGGGAGGGTGCAGCAAAACAATCGGGTAGCCTTCTTCTAACCTCTCTACTGGAGGACCTAACGACTTGGTTCCCGAAAGACGACGTCGCATCCCTGGGAGGAAGTCAAGGCATTGCGGGAGATGTCTGAGATTTCCAGTTTTTGCGTCTCTTCGATTGGCTCTCCCGATTTCATCGACAACCAGGAGGGTGCGTCTCAAAAAATCGAAAACTTCCACAAAATGTGTGGATTCCTGTTGTTTTTACCGCTAAACGGCTATAATCTCAACTAGGTTTTGCAGTAGTGCTCTTTTACCCTTTCTTTTTTGGGCAAGGGTTCCCCTGGTAAAATGGACTACAGAAACAAATCGGGCACCCTTAAGCTCTCTACCGGTTTGGACCTAGTCAACCAACCAAAGGGTACCCTCGAAAAAAGGTTCGCCAGGATGGGCTGTGGATCATGATGCCTCACTTCAACGGCGGCAGCCTGTCGCTCGGCAAAAGCCAGCCAGCCAGCGGCCAGCGGCCAGCCAGCGGCAAAAGCCGGCGTCCGAAGCGCGCGGGTGGCGGGTGAGTCGCATTTTTCTTTTCCAGGCTCTGGAAGCACATCTCAGATATTGAAACGCCCAATGTTTGCACTGCACATACGTGTATACTTTCAAATTTGTTCCATACACATTGGCAGGTACAATATGTACATGCACACCTACACCAATGTGTGCAAATCGAACTTCAGACGTTTACATGTATGAGTGCGGTGCGTGCGCGCATGCATGCACATACACAAACAGACACACATGCATGCCCACGAACATGCTGCCGTATTTGCGTTCGTACACACGAAAAGACAGGGAGGGAGGGAGAGAGCGAGAGAGAAAGCAAAACTCAATGAAGTAAACAGGGACACAGACACGCAGACCGACAGTAGTTTAATGTGTATTATAATATATATATATACACAAACTTGGCATACCTGAACACACACACCACATGCATACCGCCGCCCTGATGCGATGGGTGCTTTTCAATTTTCGTCCGAAGCTTAGGCGCGAGTTCTTGAACAAGCAGTGCCTGTGCGGCGTGTGGTATGTTTTTCAGTCATGTTTGCTGTTTTGTTTTTCCATGTTGATGGGGGGCTGCACTGAAACAGCTGAGCTACCACTGGGAAACTGGGAAGGTGCCTTGATCGCGGCTGCGCAGCCTCTGGCCCCAAGAAGAGTTGGCCAGCAGACATCGGCGGCGATCTGTTTGTGCTGGCCCTTTTTTATGAGATTGTGGAAGGGGTGCAGGCCATGCACAGCAAACAGCTGGCTTCTTGGCTGCTCTTGTTGCGACCTCTATGTTTTCTGGCTTCGAGAAATTGATACATGTTCACTGAAAGCCTTGTTCCTTTGCAATGTATGCCGGTAATCTGTTGGGAAGGAAGTGTTTTCTCACCAAGTAAAGAGCTTTATCATTGGCGGTGGTTGAGGTGCATATGGACCTGAAGCCTGACAACATCATGCTCAACTACGATAGCAGTGGCACCAAGATGCATGCGGTGGTCATTGATCTGGGTCTTGCTTGCCATTTCGGCGAATGCGAGCAGTGCGGATCGCCTGGATACATTGCTCCGGAAGTGGTTCTCGACAATGCGCGATTTAGCAGCAGCGGTAGGGTTCTATGGTTATTTTGGACTTTCGGTGTTTCTGAATGTCGGAGGGTCCCTGGTAAAAAAGAAGCAGCAATAGGTTCTTGCGGGCATTGAGGATGTTCGGATTCATTTGGAGTTCATGGGCTTTTGGATTGTTGGGAAAGGTGTTGATGCTGGATTGGAGTTTAGGTGTATTGTCCCAAAAGTGATCACAGTGATCCGAGTTCCCAAACACAAATGGAATGGGAGCCAGTAGCACCCCAGACAGCAAGGTACATGTCAAAATATCAGTCTGTTTGTTTGATGCTACTTTTGTTGATTTTCAGCTTTAGGCCTTGGTTTTGCCGTGGGTTCCGCCCGAAATTGATTTGCCTCAACTCTCATCCGCAAGTCTCTCACGTGAAGCGCTGAGGCACGTGGGAAAGGCGGCAAACGACGTGTGGTCGCTGGGGGCGATCTTGTACCTGGAGGTATGGAATGTGGGCTCAAACTCGGGGGCCCTCAACTTGGTGGGTTTCCTTTTGGATGCCCTTTAAAACCAACCAAAACAAAGTACCCTCAAAAGGCAGACCCTGCCAAGACCTGCTTGCTTGAGCCTGTGGTGGTTGGAATTCTGAGCATTGGTAAGGGAACTGCGAACACGGCACCCTGATGGCTCAAATGACAACTCTGGCAGTGCTTGCTAGGCACACCCCTGGCTTGCAAATCGATTGAAGGATTCAAAAAGTGGGTCCTCCCAAAATCGAAAAGGCGATTCTGTCCTGAAGGTAGTGGTGCCGTGCTAATTCATTTGCAGTGCCAATGAGCCTCTTCTTACCTTTTACCCAAGGCTTCACCAGAAAAGAAAGAAAAACAAGAAAAAGAAAAAACATGGCCAACCGCAAAGTCGAGCTGGTCACCCAGCGACAACTGGGCGCTGCGTGTCGTAGACATGACTCACTTGCAGCCTTCCTCCCAGCTCCGCTCCGCTCGCATGTCCGTGAGAGCTTTGGTTCCCCCCCCCCTCCCGGAATCTCTCCTCAGATCGATCGTGTCAGGTGTTTCAACTAGGTCCCCCAGCAATTGGTGCCCTCTCTCACCGTGTCGTTTTTGGTTGGGAGGGTTCCCCTACTAAAATAGACTGCAGGAAAAAAGAAGAAGACAAGACATAGGGTACCCTTATTCTAACCTCTCTACTGGAGGACCTAGGTATGTTAAGGCTGGCTGAATCTGAAAGAGAATCTGAGCATGTGGTTTTTGGTGCACCTGGGGGTTGGGCCGAGTTGTAGAATACTTGATAGGAGATCATTTTGAACCCATGTTCCCCTGGCTGTAAGACTGGATCAGGTTGTTCAAAGGAGGCTGGCCCCCTCCGATTTGATCAGCTGTCCTCCAACTTCAACTGGTTCAGGCAGGGGTTGCCCAGTTACCCCATTTACCCTATGCAAGAGCTAGATCTTCCAACCGGGCCATTAAGGGGGGGTTCTAGGTTCCTTACTGAAGTTCAAAGGCCAGAGAAAACCATGTCTTCACTCTTCTTGGCATGTTACTTAGTTTTTTAGTTTTGGTTGGTTCTGTTCATTTTTGGTAGGGGGCTGCAAAAAAACAAAGCGTTTTGCAACCATAGGTGGTGAAGATGTTTTTCATGGGCCCCCTACGTTGACACATGGTTCCCTATGAAAATGTACAGCCACGTCAGGTACGACTTGACCTACAGTGCCAGACCGCCCTTCTCCAACGACGTGCTAGGTTCTGAGACTGTGAGCTTCGGCGACTAAAAAATTGGGTGCCGGTGACTGACTTTTCGTTGAGGTATGTGCCTTGCTTGTGTCCCCGGGTCCTGCTCATTGGAATGCAACCAAGCCAGGTTTGTTGCTACCACACGGGGGGGTTGGGATGCTTCAACATGTTGGGACATCAAACTGAAAGCAAGGAGAGGTCGCAAGATGCTCAGGCATGCTGGCTCCCAAAATCGGAGTTTACTCCCCCAAGGAGTTTGTCTCCTTTCCCCCTGAGATTCCAAACAAAAGTGGATCCCCCTGCTTTGGGCTATATCCGTTTTGGCGGGTGGCGGCGTGAACGGAGAGAAAAATACGACTATCTTTGTTTTTTTGGGGCGGGGTCCTTGTTAGAGCTAGAGAAACACCCAAGATCTAGTTGGAGCCTTAGGGAACAAGGATGGGTGGGTCTTGGCACTTTCGCAAGTAGAGGTGTGCGCCTTTTGCGATGTAAAACGAAAGGGGCGACATGAAAAGGTCATAGCATTTCATGTCAGATTGACATGGGCCCGAAACAGGCAGGCAATCGAGCAACCGCGGCGGCCGATTTTGAGGAGCATCCCTGTGGTGTCGGAACATGGTTCATTGTCGGTTCCCACTTCTGGGAGAGGCGTAGTTGGAGTAGACATGGAAAGGGATGCGCGTCCCACTTTGGTATCACAGAAGTGTCATATTCCACAACCGAGGGTGTCCATGATTGCGTCGCCAGTAAAGCCGGGTTGATGTCTCGGGCAAGAGCAGCCACTGTTGTTACTAGTTTGCTTCCCAACTGGGTGCTAAATTCCCACCTAGCCCATATTTTTTTAAAATCCACACCCAACTTCCCAAGGAGATATTCTCCGCAGAACGATTCGAACATCCTTCCGGCGGAGCCGATGGACGCGTTGATTCTGGGCATGCTGAACCCAGATCCATATGCTCGCCTCACTCTGGACCAGGTGCTCGCGAGGCCTCTAAGCACAAGCTCGCCGGTTCCGGAGCCACAGGTTGCTTTCTCCTTCTCCTTTGAGATGGTGTCAAACCCGCAGGTTGCGTCCGTCTTTTCCTTCTTTGAGATGTTTTTGTTCGTTTTTGACACCAAGCAACAGTCAGCCCAAAGCGCCACGAAGGGAAGCCTCAACCCCCCCCTTTACCCCCCCTTTTAGGCCAAATAGGTGGGAAGCTTGCGGAAGCATGAGGGAGACCTTGCATTTTAAATGCCACGAAAAAACGTGGCGAAACGGCGTTGCGGACTCCGAATCCTGAAAAAAAAGGACCAGATGGCCATGGGAAAAAGAACGAACCCCTTGGAAAAACTGCCCCCTAACGCGTTCCACGCTAAGGGTCTTTTGGGGTAAGGGAAAGTCCTGAATACAACGAGGGGGTCTAGATTCGTGGGGCATTAGTCCGTTGCGTGTGCACAAAACACGAAAATGACAAAAACAATGCGAACTATAAATCCAGGCTGGAGGAGTACATCATGTCCCAGGACCCGTCGCGAGAGGTGCTGCTCGTCAACCCGGGCCGACCGATTTTTTGGGCCTTCCCGGAGCATCAGAAAGGACCCATTGGAGGGGGGAATCAGAGAAAACTCTCCATGGGAGGGGGGGGGAAGGGGAAAGATATTTCCATTGGAAGGTTTTGGGACGTCGAGCTCAAAATTTCGGACTTTTTGAGGGTGACGTTCTAGTCTTAACTCTCCAAGTAAGCTTGGTCCCACGAAGCTTTTTCGTGACATGTTCCATTTTGTGTGGCTGTTGGCCCCTCAAGGTTCCCTCGGGATCGCAGGTGTTTTCCTTCTCTCTGACTGTTGGCGTGTATTTTGGTCAGAACCCACGCGGGCGGACTGGCTTGTTGGTTTTTCCAGTTTGTTCTTGGTGGAGGTCCCAAGAAGTGTTCTTCAAGTTTCGCATTTTTCCGGGTCTTTTTTTCCCCATGTCCTTTTGGTAAGGTTGAACATGATGTACAACAGCCCTCAAGAGCGGGGGATCTCTGCGGACCGGCCCGACTGCATTGTCGAGGAGTATCAGGTTGGCGACTTGGGCCAGTTGGGCCTCATATTGTTTGCGCTGGAAAGCTCCTTCTCCAGCTTCCCTCCTCCTTTGGGGTGGGTTCAAGAGGGAAAGCAGCAGGTATCCAAGCATTTGCAGATGTTTGCCCACTTGGCGCTTCGTTGGGCCTTTTTGCTTCCTGTGTGAAGGGCTTCGCCTCATTCCACTCGGCTTGAGGCGACATCGGAGATGAGCCCTTCCGGCGGTCGCTTTGCCATGACAAGCCCACGGCCGCCAATTTCCTGCGCTGCGGGGTCTGCTGGGGCTGCAACCCCTGCTGCACGTGCCGGGTGATGCGCCATTTGCGATTCGTCCAGGAGCACTTTCGGATGGAGAAGTGCCAGTGAAGCAACCGCGAGTCATGTGAATGCGTTGGTTGAAAAGGCGGGACTAGTGTGCGAACGTCGATCTGGATGCGTGTAAGAAAAGGGTGGGTCGGGAGTTTCGCTTTGACCCCTTTTCTGGGAAATGAGGGTGGACTCCAATTGAGGGCATCTCCATCAACAGAGTCTGAGAGGGTATTTGTTATTTTGCAACCCAAATGGAGGTCAAGAGAGCTACACGCGACGTTTTAACCCACGCATGGCTCGCAATGACTCCTTTGAGCTTCCTCGCTTTGAAGGATGCCTAGCAAGTAGCTCGGAACCGTAAGATCCTGACATGGAGCTGGTCCCACCCAAGCGTCAACCATTCCGGAGGCTAGACGAGCCAAGTTCACGCAAGCTGCGCAAGCGACGACATGCAAGCACGTCTACCTGCGCACAATTCTGAGGCGACGTTTGATTTTCCGGTTTTTGGGCAAAGGAGCACATGGCAACGTGTGCCCTGATCAAAGCATGACAACATATGCAACTTGCGGCAATTGGTGATTTTCCCTATACTTCATTTCAAGAGGACATGGGCGGCCCACCGCAAGATGCATCACGCAAACGGGCATATGGTTTGTATGATCCTGATCCAGAACTAGGGAAAGTCCCAACCATCCATGGGTGTGAAAGCCACACTTTGATTCGTTGCCATGGGTATAGATCCCATCCATGTTGGTTGGTATGGAAGGAAAGATGGAAGGAAAGAAGAAGGAACCAACCGCCCATATTGGAAGCCCCGAGAAATTGAGAAACTCCATACTCCACCATATCCCTAAGTTCCCACCCTAGATTCCCACCCTATTTGTTTCACCTTTAAGACGATACGAGCCCGGACAAATCCACCACACACGGCGGGGGGGATTAGCTCCCCAAGGGCGGCCGCGAGCGCTTGTTCTAGGCCCCACGGAGAGAGCACCCCTGCCGCTGTGTAGGCGCGACATGGGCGAAATGGGCCGAAGGTTCGGTCGTGCAAGGTGCGACTCCGAAGACGAAGCCGAACCTGTGTCGAAGAAGAAGAAAAAGGGCAACGTGAATTGGATTGGGACAAGGATTCGAACATGCTCAGTTGCCGGCTCATGTGTGCGTTAGGGTGCAATTGCATTGTTTGTGGCGCAATTTTGGCTTTGCCCGGAATTGCAATGATGGTGGTTTCCGGAAAGCAGTCCCAAAGGGTTCTTAGTCATGACAACGCCACGGTGACCCCTTCTGGGTGCATCTTTACATTGAAGGGGAGTCTCTCACAAGAAGGACTGCCAACATTTGCCAAGCGCGCGTGATGTTCGGAAACAAATGAGCTAGCTGCAAAGGAGCCGTCCCCTTTGAAACGAGAACAGACACACCCAGGACCCTTCAGTCAGGTTCCACGGGAGGGTACCCTGAAAAAAAAGAGACACAACCTTGTCCACTAAACTGGAAGCCTCTTTCCAGTCATCCATGATGGGTGTGGCTCAAAATTAAGCAGGAGGGGCAAGCCGCAGGTCTTGGTCTTTTGGTTCCACTTACCAGGGCATGCCATTTTGGCATTCCGTTTTTTGCGCCCCTCAGGCCATGTGAGTGGACTCGGGACTGGAGGCTTTTCCCACCCAACTTCGCGTCCAAAAAGCTGCCAGGGCTGGGGGCTGTGGGCTCCAAGCGGAAGTGGCTGCACGCCCTGTCGTGGCACGGAAGCACTTGGAGTCGGCGGGTCGGGTTTTGAGCTTCTTCTTTCTTTTTTTTTTGGGGGGGGGGGGGCGGGGGGTTGGTGGCAAGGTGGTGGGGGTGTTGTTGTTGGTGTGCATGTTTTGATTGGTGTCTTGTTGTTTTGGTTGGGTGCTTCTGTGGTTGACGTTCGTTTAGGCTTTGCTTTCGCAGTTAGTGGCTTTGGAGGCCGTTTGTAGAAGCATGCAAAAGCCGTGTCAAGCATTGTTTCCGGGATCGATCAAGGATTCGCCGGTGTATGGAGGTTGCCAATATTTGTTTTGTTGTTGTGCGGAGTCTGGATGGTTTGTAGGTGCTGTCCTTGGTGCTTTGCTAGGTAGTTGTGTTGGACTTGTGAAATACGGCGCGACGCAGCAGTGCGGGGCTGGCATGGATTTTCTTGTTACCTGTTGTGCTGGCAAACGTTTGATTTGTGTTGGTAGGTTTCGGCATCATGTCCGAAAAGGGCCAAAAAGCCAATTCAGTCATTCTTGCTTGTCACTTTTTCTTGTCAGTCAACTCAGCGGGTCAGAATTTCTGACAGAAATTCTGACCCGCTGAGTTGACTGACAAGAAAAAGTGACAAGCAAGAATGACCGAATTGCCGCCTTTCACGCAGTTTGATCTCAACCCCAACGAGTACTTTGTAGGAAAAGTGTTATTTCCGGGAGAGGTAGGTGATGCGTGGATTTGCATGGCTTAATTGTAAACGCTTCGCGTTGCCCGCCTCGGCCCAGCCTAGTTTGAGGGAAGGGTCAGGAACACCGAAATCCAGTGTTGGGAAGGTCCGAATCCTACTGAAAGCTTGTGACCGCACCAGTTCGCCCGTGCTAGTTCGATGTTCGGAAGCCGTCCTGCTCGGAAGGTTTGAAATCCAAAACCAAGACTGTCAGCCTGGGCTGAGCTGCTTGGGCAGCCGGACTGGGGGGCTGGGGCACGTCAGACAGGCTTAGTAGCTGGCGTAGCTTGAGACCAGTCTCAGACACGTGAGGCCAGTCTCAGACACGTTAGACAAACCTGACCTTGGCACGCTGGGCTGAGCCTGCTGGTGCGAGCTGGGGGCCGGCCTAGTGGCTGGCATGCTCTGAGATGCGCCGGGGCCTGGGCTGGGCAGGCTGGGCTGAGGTGGGTTGCTGGTTGGGCTCGCCTGGAACTGGGCCGGGTTGCTGGATGGGCAAGGCCTGTTTCATACACACTTGGGCCTGAGGCTGGGTGGCGAGTTGCTGGCTGGGCACACGTAAGACACGCCAGCAAGGCGGGCTGAGGGACTGGGCCTGAGGCTAGTCTCAGGCTGGCATACTTTGAGACCAGTCTCAGACTGCGCGGATGACTTGGGGCCAGACGCGAGCGGGCACGTCAGACAGGCTTAGTAGCTCAGACGTGAGTCTGGTCGTTGGCCTGAAGCCAGTCTCAGACACATTACCTGGGGGCCGGCCTAGTGGCTGGCATGCTCTGAGATGCGCCGGGGTCTGGGCTGGGCAGGCTGGGCTGAGGTGGGTTGCTGGTTGGGCTGAGGCTCAGCCACAAGGCTGCGAAGCCATGGGTGGGTTGCTGGCTGCCGGGCAGCCGGACTACGCTGCTGGTTGCGCCTGGAACTGGGCTGGGCTGTGCTTGGGGGGCCTGTTTCATACACACTTGGGCCTGAGGCTGGGTGGCGAGTTGCTGGCTGGGCTGGGTCTGAGGCCAGTCGCAAGACACGCCAGCAGGGACTGGGCCTGAGGCTAGTCTCAGGCTGGCATACTTTGAGACCAGTCTCAGACTGCGCCGAAGGGGCTGGGCCTGCTGGATGACTTGGGGCCAGACGTGAGCAGGAGGTCGACCTGGCCAGCTGCTTGGGCAGCCGGACTGAGGGGCTGGGGCACGTCAGACGCTTAGTAGCTGGCATAGCTTGAGACCAGTCTCAGACACGTGAGCCTGGTCGTTGGCCTCTGGCGGGGAGCCGGCCTAGTGGCTGGCATGCCCTGAGATGCGCCGGCTGGGCAGGCTGGGCTGGGCTTGCTGGATGACTTGGGGCCGTGAGCCTAGTCTCAGAGAGAAGGTTGAAGGAGAGGGGCTTTGGAAACAATTGGCCTCGGATCATAAAGCTCGTTATAAAGTGGTGTGTGTGTTGCAGTGTTTGGATCACTCACTTCCGAAGAAACTTTCCTGCAGATCCACATGCAACCCAGAGAACCGCCCCACCGTTGGAGGAGTCTACTTCTACCCGGTTTTGGGGTCCATGCTGGCTTGCAAAGGGAGTAACCCTGAATAACTGAAGGGCAGTTCATCAGGAGAAGAAGCTACCTTAGAAATTCGCCTCGGCCCCAAAGGGGCCAAGGGCGCTCAGATCTCTTCTCCAAAGAGAATCTTCGCTTTTCCCCTCCCCCAACCAAAATTTTGCCGGCCCGCCCCCCCCCCCCTCACCCATGTCGGCTGGACCAAAAATCCTGTCCGGCGGGCCTTGAAATTTTCGGGGTTCGTCGGCGTCCAGCTCCATGGGTCTATTTTTTTAAAAAATCACTAAAAATTGCTTTTTTGTCCTGAAAAGCATGATCTCCTGCAACCCAGGATCCTTTCTAGACTAAATGTTTGCACCAAAGATGCAGTTGAACGGTCCTTCTCTTCACCTATCACTTGGGTGACTTGATTGGTGCCAAAGGAAGTTCAAAGCATACCTTGCGTTATGAAATCAATTCAGGGATTCTTTGTGTTTCTAGGTCTTTAAAGGGGATTGACCACCTCTCCATCCTATTGCCTCTTCTGTAGCCCATCACGTTGGTTCTGTTAGTTATCAGGATCTCTTATAGGATATATGTGGGCCCTTCAGCAAGCAGTATATCTGGCTTTCGGATGTATCCTCCAGTGCACACCCTTTTTTCCCAGCAGTCAACAGCTGGGATTGAAGCTGGCTTTGTCTAATTCTTTTTGTCTTCTTCCGGTTCCACCCTCAAGCCACGACATCTCCAAAGTGGTGCGTGCTTTTCCCGAGTCGGTTTATCTTGGAGGTTTCGGAAGCCCACTGATTTTGTTTCCTTCCTTCGCTCGCCTAAGTCGCCTGAAACGATCACCCGATTTTTCCCCGGGTCCTTGGCTCGCCTTTTCCTTTGCGCCCCTCACATCCGCCCCTCCGCCCGTTTTCCGCGCCTAAGCCATCCTCGCCGCCATAGTCGTAACTTCTTCGCGAAGGCTCAGCCCCATGGACTGCGTGAAGAAGGAGGACCTCCGGCAGCTGCCTCCGGGCACCACCGCCTGCCCCTTCCAGAAGCCCCCGGAGGCCGCATCCGATCCACCGATCCACCGATCGACCGATCGACCGAGCCGGGTGGGCTTTTGGGCGGTTTCGTAGGTTGGGATGTGCGGGTGGTCTAGGTGGTCTTATGAGCAGCGCCCCAAAGCAATTCCCCCATGGGGTGAATGAACTTATAGGTGATTATAATCCTGGTTTAGAGGGGCTTCTGGCATAGTCAAAGCGTTTGATTGACGCATCGGGAGAACCAAAAAGTCGAGGGGTCTTGAAAGCTGCTCAGTGGCCCCCGGTTCGACGATTTTCAGACCCCTCGCACCCGCCAAGTGTTGAACCCACCCGAGGGCCCATTCTGGAGAAACACGGTATTTCAGTCAAGAACAATACTTCCATTTGGTTAACAATATTTGTTGGATTTTCCCTTTTGATTTTAAAGGGAAGCTATCACTACTGGACATGTGATTTATTGTTTTCCAGGACTTAAGCAAATGGAGGACAAACATCAAGTGCCATGTTGGTGAGAGAGTGTTTTTTTTGGAAGAAGTAACCGGCTTGCCATTGAAACATGTTTGGACATATACCGGGCTTCGAGCTTCCTGTCCAGAACTCAAGATGAAGAAAACCCAAAGGCAAACCAACGGCGGTGAAGAGTGAAGCGCTTGGATAGTAGACTGGACTCCAGCGGGCCGAATCCTGCGTGAAAATCGGCCCTGGGCTCAATCCTAGCTAGTTACCCAGGTCCCGCAGTAGCGCCCTTTGTTGGGGGAGGGTTCCCCCTACTAAAATAGACTACAGAAAAAAAGGGTACCCTTATTCCAACCTCTCTACTGGAGGACCTAGTTAAGAACAGAGGTCTGGTTGAGATAAATTCACGGGCCCCTACACCTGCGAGATACCGCGTCACCACTTGCCCAGGGATCGTCCCAAAAGCACAGATCCGCCTAGACGGAACAGCCTGCCCAGAGCTGACAAAGCATGACCCTTTTTGTGCCATGGTCAAAGTCCTTATGAAGCAATCTGAGAGGGACTCAACCGCAGGACAGTTGCCTTTTCGTGTTCAATTCCCAGTGTGCCTCAACATCGCCGCGAGCTCCATCTGCTTTATTTTGCTCGGTTGGTTTCATTTGTTTGCTTTTATCACATGTGCTTCTTTGCTTGCTTGCTTGCTTGCTTGCTTGCTTGCTTGCTTGCTTGCTTGCTTGCTTGCTTGCTTGCTTCAGGCACCCCCTTAATTGGTTGGTTGGATTGGTGGTTTGAGATTTCAACCCCTGGTTCTTGCGGGTAAACCGGATCCCCCCCCCCAACCTCCAAACCACCGATGAGGGGGAAGCTGATGGCATGTCTTGCTTGCACGCCGGCGCTCCGTCCGAGTCAGGTGGCCGCCGTTCAGGCGGCCAAGGAGCTCCGCGGCCTGGCCCAGGCGAGGGCCTTGGGTCGGGTTGGGGGGGTGGTTTTGGGGGGAAGGCACTAGGGGTCGGGTGGGGGGGGTTTTGGGGGGGGTTTGGGGGTGGCGGGTTTGGGCGGGGGGGGATTGGGGGGGGGAAGGCAGGCGGAAGAAGGCAACACCAGAAAGTGAAAGGGTTGAGTGGAGTTTCTATGTACATTTGTTCGGCCTGAAAGAGTCTGTGGGATGTGGAGTAATGCATCTATCTCCTGAAAGACTTTTTGGGGTTGTTGACATGTGAAACCTGAATAACTAGGTCCCCCAGCGCCCTTTGACCAACTTTTTCGCGGGAGGGTTCCCCTACTAAAATAGACTACAGAAAAATGGGTAGGATCTGATAATCTGATTGAAATTTGGGGTCATGGAGGTGTCGATCCTTTAGGTGAGTTAAAGGGACCGCGGAAAGGAGGAGAATGCGGCAGTTCACACGGAGTATTTTTGTTGGAATAAGTACCGTTTCGGGGGTTGTTTTGAAGGGAAACCAAGGAGGTATCTTTACCTCACTCCTCTTTGAAATAGAGATCTGCGCAAAGTTGTGCATTTCGGTTCCTCCTTGGCTACAGTTCCAGAAAGGGAGCCTTTTCCATTGACAGCGCCCAGACTCCTTCTGTGCTCTCCCCACAGCCTGCGGCCGCCCGGCCGGCAGAGCGGAGGACGGGCAGCAGGCGCAGGCAGCGCTGAAGGCGCTGGTGGTGGAGGGCGACTTCCAGAAGTGGCGGCGCCAGGCGGAGCTGAGCAAGGCGCAGCGGTGGGAAGCGGCGGTTGGAAGTGGGGGGAAGAGGGGGGGGTTCAAGGAAGCCTTAAAAGCAAACTCCTAGGGAAGAAAAGCCCTGAAAAGAGCGGGTTGGAGAGGGGATTGTTTTTTTGGGAGCAACAGGAAAACCCGAAGAGGAGGAAAACCGGAAAACCCTAAAAAGAGAGAGGAGAGAGAGAGAGAGAGAGAGAGAGAGAGAGAGAGAGAGAGAGAGCCCTGAACAGGCGAAAGTGTGTTTTGTTGTTCTCTTGTGTCTTGGCATTGCCGCTCGGCTGCCCAAGTCGATTTCCCTGAGGACAGCCCCGTGTGGCTGGGGAACGCCAACGCGGAGCTGCCGGCGGCGAAGGCTTCGAAGAAGCCACGGCTGGAGGCACGCGATACGAGAAGAGCGCCATGGCTTGAACCAAACGGATCATCCTCTTGTCACCTTACCGCCGGACCACCAACAATAAACAACACAATTCGTTCTTTTCGTTTGCCAAGTAAACACCAAACAAAAACAAACACATAAACACAGTGTCACAACGTGTCTTGGTGATTTGGATGGTTTGGATTGGTGTGAAGGTGCGGATTGTTTTTGTCTTGATCAACTTTTGTCTTCCCATTCGTCCCCACTTCAAAGAGGGATCCCTACTTCTCGGCGCGAAAGAAGGCATCCAGCTAGGTACCGTGCAGTGTCTGGGGTTTCTCGCTCGTCTCGAGATTTGAGTATCTTGTCGCAAGATGGCACTGTGGACAGCAAGTCACCTGCACCAGGTGGTTGATCAAGCATGATTGTGTTTCGAAGCAATCTGGTACCCATCTATGGCTGAACGATCACCAGGGTTTCTGGTTGACCAACCAGTATTTATAGGGCTTCACCAGCTAGGTTGTTGATCAACCCCACTATTCATGGGGTTTTCTGGTTGATCAACCACTATACTGTTAACCCCGTTATTTTCAGGGTTTCACCAGCTAGGTGGTTGATTCACCCCATTATTTATCGGGTTTTCTGGTTGATGAACCATTGTGTTTCGCATCCATCCCAAGTGGTGCGCGGACGTCGCCACGGGATGTCCAGGAGCCGGTGCCGGGGATCAGCGCGGGCTGCGCCTCGCCGGCCTCCTCCAAGGCCGATGGGCGGATTGGCGGATTGGCGCCGTTGGGGTTGGTTGGAGGTCGGTGCCAAGAACGGGGGCGGATGGGGGGAAGGAGTTGGTAGGTTTCTGGACTGCTCTTGGGTTGGATCTCTAAACTTTATTTTTTTTGGAAATCAAGCGGGTTTCCAGTAAACCACCAAAAAGTTAAACCTTTTCAGGGGGTCAACAGAAACCAAGGTTTGGGGGCTGTTTCCAGGTGAGCTCGTGGATGTGAAGAGGCAACCTGAAAAAAGCGGTGGACAAGAAATGCCCAAATTCCTAAATGAGATGTCCAGCACACCAGTGGGTTGTCTTTAAAGCTTTTGTTTAGAACGCATGTTGCGCTATGCCCGAGTTGTTTGTTTGGCCGTACAAAGCATTTTGGGGACTGGGGTCATGCGTTTGAGTTTGCAAGGTCAGATTCTGGTGTGTGTGTGTGGTGTGGTGTGGTGTGGTGTGGTGTGGTGTGGTGTGGTGTGGTGTGGGTGTGGGTGTGGGTGTGGGTGTGGGTGTGGGTGTGGGTGTGGGTGTGGGTGTGGGTGTGGGTGTGGGTGTGGGTGTGGGTGTGGGTGTGTGGGTGTGGTGTGGGTGTGGGTGTGTGGTGTGGGTGGTGGGGTGTGGGTGTGGGTGTGGGTGTGGGTGTGGGTGTGGGTGTGGGTGTGGGTGTGGGTGTGTGGTGTGGGTGTGGGTGTTGTGGTGTGTGGGTGTGGGTGTGGGTGTGGTGTGGGTGTGGGTGTGGGTGTGGGTGTGGGTGTGTGTGGGTGTGGTGGGTGTGGGTGTGGGTGTGGGTGGGTGTGTGGGTGTGGGTGTGGGTGTGGGTGTGGGGTTGGGGTGTGGGTGTGGGGTGTGGGTGTGGGTGTGGGTGGGTGTGGGTGTGTGGGTGTGGTGTGGGTGTGGGTGTGTGGGTGTTGGGTGGGGTGGGGGTGGGTGTGGGTGTGGGTGTGTGGGTGTGGTGTGGGTGTGTGGGGTGTGGGTGTGGGTGGGTGTGGTGTGTGGGTGTGGGTGTGGGTGTGGGTGTGGTGTGTGGGTGTGGTGTGGGGTGTGGGTGGTGTGTGGGTGTGTGGGTGTGGTGGTGTGGGTGTGGGTGTGGGTGGTGGGGTGCTGGGGGGTGTGGTGTGTTGTGGTGTGGTGGGTGTGGGTGTGGGTGGGGGGTGGTGGTGTGGGTGTGGGGGGGGGTGTGGTGTGTGGGGTGTGGGTGTGGGGTGGGGGGTAGGTGTTGTGTGGTGTGTGTGTGTGTGTGGTGTGTGGTGTGTGGGGTGGGGTGTGGTGGGGTGGGGTGTGGGTTTGTGTTTGTGTTTGTGTTGTGGGGTGTCTGTGTCTGTCTGTGTGTGTCTGTGTCTGTGTCTGTGTCTGTGTCTGTGTCTGTGTCTGTGTCTGTGTCTGTGTCTGTGTCTGTGTCTGTGTCTGTGTCTGTGTCTGTGTCTGTGTCTGTGTGTCTGTGTCTGTGTCTGTGTCTGTGTCTGTGTGTGTCTGTGTCTGTGTCTGTGTCTGTGTCTGTGTCTGTGTCTGTGTCTGTGTCTGTGTCTGTGTCTGTGTCTGTGTGTGTGTGTGTGTCTGTGTGTGTGTGTGTGTGTGTCTGTGTGTGTGTCTGTGTGTGTGTCTGTGTGTGTGTGTCTGTGTGTGTGTGTCTGTGTGTGTGTGTGTCTGTGTGTGTGTGTCTGTGTGTGTGTGTGTCTGTGTGTGTGTGTCTGTGTGTGTGTCTGTGTGTGTGTGTGTCTGTGTCTGTGTGTGTGTGTGTTTTTTCTAGCCTATATAGTGGGTAACAATCAGTTGGCACATGGACCCCGAAAATTGTGGTCCACCCATTTCTTTGAAATCTCCTTCCAAAGCTGTGCGAACTGTTCCTTTTTGGTTGGGAATGCCAGCTGACTGTTGTTCACTACCTTCTGGGCCTTATTTCACGTTTGTGAAATTTTATAATTCACCCAGATACTGTTTTTGTTCTTCTTATTTTTTTCTCATGGCAAGATGATGAGGTAGTGGAATATTTGTCAAAGGTGCGATGATTTGCCCGGCCAACGCCAGGAGGACGATGACGAGGAGGAGGAAGAGACCCCTGAGGCCGGCGAAGTGTGTGCCATCGCAGGGACCGGATCAGGTTTTTATTCGTAGCAGCTTGCAGCTCTATGAGGCTTCAACTAGGCTTGGGAACCCACAAGCAGAACTCTCCCGGGTTGGTTTCCTGTGGGGCTACCTGCGGGTTTGACCTTCAAGAAGAACATCTCTGCAAGGCTTACGATTCTTATGGTCCCTCCTGAGGGGCCCTTGAAAGCAGCCCATTTTGAGGGCCCAGTGCTGAACAAATTTTCCGCCAGAAGGGGGCGCAAGGTAAGGCAAAGACTCGACCCAGGCTGCTGCGGCCCGCCTGAAGGCGCAGGCCGGGAGTGGAGGGACTGGGAAGCAGTTCCGTTTCTGGAGCTCGTACCCACTTTGGGAGGTTCTGTGGGGATGTTTGAGTTGGTACCCTCTCCTTTAGTTGGCAGCTTCTTTTTGGAGGTTTGAAGAGGAGACCAAAAGGCAAATCACTCACCCTGAACGCCCTAATTTTGAGACACGCACACACACACACACATTGCTCACTGACAAAGGGGGTGCTTTGTCCCGTTTTGGTGCCGCCATGCTTTTGCGGCCATTGCGCTGCCTCGCGCGGCCCTTTCCGAACAAGAACTGCTTGGCAAAAATGGTGTGGTTTCCCGCCTTCGAGTGGTGGCTCCTTCGTCATATGGCCGTGGGTCAACACCAATGGTACCATATCATATTGGGGTACCTGAACCCTCAAAATTCCCTTAAAAATGGGGGTCCCAAAATTATGGGGTGATATCCCATTTTTATGGGTAGTTTGAGGGTCCAGGTAGGTAAATTCACCACCCATCTCAGAACCTGATTTAGTGGGTGGATTGAATAGGATGTTCACTGGGGGTACGATCCATAGCCATATCTGGCCACCCCCTCTGGGCCGCCCTTGAACCGGCCAGGAGAACCTGAGCAAGCCGCCCAAGAAGGGCATCGCCGCTCGGTGTCCAGGCCTAGGTCCCCCAGTAATAGCTGTAATTAGTGCCCTTTTGCCGTTTCGTTTTTGGGGGACGGTTCCCGTACTAAAATAGATTATTCTAACCTCTCTACTGGAGGACCTAGATTCTATTCTCGGGGCGGCAAATTTGGGGTCGCAAAAGCGAAGTTGGTTGAAACCAGCCCTTGGTCCCCTTTGAAGGGTAACCAAAAGGTGGTTTCAATGCGTTCAAAGGGGTAACCAGCTAGCTTGATCGTCGGGCTCCAGAGTTGCTTTGGGGCGATAAAGAACGAATTTGTAACTGCCCAGAGAAACGTTTGTTGGTATGGTATCAAAGGCAAACCGAAAGGAGAAGGAGGCCGTTGTGGAATGTCGGTTCAAAACTTTCTCTTGAGACAACCCTCAAGAAGAAGACGCATTTCCAAATGGCCATTTGCTGGGGGCGGAGGCAATTTGTGCTCCCTGTGGTTGCCTCCAAGCCTTTCCAGCCTCCACATGTGGACAAAAACCAACCTCCAGGCCTCCGTTTCCCCCACAAAGCGGTGGTTTTTAAGTATCACCTGTTGAAAGTTGCCGTGTTTGGAAGGGAGTCTTCTTTATTGGGCGATGTCACTTGGAAACGCCGTGGACGTCTCATCCTATTCAGCGCCAGGGTCTTTGGGGTACTTTGGGTGCTCCCAAAATCGCGGTCACCCAACGCCGTTGGTTCCTTTTCTCTCCCAACTGCCAACCAAACAGGGGGTCCACCATTGTGAGAAACCATAATTTGGAGACACACCCATAAACTACCTGTAACCTCCACACGTAAATGGCGTCGAAACAAGAGCAACCCATCGTGGCTTGTTGTTGTTTCTGCTCAAGCAGAAATGCAAGGAGTTGGATGCACAAAACAGAAACCACTGGATTCAAAGCCACCACTCAGAGCCGACGCTTCTTCCATTGGTCTGGCTTGAAAACATAAACCGCAAATACTATTTAAAGGGCCGGACAAAAGGTGGAAGCAAATGCAGAGTCATTAACGTGCCCTTTGGCTGGGGGAAAATACGAAACAAATGATTCCAAATCATTCCGTTGCTTGGTTGGCATCCCAAACATTTGTTTTTTGGCAAGAAATGGGACCGTTTCTTCCTTCTTTTTGGTTTCCAGAGGACCCTCTTAGCGTGCGGTCCGAGGTGCGCTATACCTTCCGGGACGAGGGCATGCTGGGCATCCGGCTCTCCCGGGATGTGCCGCCCTGGATCCTGGAGGCGCGTTGATCGCCTGGGCTGCTGGGATTCGCTCTCGGCACACGGTGTCGGGTGGGTCTCGGCCAATGGGACCCGCCACAATGGGCGCAGCGGTCTTCCTTTGTTTGGTTTTTGCTTTAAGGCCAAAAAAAGAGGCTTTTTGTCCAAGCAAGGACACACCACACACCCATACACATCTGGCAGAAGGACAGTTGCCAAAAGGAAGCTTCAAGAGTTTCGAGGGCTCCAACTGCTGGGCCAAGAAAAACCTCCACGCCAACCCCACCGAAGCGGACGACTCGATGGCTTTCTCCGGGCTGGGCTTCAGGTGAGGGACGGCACCCTGGCGGCGCGCAAGGCCCCGAAGGTGCCCGTGGGCGGAGCGGCTCGGAGCGAGACGAACATCCGGCGGTGGGTTTTCGTGGGGAAGCTCCCCGACTGGTTGGGACCCTCAAATTTCCCTTCAAAATGGGTTTGACCCCAAAAATTATGGGTAGTTTGAGGGTCCAGGTACACTTTTTCATCCCCCCCAACTGGTTGGGGCAGACACTCCCTCAGAGTAACAGCTGGAAGGATGGATCTGGCGAGGAATTTTCAGGGGGAAAGTGGTTGGTGGACATACACGAAGAAACACTCCCCTCAGAGATACAGCCGTTCCGGCTCGCTCCCCCAACTGGGCTCTGTGGAGCCAAGTCTTCTATTTCAGGGTCCTGGGAGAGGTTCATCAGAGAGGGCCCCGCAGGAAAATGCCAAACCCATCTGCCACTGAGCCCCCCAACTGTCCGTGGGCTGGCTCGATAGGTGGGGAATGACAACGGAGTCCGGATGTTGGGGTTGGCTGAACCGGAACGGGGATTTGTTTTTTGGGGATATTCTAGGGGACGGTGTTTTCTTCTTTGCGGGGGGGGGGGGGGGTATTATTTTCTGATTCCCTGCTGAGAACCAGCAAATTTCTAAGCGAAGCAAAGGGGAAGGCAACTTATGACCCTATGGTGTTGGCTTTATCATCTTGATGGGGCCCGAAAGTTTATTTGTCCTGTCTTTCTCTACCAAAATCGCCTTTTCGGGAAGCCGGATCATATTCTGGGTTCTCCAAATTCGTAGTGCCCTGACACAATTCGTTGCCGTTTGGCTCCACCATTGTGAGAAACCCCATTTGGTGACTTTACTCTTGCTGCTTGGTGATAGTGAAGCAGGGACCTCAAGTTTCAGCTTCTTTGGAAACAACCGCTGATTTGCTGAAGTACCCTCCCTCAGGCAATTCCATGGAAGCTCCCAGAACCCCTTTTGGAGTCGGGGAGGGTGACTTTTGATTTGGGAAAAATCGCTGACCTGCAAAAAGTGAAATTTAAGCGCTGAGCATGAGCATTTCTGTTTGTATGTGTGCGTGTGTCGAACAGACGGAGCCCCTCAGGCAGCCAGATGACTGGGTTTGCAACTGGGTAGTTTGGCTTTGTTCAGAGGGGCCCCAGTTGTGACGGACCTCTTCTGAATGCCTGCGAGATCAGCAAGCAACGATTTGTGTGAAAGATTGCGAAAAGCCCATGAAGCCGATTTTTGTCTGGGAACGCCCCGGAAACTGGTTGGTGGACAACACCAAATGAAGGATGTCCACCAAATCCCCAATTGAACAGCATGGCCACGGATTTCAGCCACCTGATCATTCCGACTGAGGTGGTGATGTCAATCAATGGCTATGACCTCTCCATGAAGGAGAACCCTTGGGCCGTGAAAGCGCTCCTGGGCTCGACCGATCTGATGGGTTTTGGCTTTGGAGTTCGGAAGCAAATCCATCGGGCTGCCCTTGACGAATCTCCCGGAGTTCTCCGCTTTTTGCCGCAGGTGCAAAAAAGCCGCGGTGAAACGGCAAGCAAGAGGTTCTTTGCTGCAAAAGCGGTGAAACGCGCGCCTAGGGAGAGTGGAGTCTTCCCAAGTTTCATCATGTGCTGGCTGTTGTTGATTTGGCGGTGTAAACAAGTTCCCAATGCTGAATTAGAATTAGGCAACACTTAACCAAGTCTAAGCTCCAACATGTTTATCTTAGGGGTCTTTCCGACGGCTGCCCAAATTAAAATTTGTTTGTGTTAAATTTCGTTGTTTGAATTGTAAGCTTGAACATTTTATTGATCAATCCAAAATAGTGCCTCGAACGATTCCACCTACAGTCTGCAGACAAGTATTGTTCAGCCCGGATTGGGGAGGTATTATGGTTGGTGGAAACAACTATTCACCCCATATTTGCCGCTGGACACACTTTGGATGCCTACAGATGGAGCCACTGAGCTCTTTTTGCATAAACTCTTTCCTGGTTCCCAGAATTATTTGAGGGGATTAGGAAATCACAAGGGCGCGAAGACGAACAACTCCACCAAGTTGCGCGTTCAGGAAGAAAGACTACCAGGGTTTCCAGTGGTTTGGTTGCGTTTCCCGCTTAGTCTTGCTGGTGCTCAGCAGGGAATGAGGGAATGACCCCTATAATATAAACCATCCAACTGGTGATTTCCTTTTAAGGGAATCCCTGGATTCATTCAACCGCATTCCCTACCTATCGCACCAGCAAGTAATTATCTTGAGTGCTATTGGGTTGGATCTTTAGACTTTAACTTTTGGTGAAATCAAGGGGTTCTCCCTTAAAAACCGCAAAAAGTAGAGCACTTCTTGCAGAGGGGTCAACAGTAACCAAGTCATTTCGGTGCTTCTCGGATCTCTCCACGAAGAACTCCGCCTCCCGAAGTCTTTTTTTTCTGCGCGAGTCTCCGAGGTTGGCCAAGAGGCCGGTGGTGCTGGACGTGGATTGGCCCATTGATGTGCCCATGCCTTCGGTGATGTCTGCCTAGGCGCCCAAAGAATCTGCCTGAACCCTCAAAATTCCTTTAAAAATGGGTTTGACCCCCCAACATTATGGGGTGATATCCCATTTTTATGGGTAGTTTGAGGGTCCAGGTGGCGGCAAAAACCGGTAAACCGACCCCGTCCTTGTCCCTTTCCGAGCTGCACGTGGCTCTTGGGGAGTTGGATGCGCGTTTGATCTTTTTCTTGGGAACAGCCGTCCGGTTTTTCCTTGGGCCTTTGGACCTTGTTTTTAGTTGGTCTAGTGGTCAGTGTGGCTGGGTTTCCATTTAACCCGCAAGTGTTCTAGACTTTTAGCAGATCGGATCAGAAACGGACAGCCCAGTTGTGACAGGGGTTTGTTCAGACTCCGTGGTTTGGTATCGCTCGCGAGAGTGGCGCGCAAAGCTGACTGGGGGTGTCGGTTTCGCCGGTTTCGAGCAGAAGATGCTAGGCTTGAAGCGCTGCACCGCTAGGCCAAGCCATGTTTCAGTTTCCCTCCCACCAAACATGGAGCCTGACTTGCTGGACCCGGTGCCCCTTTAAAAGGAAAATGATCCAAACCAGGACCCCCCCGTCAGGTTCCATAATTATTGGTGGAAGGGTACTTGCCTTGGGTAAATGCAGCAAAATCCAGGGCAAGCAGAACCTCCCAGAGCTTGTCGAATGGTGGCGCATGTGTGGCACTTTCACCTGCTCCAGCGCACGCTGGGGGTCGTATGACCGCAAAGACTCAATTCCAGAGAGGTCAGAAAAATCGAAAATCTGCAGCGAGTCACAGGCAGGGACCATTGCCAAGGATGCGGAGAGTGTTCGTCAAACCGCGTGCCAGTCTGGTGGAGTTGGTTCTGTTGCTGGACCCGCGTGCCAGTCCTTTTTCTGTTTTGTTTTTTTGTTTTTCTCCTTATGTTTTTGTTTCTTCTTACGCTCGAACGTATCCGATCCTTTTCATCGATCGAGTCTGCTTATGCTGCATGTATACTGATGCAGGTGCAGATCACTGATGTGTTCAGTTGAGACCAGCCTTGTCGCTGACTGTGATCGCAGCTGTAGCTGAAAAAGCATATATTGTGACATGCGATGGGAGGGTTGAAAGAAGGATTCAGAAAGTGCCTCCCTTTGATTGTGCCATTACAAGCGCAACTGGGAAAATGGGGGCGTTTTCCAAAGCCAGCAATTTTCCAGATAGCCCCACCATCCCAGAATTTAGGAAATACCTAGAGTGATGGTGAGGGTAGTGGACATCCAAACATAGATGCGGCACTTGTTTTGCTGAGCTATGGGACAAAACGGTCATCGGAACTCGGCTGATTGATAAACTTGATCAACTAGTTGTAGATTATCACAACCAATTCTCAGCCTTGGCCAAGTATTGTTAAATAAAGTAAAGGTGCTTGATTGATACACCCGTTAATTGACATGTTTCCCATTTGATCTATGAGCTTTTGGATCACTTGCGATCCGACAGATGCCACTTTGGTGGTTAGCTTGGCGCCCATTTGATTTGGGTATGTCCCGTGTTACAGGGGCACCCTGTTTGGGCAAAAGACAAATGTAACAATTCGAATTCAACAAGTGGTGGAAGAAACGTTCCCAAACGGAAAACGCAATTCTGGAGATTAATCCATTTCAGGGCCCCAGAAAACCAATGCGAGGCCAGCTTCGGGTTGCCCCGCCCATCCGCCCATGGCTTGGCGGCGGCGTGTTGAGCCGCGAAAATGTCGAGCGCTTGGCCTGCCCAGCGAGTGGCGCAGCGCGTCTCCTGGAGCGGCGTCCAGGCGAGGGGCAAGGATGGGCAACCGCTGGGTGTGTCTCATAGGAGAACCCCCGCCTCCCCCAAAATAAATAAATAAATAAATCCGCTAGATGTCCCTTGTGCCGCAGGTGAGTCACAATCAAAAGTGGGGTAAGTGGGGTAAGTGGCGGGCAAGGAGCAATCCCAACCACGCACAGGTGCGGCCTTCTTAATTCTTTCCATTCCGGGTAGATCATTGCAATGGGTTTGATTGCGACCTATTGCGACTCAAGTAAAAGTTCGCCAAGTTTTCCCTTTCAACCCAAAGAAACATCGGCTTGAGCCTAAAGAACCCCCCTTGTCCTTGAGGGCTTGACCATGAAATTCCCCGCTGACTGGCTCTAAATGGGTCTGTTTGGGTAACATCTGGGCCACAAAGAGGGCGCGGATTGGGGGCCCCGGTGGGGGGGGGCCTGCAGGCTGTGTGGCGGTGTTGTTTCCGACACGCCGACCGGACCCTTCTTGCGCATGGTTTCAAGGGACCTGAAAAGGAAACTTGAGACTTTCGAGACAAGCAATGCTTCCAACTTTTTGGTAGTTGGTTTGAAGTCAAGTCATTTGGGGCACCGGACCAATCATATCCCAGGGTTGGGTTCCCCATAGGAAAACGCTCCTAACAAATTTAAAGTTCATTTGAGTGTGGCTCAAGATTAAAGAGCTAGGGTTACGCAGGTTTTAGTCTTTGGTTCCATTTACCAGGGTGCCATTTTGGTACATTTATTTGCGCCACAGCCATTTCAACGTTTATCCAGCTTTTGGAACCATGGTTGTCAGGCTCCCACCCAACCCCCCCTACACAGAAAGGAAGCAAAGACAACACCAACAAAAAGACTAAGCAAAAGGAACCCCTAATAGGAACCCCTTGTAGGAACCCCTAGCAGTCGCCTTTTTGAGGCCCAACTGTTGGGCTTGGGCCCTTGACACGAGTTGGTTTGAAGCTCTGCCAGGTCGCTGCGGTCCAGGTGCGGCTTGACTCTGACAGCTCGGAGAGCGAGCCGAGCGACGGGGAGGGCGACGCGCAGGCGGGAGTCACGGAGTTGAGTTGGTACCCTTTTTCGGTTTGACCGGAAGCCAGAAGGAGGATCGGACATCATAATTTTGGGCAGCGCCGTGTTTTGACGGGTCGCCAGTTGGTCTTTGGAAGCCCATTGCTCCATGGTTGGAAAGAGAAGGGCCGGGAAGCCGTCACTCCTTTTGGGGGAAAGACTTGAAGGGTGAAGTGTAGCAAGCTTGCAGGCATGTAGACTAGCCTCCCTGGCACGTAAGGGCGATTTGTTCCAGGGGGAAATTGATCTTCCAGGTACCCTGCCACGGGTGCTATGTTGGAGGAAGACTTGCCTTTTGAGGAAGCCAGGGTAAGAACTGGGCACCTGTCGTGTGACTGCGGCTCGATTGTCATGGGAACCCGTTTGGGAAGGGCACAAGCGTCGGCCCGAAATGGTGATGTGTGTCTTGTTGCCTGCCTTCCATCTGCAGGTGTTGGATGAACCCCGTTTGGTTGAAAGGGACATGTGACTGGCAGTTATTTGATTTGGAGTGACACCAAACAATCACAACTGAAATCTGTTGGAACTTGGATCTGGCGAGTCTCTCCACTTCGATGAGGCGAATCAGGGCACACCAGGATGGATCTTACCCGCACTCCGCACCCCAAGGCGGTTCTAGGAACTGTCGGGTTTTGGCTTGGGCCTGTGGTTCTTGTCGGAAACCACCCATCTCGTTCGGGTTTTTGGCGTCATGTTCAAGGATCCTTGAAGTGGATGGGGAGGGTGACAGCTGTATTTTTGGTCCCCCCCCAAAAAAAAGAGAGCTAGCATAATAAACAAACAAACAAAAGCAACACAAGCAGACACATAAATGAGAACAACTGAGCCACAATCAAACCCCGGGTAGATGAAGGTTAGTCAGGGACGATCCCAACAATATATAGGCGCGGATATCCGCCTTAAGTCTTGACATGGTCCTGGGTAGACCATTTCTGTACCAGGTTTTGATTCTGACGTCCCCCCAGCAAAAGTCACAACTGACAAGCTCTCCTGACTCAAATAACATATCCCCCCCCCCAGAAAAAAGTCACCACTGACGAGTTCTCCGCACAGGCCAATGTCTTGCAGCTGCTGCCCGTCGAGACCCTCCAGGCGCTGGGAGCCTCCGCGGGGGGTTCGCACACCCGGGCTCTCGGTCGTGGCATTAAAAGGAACGCAACTCGCCGTGGGCTTGTCTCAAAGTCGGGGCTGTGATCATACTGTTTCTAGCATCGTTTTCACTACAGCGTGCCTTTTTTCCACGTCTGGCCCAAGCATTTTTGGTTGGTTCTCCTTCCCTTGAAAACCCAATCAAACTGGGCTTTAGCCCCCCCCCCTCCCCTCCCGCCGCCCCTCCAAAAAAAGAACACGAAAAAGCCCCCCCGCGCCCCCTCAGAACAAAACAAGACGAGGTCGCCTTTTCGTAAAACGTGGAGGTGTCCCTTCCCGCGGTCCTTCCCGGTTCGACCCGCGAGGCGCAGTTTCTGCACAACGCGAACCTGCGGCAGCAGTTCGCCTCGCTGGGCGCCAGCTTCCAGGCCTGGCGCCCCATCCGCGGAGACGGCGCCTCGCTCAGGAAGCGGAGGAAGCGGAGGAAGCGGAGGAAGCGGCGTGGGCTCGGGCGGCGTGGGCTCGTCCTTTTTGTTTGTCTGTTGTGGTTGTTTTTGGTTTTTGGCAGAGAAAAAACAACAACACGGCAAAAACCGGGGATCCACAGAGTGTGTTGGTCTCCTTTTTTGGGAGTGTAAAGCCCTTGTTGTTTGGGTTTAAAGGGAAACCAACAGGAAAAAACTCCAGCCATTTTGGGAAAGTGACCAGGTGATTGAAAGAGTTAGTTCATTTATATCCTCAGTTAGAGATGTGACTTTTGAATGTTGTCTAAATCACATGTCTAGTAAAATTGGCCCGGAACCAAGAATGGCTTTCTATGCTCGTCTCCTGGATTGAGCTGCCTGCTACAGCCCCGTTGAAAAACAAGATGGGCTGCCAGGGACCAGCATATTTATGGCTCAGAGGAGAGAAGCCCGGGAAACGAATTGCCAAAGAAGAAGCATTGGCACTAGTACTTGCAACAGGATCAATACGTGTCACGTCTCTCAATTTTGGTTTTACACAATATTCAAGCGCAAGAGGGTGTCCACTCCGCACAAACCACTACCGAATATAGCCACTGTAGAACAATCACGCTACAATCTATGGATCATATTTTTCTACTCCTTTTTTTCCCGTCATAATAAACATACATACATATATACATATATGTAGAATCATGGTATATAGATACACATAGTGTATTTCATATCGCCGGCCTTTGGGGTAGCATCTCTCCCGGGTGTTCAAGCTGTATGTTGAGCCCATGACCACGGGTCTTCCAGATGGGGCTCGACCTACGGAGGCATGTCGGTGGCATTTTTCTGTTTACATGGTTGCCCTGTTAACGGAAACCCCCAAATGAGTGGGGGACTGATTTCTTTTCCCCAAAAAAAAACCTTAGCCCTGGAGGTTTCCCAACAGCGAAGGTTCAAATCCCGCTCTGGGTGCAACATTTTCCCATCCGTGGCTGAGGCCACAGAAGACGATGTTTCTTTGGAAACGGACCAGCTTTGTTTCATGTCTAAGTGGACAGGAGGCTAAGTTTTCTGTGTTTGGTGGGTTGCCTACTGGGATTCCGCACTGCAGAGTTTGGTGTGGGTTCCCTTCAATGTCCCGGGTTGTCCTTCTTCGTGTCCAACAACCAAAGACAAATATGGATCCTGTTGGTTTCCTGAATATATACTATGGCTCATCAAAACTTGACAATAGGAATACGACCCCTATGGCAGTGTTTTGGGTGTTCGAAGGTGGCTTTTGACTTGTGTCTTCTGTTCCGGGAATCTGAAAAGCCACATTTTCTGGGCCATCCCCTCCTATTCTTAACACGACATCCTCCCGGCATTTGGCTGTGGTTCAACAATAGGTACCCAAAATGGGTTGCCCTGGCAAGTGGAAACATGGACCAAAACCTGTGGTCCAATTCCTGGTGGTTTTTCTTTCTGACCCATACCCATACCCAATCCCATCAGACCGATCCGAGGGCTCTAAAATCGTAAAAATCCGAGACCCGTACCCAATCCCATCGGATCCGACGGCTCGAAAATCGAAAAAAGAAAATCCGAGGGAACTGCTACTACCGCGCGGTGCTCTTCGCCTGGCTGGAGCGGTGCCTGGCGCTGAACCTGTCCTTCGAAGCGCTCAGCCGGCGCCTCGAGGAGCCCTCCATGGCCGGAAGGACGGAGGACGGAGACGCGCGGAAAGGAAACCGAGGTTTTTTTTTGTATGACATGTGGATATGTTGATATAGAGTCTGTCGTACATAGGAATAAGTGTAATGAATGCAGGTTTCATATTTCTATTATACCATCATATATATATATATATATATATATGAATGTGTGAATATACATACGTGTATACACACATGTGCAGATTGACATCTTACATGTACATATTGCATATGGGTGTCTGAAAGTAGGGGAACCCTACAGTTGTGGTTTTCCTGGTGGTTTCCGTTCAAACCATTATTGGAAGAACGGGGGTATGGAGAAAGGAGGGAAGGCAAAGTCTTGAATATACATGTTCTTTGTACCCGTAGTAAAGTAGAAGCATGTCGTTTTGGATACTATTGGGCAATGTCCGTTTCAGTGCTTGTGGGAAAACCGCAGTCATGGAGGTATGCCAAGCTGGTCCCAGAATAGCAGAGGTCTAGGGGTAACTCCCCCATTCTTTCCAGGGATCCTTCTTTCCAGAAAACCACCAAAAACCCTGGGCAAATGGCTGGTTTTTGAAAAGAACGATGGCGAATCGACAAGAATGGAATTGGAATCCACCCCTAGAAGAGGCCTACTTTGGGTATCGCAGGAGCCCTCGCTTTGGATCGGTTGGATTTGAAGCCCTCGTTCTTGTGACGTAAGCCGCCCACCTCCCAACCCCCCGGCTCCAAGCCACGAGGGACGGGCATAGAGAAGCCCCTGGCGAGAGAAGGCCAGGTTCCTGGACCCGAAAGAACTACCCATAAGAATGGGATAGCACCCCATATTTTTGGGGGTCAAACCCATTTTTAAGGGAATTCTGAGGGTTCAGGTGGTTGTTTTTGACCGGGCTTCCCTATGCCAAAGCCAATGTAGGTACGGGTTTAGAGTTTTAGGTGTTGTAGGTCGGTTTTCTATCGGAGACCAAAAAAACACCACCTGGAGTGCCCTTCCTCTCCAAAAACCGCGTTGACCGTTTAAAACAGGGCTGTGGGGAATGACCACTTCTGTGATACAACAGAAAGAGCTTCCCAAAGACTATTTTGTTCATAAAAAGGGGGATTCTCTTGTATCACAGAAGTGGGGAGAAACCCCTTGATCCCACAACCCTGGTTGCCTGTCCCCAGTTTTGAGAGCCACCCACATCGGGACTGGGTTTTAGGCCCAGCTCTGCCGCCGGCGCCTACGCGCCTGGCAGCGCGCGCGGCGAAAATGCGGGGGAGACACTGAGGCGGTAAGGCGGGTGCTGAGACTTCACAGTTGTTGGCATGGGTTTTCGTAGGATTCATTTTTTGTATTGTTGTTTGTTTTGTTTGGTCCTTTTGTCTTGCTGAACTTTTGTTTGTTGGGTTGTTCTCGGGTTCTGTTCATGTCAAGATCTGGTAAGGAAGCGTTTGACCCGAGACTTCAACCGAAAACACGTGGACTACGCCTTCATCTACTGCGGCTCGGATCGCCCGATTTCGGTTTCGCGTGTCGGTTGGATTGGTTGCTGGGTTGAGGTTGGGTTTTTGGGTGTAGGTTGGGTTTGGGGGAATTAGTTGGAGTTTGTGTGTTGCAGCTCTTGTTGAGATCTTAGGGCACTTGGGTTGGTTTGGGTTGAGCCCCTTTTTTGGTTGATGTTCTTTTGGGACACCAACAAAAAAAACATTCTTTTGGCATTCGGTACCCGTTTTCGGGTTGGTATTTTCCGAGGGGACCAGCAGGAAAACCGCCTCAGGCTCTTTTTGGTGGATGTCTTTTAGGACCACCCGGAGACCTTAGCCCCCTTTTTTTCGGGGGCTAACCTTCCGGTTTTGGACGCCGGGTTTTATCCCACCCGACCCATCCGACCCCAACGACGGCGCAGGGCGACCTCGCCCGAGGCCTGCGGCAGCTGGTGGCCAGCTACGTGCGGCGCCACGCCAAGGAGCCCATCGCGGCGGAGCTGACCTTTGAGTCCTGGGCTCTGGCACTGGGGGCGCGCTCCATCGAGGAGTGCCGAAACTGCCGAAACCCGCGGAGGGGGGGTTGGGGTTGGTTCCGGGGGTTGGTTCCGGTTCCGGATCGAGGGGTCGGAGGTTCCTTTTTGAAACTCAAAAAGGATCCTGCTGAAAGATATTGGGGAGTTGGCGCCTGGGACCCCATGTGGATGCTTGGAAGCCATGCTGGAATGTTCGAAAGCGCGCATGATGGGGATGATGGGGTGAAGTCATGCTCAGACACCCAGTGGGTTGAGTCCTTTCTTTTGTTCTTCTTGGAAGGGGGCATTCGCGCGAGAACTGGCAAAAGGCCATAGGGGTCAGCATGCGGGTTTTGACGGGTTGTCTCTGTTTGCCACGGTTCCCGTGGTGAAACGCCCCTGGATTTTCAAGCGTTTTCTGACAATGTGGGCATCCCCGGAAGGAATGGAGAAGTTTGCCAAATTGAATTTCAGGACCCATGACCCCTGAAACATGGTGGCGGGATAGTTTCTTTTTGGGAACCTCAACCGTTTCGACTGAGATGGCCTCATTGAATCTCATTGCAGTGTCTCGGCAAACTTCGAACTCGTTGGTTTGAGTAGCGGCCCAAACAGTCTGTAAAAGGAACAAACAGCTGTTTTTGGCCGTACACCGCAGCAGGTCAGTGTCAAACGTGTTTGTTCCGCCGCGATGAAAGCCCTCCTTGGCTTTTGGGGCTCTTTTTCATGGCTTGCGTTTCAAGTAAAAGGAATCTTTGGGGTTCGGCTATGAGAGGAATTACAGGACAGGCGGGCACTGAAAAACAAAGGGGACCCCCCAAAAAGCAACAAATAAAAAAGGGGAGCTATTTCTGGGAAAGGAGACGGGCACAAGAGCGGGAGCTTTGGCTTTACCAGCAACCCGGCCGTTTGAACTGAATTGGTGTGTCAAAGTTGATTGAAGCTGCCTGACCACTGGTCAGGGCTTCAAACAAATGCCCATATATGCCCCCTTCATCAAGATGACTGATTCTATCATGGACAAATAGGGCAATGTTACCCAGAAATCCCAGAGGATCGGACACAGCGATCCCTGGTCCACCGCTCGCATGAAAGGGGAAGAAGGGCCTCTCAAGGCCATGTGCAACCCCGAATCCAAGATGCAGAAATCGTTCGTTCTCGGAAGGGCCCTCGATACTTCAAAAAGCTGCTGACATAAATTGGGTGATCCTAAGTTTCCAACAAATGGGTTCCGACCTTCGGATGCTACGTGATTGCCCTGTGCAAGCGATTGGCACCCGCGTTTCCAGCCAAGTCTCTAGGAAGCTAGGATTTTCTTTGGAAGTCCCTGGCTCAAAATGGGCAGTAGTTCCCAAAGTTTTTCCGGAACCCCTCTTCTCAGAGCGCAGGTAAAGCCGCCATGCGGCTATGCCCTTGCCAGGAGTACTGCCAACAACACATCTGCTCCATGCAGAAGGTCGGCTGGGCATGACCTGTGGGCTGGGGCCAGGAGAAAGCTGGAGGGATCTTTCGTCCAACTTGGGGCCCCTCAAGAGGAGTTCTACCCGAGGGCTGTCAAAGGGCAAAGGGGGAGATTTCCCAACTCGGGCGCTGTGTGAGGCTTCGTGGTGTGCTCCGAAACGAAGCTTTGCTGATGCTGAAGGATGGCAAGCTGGTCGTGTTTTGGAACCCCATGTCTTCTGGGTTGTCCTTGTAAGACCACGTGAGCCGCAAAGCGAATCAACTTTTCGGCTTTTTCTGGCCACTTCTGGTCAAGGTGAATTAAGGCGAACCTTTATTTCCAGGTGCTGGAAAGCAAAACAAAGGGCCCACTGAAAGTGTAGACAGGAAGAATCCTGGAACTGTCTGAACTTTGTTTCATCAAGCGATCCGTTTGTGAGGGATTCCTTGTTTTGTGGTGGAACCATCGCCCCGTACTAGGCCGCAACCTCAATTCGTCTGGTTCAGGTGTTTTTCCTGAGCGCCTGAAGTGATATAGCCCACGCAGTGTTGGTGCCCATACGTACTGTAGATAGACACGGAGGTGTGGAGGGGACGCCTAAGGGGTTGCTTGCGTGCTTAGAATATATATTTGGGACAACATGCTTCCCGATTTTTTTTCAGACCGTTGCACCCTGCCATCAAACATGGAAAGGCAGACCTTTGCAAGGCTGCTTTCCTCCAGGAAATTCATGTTGTGCACCAAGCTATGCTTGGTGGTTGTGTATTCGCAGGGAGAAAGAGTTCAAGACCTCCATTGATCCAACCAAGCGAAAGAAGGAGTCCTTGTTTTGTCCTGGCCACTGGAGGTCTGGTTCATTCTTCCACCACTCAGTTGCAGGACGCGGCAGACCACGTGCAGTGGGTGTGCCCGCGGGTCTTGCAGACGGTGGTACGGACTCTCAAAGCTGAATTCAGGGTTTTGCCTTGTGGTTTTCCCGTGATTCCCAGGTTGGCTGATGAATTTATGAGTCTCCTGATGTGCTTTAGTTGAACTGGTCCTACCAACAGGCAGCTTGTGAAACACATGGGATCAACATACTAGTTGGTCATTTAGTCCCCCATCCAAAAAGTGATCATATTTTTGTCAAACTCGTCCATCCCAATGCTTCCAGTTTCACACTATAGTAGGTAACAAGTTATTTTTTCTAACATGCTTTCCTTTGGTTGCCTGAAACTGGACGCACCGGTCGCTTTGCTGAGGATTTGCATGGTGGACCGAGATACTGCCAGTTGCAAGTTCATCGACTATGGCCAGGCGCGGTGTCCAAGCAACCCAAGAAGGGCCTGCCAACAACAAAACAAAGCATGGGTTCCAGTTTCCCTTTGAACCACCAACCAACCATATTTCAAAGTGTTCCTTTTGAGTGTGAGAAAAACTCCCGTTTTGACTTCCCTTAACCTTCCTCTTTTGGGAAGGAGCAGTTCAATCAACAGTTGCCAGTTTTTACTTTTTAGAGGCACCCAACTGCCTTCCTAAAGCGGCGGTTCGCCGCAAACCGCGCATTTTTGCGGTCCGCTCCTCACGTGAGGAGCGGCGGCGCGCGGAGATGGTCGTACCCACCGCAGCGCACCTCACGTCCGCCGCCTCGATGTCGGAGCTCCGCGGCGCGCCGGCGACACGGCATCGAGGGACGGGCGTCAGGCGGGGCGGCGACCGAAAATGGAGGTCTTGGACTTCGGTTTTGAGGGAGGTGGAGCCAGCTTCATGGAAAAAAAACAGGGCGTAAGCATGGATCAATGCGCTATTTTGAACCCGCGTGGCTGGGGCATCCCCTTATTGGGAGGGGCACTTTCAGAGTGCTTGAAGATGGAGGAAGCTTAATGAACGGAACTAGTTGGTTGGATCCGGAGTGGAGTTGCCTTCATTTAAAGGGCAACCTCCCCAAAACTGTGGCACCTCCAACTTGCTTTGCCTTCACATCGCGGGTGCCCTCCACTGGAGGGCCTGTTTTAAGATGGTTGTTATTGGGAAACATGTCTCCCATTTTTGCTGGTTGTGGTTTGGTGGTTGAGTTCCCCACTGAGCTATTATTTTTTTTTGCTCCCCTTCCAACGTCAACCAAGTTACGATGTGTTTCAAGAAGAGCCTCAGGGAAAGCAACGAAACAAATTTTCCAGCGGCCTCACTGTGGACACACCTGCGGGCGCTTGGGGTTTCTTTGGTTTCGTTGAACAAGGCGCCCGAAAAAACGGTCGACCCAACAGATTTTGCAGGTCAGGCTGACTTTGGATATAAATGCGTCATGGCTGGCGAGCTGCCGACATTGCAGCGAGCGATTGCAGTTTCCATGCTGAAGCCCGCTCAACTTGTGCCGACTTTGATTTTTGTTGTTCCGAACGTCATCTCAATCTGTGATTTTGTTAATTAAGTAGCGAGGCCATACAGGTTGTGACACTAGGGCTTAGTTTCAATTTGGGGAATCTTCCTCCCTGCCGACCCCTCCATGATGCAAGAGCCGACCATGTTTGTCCTGGCTGGCAAGTGTTGGATTTCTTCTGCAAGAAGCAGTGTGTGCTTTGTAAGCAGTCAAATTTGGTAGAGGCAAGGTCAGCCAGAAACTGGCAAGGCCATGCAAGCCAAAGAGGGTATAGGGAGCCATGCCATGCTTCGTGTGTCAAAACAGAATTGAAGGTTGTGGGAAGCCAATTGGGGTGTCTCCTTCTGAACAGGTAAGCCATGGCAATCTTCAGCATGTACTGTACACTACCGCAAGGCAGTGGAGGGTGCAAAACTCAAACTCTGTCACTTGGTGACGCAATGTCAATGAACCCATCTGCAAAAGACGGGCTAAGAACCCATGTGGAGCCTTTTCCGAGATTCGAGTTTGGCTTTCGCGTTTCAGCTCGGAATTCCGTTACGACCTCAGCACCGGTTGTTCGACCTAGGAGATCTTTCTGCTTCTGAAGCCTGGGCACTATGACATCTTGGTGCCCCGGGACAAGGACGGGCCAGAGGGCCCAGGTTGGCAGGAGAATCCCAAACCACAATGTACGTTCGGTAAGTAAAGTGTGTGTCTAAACATGGATTTGTTCACACGTTTGCTCATATTCTTGTGTAAAGTGATCCGTGCTCTTGGCCATGGTGAGTGTCTTGCCGTCGGCTCTTAGCCCACGAATGAGGCTAAAGGAAACATATGTCCAGTAGAAAGAGTACATGACACTGTCTATAAAAGTGTGTGTCGCGTTACAGTTACCCATGCATTCATATTCAAAGGATGCATAACCTATAATGTTTCAGCAACGGTTGACCGGCAGCTAGTCCAAGCTGCTCAAGGTTGTATGTTGCTCACACCCCTTAGTCTTCCAGTGTCCCGTAGTCTCCCTCAAGTAGAACATTGTTTAAATCCGGCTGACACTGGACTTGCTCACTGATGTTTCATGGCATAGGGGGGATCCCCTCCTTTTATCTGCTTCAAAAAGGAAACCACTCTGGGGGTTTCCCTACTTTCCCTGCAATATGCTTTTGAATGGAAACCACATGGACCCAAATTACACGTTGTTTCCCCCAACGGGGAGGCCGTTCCTTTCAAACCCCAGGCCCATGCCGTTCGGCTCAGGCGTATCGCCTGCTAACTCCTGAGAGCTCCGGCCTGGAGCGGCAACACTTCCAGGCCGTTTTGAGGCGCCCGAAATCGAATCGAAAGCGAAAGCGAACGCGCCGCGGAAGTTGAAGTGGGACCACTTAGTGAAAGGTACTCCGAAGCAAACATCCGCCAGGCGGGAAAAAATGGAGTTCATTCCCCGGCACGCGATGTCTATTCCTAGAAGCGTTTTTTGTTTTTCAGATTGGCTTCCATGTCAAGTCTGGAGGGAGTAGAGTGGTCTTGCAACAAGCATGGAATCCGGCAGGAAGGCTTCGGGAGACTACTTTCTTTGGTGAAGCCCCCTGTCCACTTCCACGACCGTGAAGAGGGGCAACAGGGTCCAAATATGTTCAGCTTGGTCAAGCAGAGCAATATGGGCACATCATGCAAGCCATAATTGCTCATATTGCCCAATGGAGAATGCTCTCCATATTGCTCTGCAACCAATTGCCCACTGTGCAGCAATATGGAGAGCAAGCCATACTGCTTTAACCCTCTCCAACCAACAAGGAAACCAAGCAATCAGCTGGTGTTTCCAGGCAACCATGGCCAGAAGCCTCAGCTGACTGCGGCAACTCCAAGCGGTGCTGTTGGTCTTGGGCTGGCCGGATTTTGTTTGGGTAGATGCTTGAAGTTCTCAGGTGGGGGCCGTCCGTAATTGTATGTCTAAAACCTATGAACAGCGGCAACTTGTTGAACCGCGCGATTGGTAATTAAAACTCGAGCCACGAAAGGCCGGCGATTGGACCGCGAAAGGGCAACGAAATTATTAGGAGTTTAGACGTTGCAGGTGCCGACGCACGTCTCGCTGAATTGACTCCTCGGGCTCGAGCAAAAGTTTCCTTTGGAGTCCTGAATGTTGATTTGGTTTGTGCAGGGCCAGGCAGTGCTTTCCAAATCTGCGTGCTGGCAAGGGCTGGAAGCTGCAAACCGAAGTTTCACCGGGCGATTGGACGAGTTCCACCAGTGAGCCCCTGCCCATCCGAGCTACGTCACTTTCTTCCTTTTCCAGTTATATAGAGGAAGGCCAGCGCTTGAGACAAGACGGCGGAACTTGAAACAGAAACAGCAGCGATGCCCAACGTTGCTCTGCGATTGGACCCTGTGGGACCGCGATTGGATCGCGATTGGCCAGCCATATGGCGATCTGAACTTTAGTTGAAACTACCTCACAAGTAGTTGGTGGACATGAATCCCCACCTAAATGTTGTCTTCCATATGGGAGCGTCTTATCTTTTTTGTGTGTTTTTCCGTTTAGACAAGCACAAGGAAACCCACTATATGCGTTTTCCTACGAATTGGACTTGACTGCTACTGGGCTGGATCTTTAGACTTCAACTTTTGGGTTGGGTTTTCCACTAAACCCCCAAAAAGTTAGGCAACCTTTCCGCAGGGGGGCCGTTGCAGCAACCAAGTGGATGCACTCATACGCATGGGTCTCTTTCATAGATGTCCTTTTTGGTTGGTTTGCTTAAGCAATCGAGGCCCCTCGTTTAGTGGGTTTCTTCCATTTACCAGGGTCATTTATTTTCCAAAAGGCCACCTATACCTTTTTTTGTGTTGTTGCAAAGAAACACAAGGAAACCCACCATATGCTGTTTTTTGCCACAAATTGGGTGCACCCATACGCCTTTGGTCGCTTTTGGGAGGTGCCTGGAAGAGAAGCTGGTGCAGTCGCTGAAGCGAAGTCCCATCGAAGATCTGGGCCTCTTCCGCGCTCAGCTGCTCAGCGTGCTGGAGCCGCTGCAGGCCGTACTCAAGGCCTGCCGTTTGCTCCGGGGTCTGCTCGAAAAGATGGCGATATATTTGTATGTCTAATAAATAACATATATACATACATACATAATATGTATGTATGTGTAACATATATCATATGTGTAGACTGAAAATGAACCATAATATGAACATATGTTCTTCTTTGTGCCGCAGATGTGAGCAAAGTTTTCGTTCCCTTAGCCTTTGCTTAAAATGAATCCTTCCTTACGCCAGATGTGCCATGGTCGGAGGACCACTCTACTTGGGGTTGGTTGGGAATCTGAGCAACTCAGCTGCGCCCAGTAGGTAGCCTGATCTTCCCTGGTTCCTTCCCGCAATCTTGATTGTGTCAAGCAAACATGAGCCACAACCAAAACCCATGTACATGAAGGTTTGTAAGGGACAATCCCAAGCTTAAGTAGCTGCGGCCGCCTTCTTAATTCTTTAATTACATGGTTCTGGGTCGACCACTTTAATACCGGGTTTTGATTGTGACTCACATGAAGTGGGAAGGGCCGCATGGACGGGCACCCACGCAGTTTGCAAGCAACGCAGAGCATCCGCCGCAGGCGGATGACAACGCTTCCGCCTCTCCGCTGCCGGCGCTCGAGGCATTTCTGCGGGCGGCGGAGCCGCAGTCAAAGCCGGCGCCGGTGCCGGCGCCGGCGCCGATGGTGGGCGGGGAGCGCCTTGCCCAAACCTTTCGCCCGGGTACCTTGTAGTTTTTCCACGTTGGCTTTTACCCTGCCTGAACAGTTGGGCCATGTTGGTTTCCTGTTGGCCTGTTTTTGTCCAATGTCGCTTCTGTCCCATGGCGTGTGTTGGCCGTGGGTCCTGCGCTGAGGTGCTGCATTTGCCTGCAGCCGGGGGCCACTTTGACGGCGGCGTGCGGGTGTGCATACCACGGCTGGTGCCTGCAAGACTACACCAAGGACAGAGCAGAGTTCGAGGGGTACCCTAGATCAATGGACAAGACTACACCAAGGAAGCTCGAAGGGCAGAGAAGGCTTCCTTCAAAGAGACAACCCAGGCTACTACTCCAAGAGTAGCTTCCATTTCCATTCTTTCCAGGCATCCTTCTTTCTAAAAAACCACCCAAAACCCCGGGGAAACAGCTGGTTTTTGAAAAGAACGATGGTTGGAAAGAATGGGGATCAACCCCTAAAAGAGTCGGAGGCAAGGCTACCCCTTCGGTGCATTTTGCCAAGGGATGTTAGGACTTTCGCTTTTTGCCAACTAACGGGTTTTCCGTATTAAGCCGCTAAAAGTTAAAAAACTTTTAGCAGGGGAGCAGAAAGCAACCGGGTTATGAGCCCAACACAGGGTTCCGTTGGGAGGAGAAGGTTGTCCAAGTCAGGCTCTGTGTTGGATGAGAGGCTTTCTGCCATGTGAAGGAAGCAGCGCCGCATGCTGATCCCGGCTCAACTTCCCTGAAGCTTCGCGAGCTCTCCGCGAGCTGAAATCAAAACCCCGCTGGGGATGCCTTAACTCGGGCTTGTGAGCTATAGCAATTTTTGAATTATGCCATGATAGTGCGCAACCAGATTGATTCTCCAACTTGAATTTGTCTTTGTCAATTGGGCTGTCTTTGTTGAGGGTACTTTTCTCGAGTGGCGTTGAAAGAAGAGCGAACGCAGTACACCACGCGCTTTGGGGGTCCAACCCTTTTGCATCAACTTCTTCAAGTAGTTTTGCAAATTGGATGTAGAATTCTCCCAAACTTCTATGTTCCACTTCATCTCCCAATTCCTTGCTTTGGTTGGAAGATACCTAGGTCCCCCTAGTAGTGCCCTTTCTCACCCCTTTTTTGGGGGAGGGTTTCCCTATCAAAATAGACTACAGAAAAAATCGGGTACCCTTATTCCAAGCTCTACTGGAGGACCTAGATACGAGCACTGGTTCATTGGGGACGCCCGCCTCCCTAAGGTGCTTCAGGGGCGCTTTTTGGTGAACCCATGTATTTCACTCACATGGGGAAGCGGCCCCTTCGTCTCAACATCGGGGAACCCAAACACCAGAGTTTGTGATTTGTGGAGGTGTACACGGTGGTATCCACCCCCAAAAAGGTCTTAACTCCATCCACGTGGTGAATTTCCCCCACTCCAAAAAGGCCGGCCAATCAATCCGTGGTGCCCCGCCATTTCCCTCAAACGCATGCCCGAATTTGGTTTGCTCACCTCCAACAAAGGAGCCGCATAGTTGCTTCTCTTTGATTTCCCTTGAGTTCATCCCAGTTTATCCCAGACCCATCCTAAATTGTTCTATTCCCATGGCATTGCTTCCTTTGAGTTTCCCCACCCCCGGAGGTTGTCAACTTATGAAGGGCTGCTTTTTGGTGAACTCATTGATTTCACACGAATGGGGCGCGGCCTCTTCTCAAAATGGGGGAATCCAAGCACCTGACTTTGTGGCTTGTGGAGGTGTACGCGGTACCAACCCCGAAAAAGGTCTTAACCCCAAACCGAACAACACCCCCCCCGCCACCTCCCCCCCCAAAACAAGGGTACCAACAGGAACTCGCCAGGACGGCTCCGAGCTGTGCCACCTGCACCGCAGTGCCTTGGGCCCTGAGCTGTTGACGCTCGCGCCCAAGTTGCCGCCGACGGCTCGGCTCGAAAGGCGCTTTGCGCGCGCGGACGCGCCCGAGTGCTCGGAAGGACGTGGCGGGTTCGGTAGGGAACCAAGTGCAGCGGGGGGGGGGGGCGGTTCTTGGTGGTTTTTAGGTGATGTAGTGATTGTTGTTCCCATCTGACCCACTAAAAGTTAAACTGGCAGGGGATCTGAGAACAGCCCAGTTTTGAGGATGAAGCGTTTAGGATCGCCGAGAGCCAGCAAGATGGTCTAAAGAGCTAAATGGTTATGACTGGTGATCAGTATGTTTGTTTACCAGAGTCCCGGACTTGCGAAACAAGAAGTCTGGATGGTGTTTGGATCCGCTCTGCGCGAATGGCCGGGCCGATGGGTTTGAGGTGACTCGCGTCGCAGATTCCAGGTCTGATTGGACATGTTGGCAGATGGTTGGGGCCTACTTTTGAGGTTTCATAGCTTTTGGCCAGGGCTTTCCTTGGGGCACTGATTGTCTTTAGTTTTGGTGAGTTTCGAATTTGTGAGTTCTGCCATGCTACTGGCTAGCCAGTTGAATAATGGTGGTTTCACCTGAGTTGCCCATGCTGGTTTACCCGGCACTGTGAACTATGGGGTTGCTTTTGTTTGAGGATACCACGCTTAGGGTGGCCGACGGGTGATCCGGGTGGCCCTGAAAACAACTACAGTTTACAGCCACCAAAAAGGAGAGTACTGGAGTCTCTGTTTGGCTGGTAGCCGGGATGGTTTCTTGGTTTCCTGTTGGGAACCAAAGGAAGCCAGTCTTTGTATGGGTTTTCCTGAGCGCTTCCCCAAAATGGGTTTGTGGTTTTTCCCTTTGTGTTCCAGAAAAAGCAGCTTGGGTAATATGTTTCCCCTGAAAGGTTTCCCTTTTTGGCTTCCAGGAAAAGCAGCTTGGGTCTAAAAGATGGCTTTCGAGCACCCGAGAGGCCCGGCTCCTTGGGTGCCGCGCTGGGCAAGCCCTGTGTGATTTGCTTCGGGGAGGAGAGGTGGGATTCGCGCTTGGTTTGAGCCATGGGTTGGGCCGGCTCTGTGTTTCAAGATGTGGCTGTGGGTCAAAACCAATGGTACCATTTTGGGGAAGGTGCACCACCCATTGTAGAACCTATTTTAGTGGGGATTGGGATGTTCACGGGGGGTACGGGATTTTGACCCATGGCCATGTGACCGCTATTGTTCAACCGTGGTCCGGTTTAAAGCATGGTTGGTAGGCATGGCGTCAAAACAGGAGACCCCTCCTGAGTGTTCCTTGTTCAAAGGAAGCCAACCGCTATGTCATTCTGTATATATAGTGGTTTTTTAAGCAAGTTGGCTTGCCACAACTTGCTTCAACCACTCTTAGCCCAAGTTTAGATTGCTTGGAGCGTGTGGCTTCAACCACCCCGTTCGGAACCGTTTTCGTTTCGGCACCCGAAAGGTGGCAAAAAAGGTACGTTTTTTTCCTCGCGGCTTCCTGGAGGAAGGGGTGCTGAAGACCCTGCACTGCGACTTCAAGGCCCACGTGCGCCCCGGCTGCGACTTCAATAGATAGCTGCTTCAACTGGCCTCGCAATTTTGGTTCATTTACCAATTTTTCAAAGTCAGAGTTTGCCATGCCATTTTGGGCCGCCGCGCTGCGCCGGCCCGAACTTGGGGGGGGGGGCGGTGGGTTTTCGCAGCTTGGATTGGGCAGCAGCCTCAGATCTTCTCGACAGTGCGTTGTACAAGAACACCAAGGATAGAAATACTTGTAGCGCCCAGACGCCGTTGAGCGCCAGGCATGCGGCGTGTCGAGTCGACGTCAGCTAAGACAACACATTGTGTTGGTGGTCACGCCAGAGCCACACTTTGTGTTGCCCGGCGCGCCGGGTTGCATCCGAGATAGCGCGTGAGTGACAGGCAATTCGTTCTCGCAGCTGGCTTCCATCATTCGGATGGCTTCCATCATTCGGATGGCATCCGCGTGTCAAGACACACAAGACGGTTTTGTTCTTTGGTTTGGTCTGCGAAGTAGCTAAAAGAACTTGAGCCTGGAAGCTCGTCGTGCTTGTCCAGCACAGCCCGGCCGTGAACGCGCGCTCGCATGACTGAGTGTTCAGACTGCGTTGTGTGTTGCCCGGCGCGCCGGGTTATATCTGTCACGCAGAGCACGAGCGCCCAGCTAGCGGTGAGTAACATCGATGTCAGACGCTTGGATATCACAATGTCTTCGTGCACGCCTGATCCGCACTCTGCGTCGCCCGGCGCGCTGGGTTACGTCCGTTAAGTAGCGCGCGAGAGCCAAGCAAGCGGTTTGTGTACTTGGCTTCCATCATTCGGATGGCGTCCGCGTTTCCCCTGGGATTCAAAAGGCCTGACAAAAGGAGGCCGCTGGAAAGAGGCCTTGATTTGTCAAAAGGCCTCGTTTTGTAAACCGGAAGTATCCATGGTAAGTAACCACGCCTTTTCAAGGCCTTTAGCCCCATATTTCTGGTCCAAAAACGATGGCTGCATAGGTGTGTCACCCTTACAAATCATGAAACGCGCCCCCAATCAGTTTCACGTGGGGCTGCGCGCGGCGCAAGTTTTAGCACCAGACCGCATTGCATAGCTCTTCGCACGTTGCGCAATCTCAGCGCTGCTGCATCTTCAGCGCCCGCCGCCTAGCTCCGCGATTAAGCCTCAGATGGCACCAAGCGATCTTAAAGGTTAACGGCTGTGGGGCATGAACATTGCCAAAACGCTGCCCAGGCACTGCTTGATCTTAGCCTTCATCGCCATCAGCTTCAATTTAGTCATTTTCAGGACAAATTGCGGCCTTTGCGTAGGGTGCGCGCGCAATGAGACTCCTTAGCGTTGCCAGTGTACGCCGATGCCAACATGAGATTAAAGAAAAAGCAAGTATACATGCTAATGCTGCCTGCTTGCGTTTCAACCATTGCATCCCGTCTTCTTCTGCAAAGCACGCTGCAAAGCGTGGATTTTTGCCGTAATCGCGGCAATCTCGTGCCAAATGCAAAAACATCTTAGCGGCGCCGCAAGCTTCATGACACATTTCAAGGTATATCAGAGACCCGAGGTTCAGCAATATGCGCTGCATCCGTCATGTTTATATTGCAGTGGAGGCGCATGTAGTTTTGGACGCAGCCGGAATTCGTCCATCTGTTTCCTCAACAGGGCTATGCGCGCGACTCATATCAATATATCATGCATGAAAAGCAAGCAGCCACCATCCGCACACACGCAGCAACAGTCCGGATCGCGTGCTTCGACAACGCCACATACCGCCGAGCAAACCGCATGGCCACGTTGTAGAGCTCGGTTCGCTGCGCACCGTCAAGATAGCGCCCGCCATGCTCCATGAGCGTGTAGAAGTTCGCCAAGGAAGTCCTGGAATGAGAGTGCGAAACATCGAACTGCGGCGCTAACTCCCACGCAAATCATGATGACATGATACTGCTTGACTCCAAGTGGCACGCAAGAGGAAAGGAGTGGAAGCACCTCATCGCGTACTTGATATTGCTCGGGATTGCGCGCGGCCTCCCCCACGCACTGCGATAGCCACAGCGTCAGGACACGCCCGTTAAAGGCTTTTGCAGTCAATAGCGTGGCTCCCGTCTTCTTGAAGATCTAAGCTGTGTACGCGCACGCGTAGCAAGCACTCATGCGTGCGCAAATTTCGAACGCTAGTACGCGCGCGGCCTTTGTCATCCATCTAATGGCTTTGAGGGTCAAAAAACTTCTGACCTTTGCAAAACTACGTTGTCCAGTCAAGGTACCATGTAAACTCGAAATGGGGCTTGGGAGCAGCTGATCTTTGCAGAGCGAAGCCATGTCCGAAAATGAGCGTAGGCCAGGTTCAGCGTTTTCTGAACATCTTCTTCATCGCCGAAGTACTTGATGCGCATCAAAGCAGCCCTCAGACATTCACACAATACAGTCTAGATGTTAGCCAGCAGAACCCTCATGTTTGTCAAACAAGCTTGGTAGCCATTTACACACATAGCTCAACCGATTACATTCCCCAAAAAGCACGTAGGAGAATAGCACACGCTGCTTTTCCAGGAACCAAGACCAATCGAGGACCGAAACATGCTTTATTAACATGTTCTTGCTGCCAATGCTCAGCGACGCCCCATTGACGTCATACCCCAGTCCAAGATTTGTTACATGCATATTGCATATTTGCAGCAGTTGCGGATGGAAGCCCTTCAAGAGGATCAATGGACCTTAGCTTGATCAACCGAACCATGTGTGACAATTGTGTGAATTCCGTTGCTATGAGAAATGGGATCAGGAGCAAGGTTGCATTTGCGGGGAAAACCCACCGTCTTGAAGAGCCGGCCAGTTGAACTTGCTGTCATAAACTTCTTGTGAAGCAGGACAGCCCTAGTCAAGGTTTTGTAAAACAAAAAAGAAAAAAGGGTTGTTTCATGAAGAAAAACAAACTGGTTCATGATGGCGCAGTCTTAGCGGCAAGGCTGGTTGCAGTGCCCCAACTGCTTGGATATAAACTCAATCACATTGTATTCGTGCCACTGTGGCTCGTCCTGTGTGCAGTAGTACAACTGTGAGTGATTTGTAGCACGGCCGTTGGCATTGCAACGGTAGCAAATATCCTTGAGTCCTTTCCAAGAAGAAGAGAACCGAAAGATGAACTTGAAATATTCCCAGTCTCCCTTGAGCTCGGTCACAATAAAGCGACGGCCCCCGCAAAGCTCAGCACCTGTGTTGGGGTCATGTCCACTGAAGAGAAGGTTGAGGGAGAACACCACTCGCTTTAAGATCTTGTGCATGGTTTCTGTCTTAAAGATGCGATGCTGCTCAATTGAAAAGATGCACCACCTCGATGCTCTTGTAGAATAAGTGCGCCAAAGTGGAAACGATATGAACAGACCTATCATTTTTGTGGTGCCTTGCACTTTCACACCGTCGCCGTATAGGCTGATGGGCACGCAATCATTGCCCGCCGGCGATTGCAATGCCCAAGGCTCCTTTCCCAGCTGTCGCTTCGTGTTCCAGAATTCCCGAACAACATTCTCGGGAATGTTGACCCCGACTTCTTTGAAGAGAGCATCAACCAGCACGTGCGGGTCAATCATGGGTAGATCCACTAGTTCGTATTCAGCCGAGCTGTTTGGCTTGGCAACCGGCACGGACTGGACCGTTGTCGTTGCCTGTTCTCTGGCTTCAGAATGCAGGGGGCACTTGACTAGTACTCCTTGAAATTTGGGGTTCAATTAGTCTTCCCTGATTGCTGTTGCCTTGAATACAGCGGTGGAAGATTCGAAAGTCAATAATAGCAACCAAATACACCCACCAAATCAATCACCGTAATCAACCTTCCAAGGCACCAAATTCATGTCGCAGGCCGTCATGAAGTCTCGCGCATTGTTGCGGCCACTTGCGAAGGACCCCATTCTCACACTGTTTGGGTGGCACTGGCCTTGGCATTCCTGAGCTGAGTCATCAGGCTTCAACACAAAGCCCAATCCCGAAAACGCCAGTTCTGCGAAAGCCATGCGCGCTTGCAGCCGCGCCACCTGCACGTGCGCCCTGGCGCGGCGCATTGCTGCCAGAAAGCTGGTACCCTGACAGCACATGACAGCAAGGGGGGGTGCCTCTTGCAGCGACTCGATTTGATCAAGCCAAAGCCAAAATAACACTGCACAGTCTTTTTTGAACCAACTAATAGGTCCAAGGGGCTCCACTTTGCACATCCTCCACCATTTGGTTGAAGAACTGTGCTGCTTGATCTTCATCACCTTCGAGGGGTCAAGTTGCACCACTGCTAAATGCATGCTAGTTCACTATTGCGATGCTCTCAATCTCCAGAGGAAACGACAAGTGCACTACGCGCGCTGTCTTTTGTCGCGGGGCCGATGTCGCTGGCAATTCTGCCAGAAGTGGCAATGTCAAGCCACCTTAAGGCCGTGAGTTTTGGTGTGCAGCAGCAAACCGCCATATAGCTTTCATGAAGTCTATGGAACCTTGAAACAACCGATTAACCGCTCGATAAGGGCCGGTGCATCAGATATGGTACAGGCGGAATGTTTGCGTCCACACAAGTCCCCAAATGCAGATGCTACTCGGAGTGCCTTCATCACCATGCTTCTTCAAAAGTGGTTCTAGCTAGTGAAATGAAAGAAGGCGCATCGTAGCATGGTTCCCCACCTGGCCTATGCTTTGTAACGCAGTGCGCTGGGCCCCCCCAAAACCATTTGAAGGACCATCAAGAGTCAGGGATTCTGCTGGGTTGGGTTGGGCTGGCCCAGCAGAGACCGATTACAGCTACCAGGCTCCCCCCGGTCAAAAGCAGTGTTGGACGACCCGCTAATCACAGCTTCATGGTTTCCAAAAACTCCTTGTAGCGCTCAAGAGTGTTCTGGCCCTTTTCCTGCAAGCTCTTCACCGAAGCCTCCTGACCATCGGGCCAGTGGTTTTTGGAGGGTGTGCCCTTTTAAGTTTGGCCACCCTCTTCAAAAGCATTGTGCCATGTGGTTAAGCCCTTCCAAGATTCTATTTGAGACGGTCTGCCACTAATA